GAAGATGTTTTCCCCCCGGGCCAGACCATTTTCGCCGTCGTCGCGTACCTCATCAACACCGCCCAAGGTGTTTCAGACGTTTACGATACCATAACCACATTATTCGAACAATTGAAGGACTTCACTGTCAGATTCAAATTCTACGTCTCCCAAGAGCTGTCGCCCGAGCTCCAGGACAAGCTCGCCGAGATTCTCGTCAGCGTCTTCGACATATTTGTCATCGCTGCACACGAGGCAAAAACTGGCCGTTTCAAACGCTATGCCCAAAATCTATTCGGCAAGGGAAGCAAGGTCCCCGATGCCATGACGAATCTGGCTTCGCTCACCGAGGGCGAAGAGCGCCTGGTTATCGCAGAAACTAGTGCCGGCGTCAAACGATCCCTTTCAAATGAGCAGAAGCTTCTGGAAATGATGTCCAGAGTCGATGTCAACATTCAGACCTTGCGCAACGAGACTCGCGTGCCCCAAAGTCAGACAAGAGAGCAAGCTCTCTCTTCCAACAGAGACAAGCTCAAAAAGATTCTCCAACCCTCTGTTTACCCCTTAGATTACTACACTGCTCTGGAAAGGACTCGCACCCCTGGCACCTGCGAATGGATTCTGAAAGACCCTGCTCTCCGAGCTTGGTTTGCTGGCGACATCCGTTTCCTCTGGATTTCTGGAAACCCCGGCACAGGAAAGTCATACCTAACATCGCGTCTGGTCTCATGGGGCCGAGATCTGCTCGACGAGGAGCAAACTACTAGCATGATGGGATACTTCTTCTTCCGCCAGAACAACCCGGAATCTAGATCCGTGGTCCAGGCTATCAAAGATATGGCATATCAAATCAGTGAGCAAGACGTGTTTTACGGCAAACAGCTCGTACAGAACATTGCTTCTAGCGATGAAATCAAGACTGTTTCAAGCGCTTTCAGAAGATTACTCGAAGACCCCTGCAAGCCTGACAAATGGAAGAGGCACATCTATCTTCTTGTGGATGGCCTAGACGAAGCCGAGCCCAGGGAAGTCACAGAGTTCTTAGCATTGCTGGGCGACCTGGACAAGCAACAATCGACAGGTACAAGAGTGCAGGTTGCATTGATTGGACGAAATACTCTCACGGAGGAGGTCCAGGGATCGATGGGAGATGAATCTATCAGCCGATCACTTCTTGTCACACCCGACCGGAACGGGGAAGATATTGAGTCCTATATTAAGGAGGGGGTTAATCGTTCTCGCATTCTTCGACGCTCCACACAAACAGAAAAGGATAAAATTATCAAGGCCATGATCAAACAAGTCGACAGTCTTTTCATCCTGGCCAAGTTCATGTTGACTGAAATCAACAGAAACAGGCACCTGACAGACATTGCGAAAAGCTTGAAAACGTACCCCAAGGAGATGAATGGAATGTTGACAAAGGCCGTGAAAGACTTCAGCGGAACTTTCACTCAAAGAGATGCAGACGATCTGAACGAGATTTTGCGCTGGGTCTCAGTTGCCGAGATGGGCTTGACTCTCCAGCAAATCGAGTCTTTTCTGGCCCTTAAGATGGGAGACGCCCCGCTGGACCTTGAAGGATTACTGAGAGGCAAACTCTCCTGCTTCTTCACACTTGAGCGGGAAGACGGGCTCTCGACAGCTGATCTTATTGAAAAGCACGAGAAAGCCCGTCATTTGGACAAATTGGACTTCACCGACACAGAGATGAACATTCAGTATGATTCAAAAAAGAGCACAACATATGTCAACTTCTTCCATGATTCAGTCAAGGAGTTCTTCCGAGGAGACTCGTCAACGAATCTCAAGGCAGATGGCGCACATTGCCCATCCATCGGGTTCCATCTTGCCGACGCGAGACTGCACGTTCTCAAGACCTGTTTGCGAGTCTTCACTGACCCAACATACTTCACTCTCGGCGAGAATGGGATTTCTGCGCAAAGGTATGCTGCCTGGTACTGGCAAGAGCACTTGGACTACATCGAGATCACTACCATCTCCAAAGCCGAGAAGACCGACATTGGCAAACGCCTCTATACCATGCTTACTGACCCGGACATCCTTCTCACCTGGACAAATCTCTTCGAGGAAAGTCTAGACATCTGGACTGACCGCAACATCGAAGTTGTTTCCCAGTGGCTGAGAGATGCCAATGTTACAAGCGCTCTGACTCTAGAGCAGAAGAAGTGGGCCAAGTCGGCGACAAAAAGCCCTGCAAAATTGCTTGAACCCATGGGGAGGACATTCGCCGAGGCTTGGCTTGGCGAAGGGTCTCGAGTATATATGACGACATTGTTCTGTTTCGGTGTTGTCCAGTCACTACCGCTGTTGGAAATGGGCAAAAAATGGTCCGATTCCGAATATCACTGGCAGGAGGTGCCGCTAGAAACGAGGATCAAGCAGGCCGCCGACTGGGCGAAACAGCCCGAAACGGGACATTGGCTCCGGAGAATTGGCAGTACTCTCTTAAACTTGGGAGAGCACACCAAAGCATTGGAATACTTTGACAATGCTTTCAAGAAAGATGGCAACAAGGCGGAAAGCTTCGGCCGAATGGGCCTGTGCCACGGCCTGAATGGCAACTACGAAGTGGCCCTGAAATTGCATCAGGAATGCGAATTGTTGGAGAAGACGCGGATGGCCGAGAGCTTTTACAAGACCGACCAGGAGATCAAGGGTGCCAAATGGAGACTTTACAGGAACCAAGCTCAAATTGCGGAGTGCTACAACCGTATCGGCCGCATTAATGAAGCTATTGAGTATTGCCGCAAGGCAAGGGACAACGTCTATGGTGCCCCTGAGTTCGAAGCCGAAATCGCCCATATCAGGGTTCTTACCGAGAACAACCGGCTTTCAGAGTTGATGAAGCTCTCTGATGAAATGGACAGCTTGTTTTGGGATACGGATAAAGGGAACTCTCGCTTCGTACAATTCCTTCTGACCCAGATCCCTGATCCATCCATCAAGGACTGGTTTCCGCAAGCGGCGGCTCGCGCAGATCCAAGGAGGACAGGTGACTTGGCAGAACGCTATCGCAGTGCCATTCAATCCGCGCAAGAAGATCAAGATTCTTGGAAAGAGTTTTATCTACAGAATGCACTCGGCAACATCTTTTTGGCGGCGCAAGATTACACTACTCTTATTCCTATCCATGAAAAGATTTGCTTCCACGATTACAAAGCAAGAGGCAGCCTGCCTTTTCGGATCGAGTACATCGCTTCATTCAAGCAGCTTACCAGAGCATACTTCATCAAAGCGCTGGAAGCTGACCAGACATTGTTATCCAAAGCCAGTGGGAAAGCCAGTGGGGAATGGATCGAAAAGCTAGAGAAGCTCATGCAACAGCAGCAGAAGTACCAGAACAAGAACGTTCCATTGCACATGGCTGGTTTCGACTTCAACGAGCCATCCATCTTCCTAATCCTGCTATACCGTCTGTGCAACAGAGTAGCGGAATCACGCAAGCTGGTCCAAGGTTTTGTCATCGAATGCCTGAAACTCTTAGAGGACGAGGAGCCTCAGAATGACGAGATTAGTATCCGCCACCTTCAGCGGTGTCTCCTTGCTTCCGGGGACAGAGTCAATGCCCAAGCGCTATGGCAGTCGACAAGAACCCCATCACTGTCTGCTAACCTTTCCGGCCATTTGAAGGCTGACCGAAGACGATCGAGCTCGCCCAAGATTGGGGGGCTTTCACCTAGGATGTCGTTGTCACCCAGCAGACGCAGCAAGCAGATTTTCCTCACCAAGATGTTCTCAGAAGATGACGATGTATCTTGCGACTACTGCCTCAAGAGATTTGAGCCGTCTGAACAGTTTGCAGTGTGTTCTTACTGTATCGACTTGAAATTTTGCATGACCTGCTTAGACATTGTCAAGAGTCAGAAGTTCGAGCCAGGTCACACTTTGGTGTGTAAGCCTAGCCACAACTGGCTCATCGTGCCGCCCTTGACAGTCAATCTTCAGGCGAGTGAGATTTTGGTTAATGGACAGGTACTCAAGCTAGAGGAGTGGAAGTCAAAGCTACGACAGGAGTGGGTGCAGACTGAGCCGCCCAAGACAGGAACGGGGCTGGGATTAAAGTGGACGTAGACCATGGAAATGTGAATGGGTCACTGAATGTAGCGTGGGTGGCATCATATCAGTGTTATGACGGCAGATTTCTATGCCGCCGGAGCGTTTGTTTCTTTACGCTTGGATGTATCTTAATAATAGCGTAATGGTTAGTCGTTGCACTCAAAGCGCAACATGCCCAGTAGCACTGCTTCCAAAGCATTCAACTCTCAATTCAATCTTTAAGCGCCATCATGAGCAATAAAATCACCTACACCACGTGGATTGGGCTCCTAACTTCGTTATATACCATCGAGGTAAGAAAATTGCGGACCGAAGGTCAACCACGTTTTTGAACATGGTGTGCTAGACGTCGGTTTGCCGATCGAGATGGGGGAGACAAGGTTTGGAATAAGTCCGATTCGGGAACTCCAGCCTGGCATGTCGGGGCTTGGAGCTGGATAATGGCCACACCTAAGCTCAGGCAAGGTGCATTTACTGATGGATGTGCGAAAAACCCGGCGGACCTTTGGAATGCGTAGTTTTCGCGCCCATCGGCAAATGGACCTTCGGACTGGGCCCACATCCCGCTCACAAATGGGGCCGGTAGACTTCGGAACCGGTCAGCGGTAGGCCCGTGACTGCGGGGCCGGCGGGCGGCATCACCGAGCAGAGGGAGGAAAGCTTAATGAATCTGAAAGTTACAGCGGAATGACTGACTCGGCGTTGATGACATCAGCGAGGGATTTTCGGGTACGGGGCACGGGAGATCGTTCGGGTAGGGGGAATCTTCGGCATCATCGATGATGGATATGAAGCTGATGCTATTGAAGTCATGCTACCTTGTGTGGCGGATGGATGGATGATGTTACCGGCCACGCTCGATACATCACTACGATCATCATGATCTCACTCAGGCACTGCACAGTAATGCATTGAAGTCCCAGTCCCAGTCCCAGTCCCAGCGGAAAAGCTTTGTATCATAATTCATTCCTCGCACGAGATCCTCGGCCCATGAACTACCTATGCACCAGCATCCTTGAGAGCAGCCTGCCCCTGCTTCACAATAGCATCCGTCTCGTCCGCGCTCAATCCCGGCAACGGAATCCTCTTGCCCTTGGAATCAATCGACCCGGGCGCCTTCTTATCCTTCAGATCGAGGCCGGTGACAATCTCCGCCGCCTCCGAGTCCGTCAGCCCGGTCGTCGGGTTGACTTTGTTGTCACCAATCGCCTCCACGCGCGGATCGCCCTTTTTCGACGTCGACGTCTTGGTCTTGGCGGCGCCGCTCCCCGACGGCTTCGCTTGTCTCGGCTCTACTGCCGCTGGGTCCATGCTCCTCGTCTTTGTTGTTGTTGCTGCTGCTGCTGGACTTCCCTCCTCCTCCTCTGCCTCCTCTTCATCGCGTGCTGTCACCGTCTCGGCGCGGGAGAGACTCATGTCGTCGACGAGGGCGGGGGCAGCGGCACCCTTGAACTCAATGTCGCGGCGGTTGACGAGGTCGACGGGTTGGCGGGCAGTGAGGCCGTTGAGTGCGGGCTGTGTTTTGGTAAGAACGTTTATGCATCAGAGCGTTGGTTTTGGTGTATCAGGATCTGTCGGGTGTTACGACGGGAGGGGGAAGAAAAACGTACCAGAGCCGATGCACCGCCCGATAAGGCGAGGAAGACGATTGAGAAACGCATCTTGCTTTTGTTTATCTCGATGTGAGGTGTGTGTTGTGTTGTAAAAACCACACGAAATTGGTCCAAAATTTGCGTAGTTGAAACGATTGTCGGCTGCGAGAAAAAAAAGGCACAAAACCGAAAGTAATGGGTTGCAGAGAGTTGCAAGTTGCAAAAGTGATGGCGAGTGAGTGTGGGATGTGTCGACACCGAACTGCTGGTGGTTTACGGAATACCAGGTCGAATTTAATGAAACCGTTCAGTAAATCAGTAAGTGAAGAAAAAACCAACCAAAAGAGAATGTAGCAGAGAGTCGGTAGAGGTGGAGGGGGGGAGGGGTCCAAACACTTTGGGCAACACGTTCTTTGATCTGAACTATATAGTTGATTCGGGCATGCCATCTTAATTCCCACGAGCAATCAGTTCCATGCCCATACACACACAACCGAACAACAAGAGACATCCGAAGTTGAGAGCACGAACCAATGCCCATGTGCATCTGGGCACCGGTATCATGTCAGTGGAGAAGGGGGGACGTTGGAGAGAATGTCTCAACAACGTACCCTTGTCGCGCATCGCATCTGGGCTGCATTTGGGGCCCTGGCGATGACATTTCACCCGCAGTCAACCCTCAAAGAGACGGAAAAGAGCCCAGGCTGTCCAGCCAGCCAGCTCCCAGCTTGCTCCACGGATGAGACACAGGGATGATGCCGTATATCCAAAACTATGGCGAATCAACTGGCAGGCTGAGACGGCACAAGGGGTCCTTGGAACAGAAAGGGGATTCCATAGAAGTTCCCTGGCTGCGTGTTGGTTGAAGCACTAGACTACCGCAGTACCGCACCACAGCACCAGTGTACCTAGGTAATACCTCAGAAAAGGGTGTGTGTCTGCGTTGGGTTTGGATGATTTGTGTGCAGACTGTTTCGCTGGGTGACATCAAAGCGCCTCTTTCTGGAGTCTCTAGGGGTTGGTTTCTGTCATTGTGGGCGAGCAAGACACCTATTTTTGCACTCTCAGACTTTCGTCTCCTCTCTCTCTCTCTCTCTCTCACTCTGGGAGGGGAATAGTCGGGTCTGGACTAACAGCGCGCAGTCCGCAGTCGCCGAACACCTGGCCCCGCAGACTTCCACGTCCAAAGTTCAGCACGACATGGACCGTTGACTTTTACCCTCGTCCAAACATCGGTCCTCGCATCGAGACCGAGGCCGCGAGCAGCGCACTGGCCAGCCATGGTCATACGAGTAAATCTTCGGGTGGTTGAGCTCTTCTGAAAGGGGAGTGGGGGCCATTGGGAGGGGCAGATTTGTCACTTTTGGACGGAGTGAAACAGCAACGCCCGACTCGACGTGCTGTGACGAACGAGGGTCCCGCCACCAGCATAATCATAATTCCCGTGCAATTCTTATGATGTGCTATGGATGTTCCTTGACATAAAGGTGCGCATCTACCGCACCAGTGCGTGTGTGCTCAGCTCCCGACCGTGACAAGCCTTTTTCTTCGCCTCATCTACACGAGCAGATGAGGCTGTGTTTGGGTAGAATAGGGGCTATCCGAAGACTCTTTACCTAGGTAGTAGCTCAAGGTAGGTACGGGTAGAAAGGAACTGACCACTTGATGATGAACGAAGGTGTATGGAGCACGATAACTTTAAATCAAAGGGCGTTAGGCTCGGGCCCATCGAATTTGACCAGAACCAAGGCACACTAATAACACCCTAAGGTAACGGATACGGGTAAAGAGGTAAAGGCGTGGAAGAGCACCGAGATTGATTGCGATCCGCCCCCAACTTCCTCTAATGCGGGCCCACCCCGGCCGACACCGACGGTTAACTCGGCCCGGAGCCGGACAAATGATTGCGTGCTGTAGTAGACAGATTTTGTGGCTCTGATTCCCCAGAGCGGGATGTTAGTCTATTCTCATCAATTCCCGCTGCACTACCGAGTGCCGTCCAGCCCTCTTCGCTCTCTGAGAAGGTCAGACGAGACACTTGCCCCTCTTCCAGCCTGCGCGATTGTGGCAACGGGCGACGAAAGGTGCTGGCGGACTCCCGTGGCAAAGGCAATGACTAGACCACCCAGGTGTAAACAGACCAGCGGTTTGGGGACCCGGCTTAGCTCGGTACCAAGGCAATACGGCACCAAAGGATCAAAAACCTCACCATCTCGTATCGTCATGCGTTAAGAGTCGCAAGAAGTGGCCACACTACTTAGGCCCTTCGGTGATTCGGCACTGGCGCAATCTACTTGTAACGGGAGCACGGCCTATAAGTCACCAGATATCGGACGTGGGGCCGGCTTGCCGGGGTGCCGGGGCCGCCCTCTCCAGGGCCCCAAGTTCGAAGGCCGAGACTTAACAGGGCCCTACTACCGGCATGGAATCTTCTCGCTACGTCCAGAAGAGGGAATCCAACAGGGGGCCTTTTGTCCCAAAGAAGCTCGCTTTCGTTGATGGGGGCCATGGTAGTGTCTCATATCCTAGTAGCAGATCACGTATTTTCAGAGCAAATTCCACCGTTGCGAGCCGCTGCTTCCTCATCTGGCTTTCCATTTAGATGACGCGGACCTTGGCATCTAAGTTGAGGACCATGGTTCGATGATTCCGCACTTTCTCTATTGCCGAAACCTCGTGATGCTGAGAGAAATCCGGCATTCACAGTCAGGGCCACAATCCAATCACATTTGCAGAAAGGAGGCCGGCGCAGGAACGATCCCACTTTGAATGTATGAAAGATGTAAAATCTCCGAGTATCATCGTGTTACTCGGTACTGGTCGCCGATATAGAGTGGACTGTGGATCAGATCGACTTTTGGGAACCTCCGTGTACACGACAGACGATATTGACTGGACCCCGAGGCATGGAACTTGCATACACCACATGTGCTTTCGGGATACTGAAAGTATATCAGCCGAGGTTTTCTTGAGTTCGACTGTTCATGGTCAGGACTCATAGATGTTCGTGATGATAAGCATGTTCCTGCAGGTTCTATTATGCTTGAAGAGCCTCTAGTATTATGAGCAGGATTGTGCCGCGATCACGTCTTTCCAGAGACACTCCAGAGGCACCTTCATACAGGTACATGCAGCTAAACCCGTAGACTTGTGGTCTCCTCCCCCCATATGGGAGCAGACATCAGTATAGCCCGTTTCACCCGGCTGGGTCAGTTAGTGTGCTAGTTGTCACTGGCCCACAGCCGCCCGCATTGAATGGCCCTCTCGATACTGGTCCGCAAAACAGCTGGACCCCATGGCTCAAGTATGACCAGTACGTCGGGCATGACGAAATAATCTTTGAAGCATGAATCAAGCATTCTGATCATTCAAACTTTTCCTGGAGAAACAAATCAAAGACCAGCTCAACCGGGGACTTAGGGGATAATAGAGCCAAGCATCGCCTAAGCGGCCAACATCCAACTACCCGAGCTCCGCGGTGCAACTGCATTTCCTCCCAATGAAATATATAAGACACATTTCACAAAATTTAGAGATTCTTCCGTGAAAATCGAATATCATACAAATGGAACACAAAAGCCACGGCAATCTGTGTTCTGTCGTCCCGTCCACCCATCACACTGGAAAAAGATATGTTGTTTGCCCAGGAGGCTAGAGGTCAGCACTCAGACAACAGCTTTGTATCGCAGAAAGATCTCACACTTCATCATATTCGAGACTACACCTCTCGAAATATAAATTCATTGAACGCTCCTGAACTGCCTCGAAAATGCATTACCAAGAATACCTGGATGCTTACAACAGCCCCGATGAAAGCGCCAAATCACAGTTTTACGCCGAGGACTGCCAGTTCCAATTCGGCGACTTGAAATTATCTGGAAGAGAACAGATCATGGCCATGTTTTCCAAGGGTCACATGGGCGTCAGAGAAGAGTTGCGACCAATTCATGTGCTCGAAAGCGATAGCCACATCCTGGCCGAAGTCGATGCATGCTTCATGCCCTTCGAAGACACGCCAGATAACTTAATACACCCCTTCAAGAAACATCAGCCGATTTCATTCCGATTCTTCGCCTCATACGAGATACGCGACAATCAGATTCGCTCATTCCGGCTGGCGCACTGGCCTCAGCCGACGGTTATCGAGCTATTCTGAATGGATGCGGCAGAGAGCCATCACAAGGACCATTTGCTGAGAAGAGTGAGGCTGTGCTCGATATGTAGTTCCATGTTGGACCGTAGTAAAAAAAGAAGAAGGTTGTTGGGTATGAGCTCTAACACGAAGCCACAAATTTCAACCACTTGAGAGACCGCAGTGATACCAAGTCCAGGTCACACGTGTGATGTGAAGCCACAATCACAACACCTTGTTTGTGAACGCCCCATGTCATGTGTTATGATACATCACGCAAACTAGATTTCGTGCGCTTGAGACCGAAAGTACGACGGACATAATTATGGACATGAGGTGGCCGTAAAATTTGAAATCACCTAGCCTCATCACATATCTACTTTACTTACATTGGGCAAGGTACGTATTACGGGCGACCAAGTTTTTCGTGTGAGCATTCATCCAAGTCAAACGAAAAGCCTCTATTCTGCTATCTGTTGATCAACAGTACGCATTAGTCTATCTAGTACCTAAGCGGAAATTCATTGACGATCACCTGAAGGGAGTCATGAATACCTACTTTTGCCCGGGAGCTTGTGAGGTCTCGATGTGTTAGACTCAAAACCGGAAGTCTTGACTTTACTCTTGGCTACAGCCACTCAGCAAAATGCCAAGGCTCAGCTGAGTTCAACGTTCCGAGAAGCGAACGTGCCACAGATTGCTTTGGGTGGACGAAGGGAGTGCACCGCTGATCACCCTCCATATCCGTCTCTGATTACCGTTCTCCAGCCCAATCTAGCCTGGCTGTGGAATTTGAAGCGTTGGTGCTCAGAATTCTTTTAATTATGGCCATGTATTACGCCGAAGCCATCGCTCATTATTTTTCGATGAGGAAACACCGGCTTCCCGCTCGATATCACTTTTGCTCGAGGAAGACTCGATTTTCTGCAAATAACTGGAAGCTCATGCATATTCCATCGCGAACTTCGCCTTCTCAAATATGCGTGACAGGTGAACATGCGAAGAAAAGGCTTAAATACTCGAGGCTACTTGTGTCACGGTGGCTCGGTACCCTGTAGCGCGTGCTCTATATTTGGACCCGAGCCATCAGCAACGGCCCGTTCTCGGAAATGATTATTTGCGGGGAAGCTCCTCCCTATGAAGGAGGCTTTTGGTTTTGTAAGACAGAATGCGCTAGCACTGCTCGGTCCTGTAAAGATCATCGGAACGGTATGTGAGGGCAGACACTGAAAACAACATGGCAGTGTTGGCCAAGTACGCCCACAGTTCGTATCCGCTGAAGTTGTCTGGTTGCGGGAACCGGCAGCGCCTCCCCAGAACTTTTTCCAGATGACGACGGTACAAGTTTTTGGTAACGTGTTAGTGCCGTTCGAGTCTGCCGAATGAGCGAACTTGCAACGGGCTGTGGACCTCGAGTAATATCTACGTCGTGAACTTGTGGCATGTCTCAGTAGCATCGCACAGTGGAACCCTCACGTGGGCTATCCAGAAGGCAACTTGGCACTTGACCTCACATTACTTAAAGACGGAGGGGGTTCATACCGACGGCCTCAGCGGCACCTTGTCGAAGCCAAATGTCACCTCCAACGTTCAATCCAACACCAACAGCTATCATGAGAGCCTTTTCGAAACGCGTTGCAATTATCGCGATGGCAGTGTACGTATAACCACATGTCCAAGAATAAGCAAAGCTTAGCTAATAAATCTTCATCAGACTTGCCACGGCTGAAACCCAAGCCAACGCGGTCTACTGTCCAACAGTGACGTCGACTGGCACCATCTGTCCCACATTCGTCCAAATGGCATGCCTTGCCTTGTCTACTATCTCCAGCCGTTGCGGATGTCCATCGACAGTTCCAACAAAATCGATTGACTATCCCTGCGGCGAAAAGGGACCGGCTGGTTGCATGGGAACTTCGTATATATACGAGACCGCGACCCCCAACTGTGGGGGTGCCACTTTCACCACCAAGACTATTCCGACAATTGCGCCAACTCCTACTGACATCGGCCTCGGGGCATGTCCAACGGTCTATTCAACCGCAACGATATGCCCCAACTGTATACGGCCTATGTGTGTGCAGTTGTCGAGAATCTCTCAACTATGCCATTGTCCAACTCCAGTGCCCACCGTCGCCGTAAGCTTCGAATGTCCTGATTGCCCCAAGGGCTGCGGCACCTACTACGAGTACGCAACTGCCACGCCGGAGTGTGCCCCGACTGCTTAATTCAACACAGTAGGAGACTCACGGATGATTTGGAGTAATGGGAAAAAGAGGTATCAGTGCATCACGACTGGAAGGTAATACATCAACATCGACGCACTCAAATAGCGCATTGACACGGTTGTTGAACGCCAAAAGCGTATTGAAATCATCTTGCCTTACATCAGAAAGACAGATCAGTACTAGATAAAGATTGAAGTCTGAAATAATCTTTATCCTATCTACAAAGCAGACTACAAACATTTACAGATGTTTTCCAAATGTACAGAATTACGCTCCAATATCCCATGAATCATCATACTTCATCAATCAAAAACGCATTACGCGTGACATGCGCCGGAACTTTTGAGGAACAGTCTGAGGCTCAACGCTCGTCAAAGTAGGGATGACTGGGATGGCCAGCCCTGTATCAGCGTTGAAATACAGATGGTCAATAGTGGTCTCGCGCCTGTAACCGCCGCCACCGGGAATACCAAAGCGGTGGTACACAATGTACCAGTCGTCGGTGCCTGGTACGTTGAGAATGGAGTTGTGGCCAGTACCGAGGATGCCTTGGGACGTATCCTTCTGCAAGATGACGCCTTGGTATGTCCAAGGACCGTTGAAAGTCTTAGAGGTAGCGTAGCCGACACGATAGTTTTCAGATCCGGTATCGTCAATGGAGTAAGTGAGGTGGTAGAGACCCTCGCGGTAAACCATGAAAAGACCCTCTCGGAAGTCAACAAGGCCAGTCATAAGTTGGACGGTGTCCCAGTTGACAGAGACCATGTCGTCGTTCAACTCTGCCACGAGAGGGCTGCCATTCCCCCAGTAAATGTAGTACTTGCCAGATACGGTATCATGGAAAGCCGCCGGGTCGATAGCCTGACCTGTGGTGACCGCCTCATTGTTGAGGATCATGGCCTCCGGCTGAGCAGTGAAAGGTCCCTCGGGGGAGTCGGCTACAGCGACGCCAATCGTCTTCCTGTTCAAAGCTGCGTTCTGGCCGCTGAAGTAGAAGTAGTACTTTCCGTCGCGCTCGGCGATAGTAGGAGCCCAAGCATTACCTGTCGCCCAGGGAACATTGCCGTTCGCTCCATCGAGGGTGAGGAAGGGTTCCTCACTGCGAGTCCAGGTGACGAGATCGGTAGACTTCCAGGAGTAGAATGTGTTTCCACCCCAGCCCGGTACTCCGTCGGTGGTGACATAGATGTAGTAGACACCGTTGAAGACCGCTACGTTGGGGTCGGCGTAGAGGCCCGGCAGGACGGGGCTACCCATCTCCACGGCGCCAATGGTCCACTCTCCGACGACTTCATCACCCTTGGACAGCACATACTTCACCGGTGCACTCAGATTGACAGTTGAGCCAGATGCAGGAGATGAGGTTACACCATCGGTCGTCGTGAAGACAGGGGCAAGAGTGGTAACGTCGGTGCCCGGCACAACAGGGAACAAGACTTTGAAGTCAGTGGTATTGATGATGGCGGGTACCTTCAAGGCGGAGGCATCGGAGAGAGAGACTTCGGTGATGGCGCCGACGTTTCCAGAGCGAGAGAGAACCTCGGCAGCGGTCAACGACCTGTTGAAAATAGCAAACTCGCGAATCTGGCCCTTGAAGAGCTTATCGCTGGAGTAGACAGACTTGCCAATGTAGTTGGCAGTTGTGACGCCGTTGCCGATGTTCTCAGGATCGATGTTGACATCCTCATTTCGAGCCACCTCATAGCCATTGAGGTAGATGACGGAGGTGCGGCCCGAGATAGTATAAACAAGGTGCAGCCAAGATCCGGTGGGAAGAGAGGAGCTGGAAGCTGCTGATTTCTCGCCCGTCCAGTTGCCGGTAGTAATGCTAGCTCTGTAAGGGCTTCCGGTGGTGAAGAGATATCCATTTCCGTTGCCATCGGCGGCAGTGTTGCCAATGCCGTAGATGAAGTAAGGCGTTGTCTGAGAAGCATCAAGCAGAACCTGAACCTCGATCGCAACGTCCTCGACGCCGGACAAGATGTTGTTGGGAAGCTTGACAAAGTCATCGACACCGTCAAAGGTGAGAGCACCATCCACGATAGCAGCACCACCATTGATCACAGCGTTGTTACCATTTCCAGAAGCATCTTGGAGCGTCGTGCCATCAACAGCTGAGAAGTCGTAGCGGAGTATTTCACCATCAGCTTCGACTGCTCGGCGTGTGGCCGATGCTTCAGTCAAGGAAGCAAGCTCGGCCGCGGTGACGGGAATGACAGTTCCGTGACGCGGGCTGGCCGGCAAGCTGTAGGATGCTGAGACTACCCAATCAGGGTTGCCAATGTCGGCAGTCTCCAGGGGAATATAGCCGCGACCGCCGTACTCATCAACAAAGAGGTAGAATTTCTCGCCGTGGACGTCGTCCGGGTTCGATTTGAAGGCAGTTGGGCCCTCGACAGCGCTGGTACCAGCCTTCTTGCCGATGCAGGAGTCGATGATGGTCCATGAATCCAGGGTAGCGCGAAGAGATGTAGAGCTCTCTTGGATGATATCACTACATCCAGTGCCGCTAGCACCTTCGTCCTTTGTGAAGCGGTAGTAGGTATCGGCCGATTTGATGACGGTCGAATCAATCCTTGACATGCCGGCATCCTGCCAGACACAAGTCTCGGAAAAGGTTACAAAGTCGCGAGTGGTTGCGTAAAGCATGCGGTGGTAGGTGCTGCCAGTGCGGTTGACATCGCTGTCCTCGTAGAGAGATGATGCCCAGAATACCAAATAGGCACCAAGGTCGTCGTCGTAGTAGGCCTCGGGGGCCCATGTGTTTCCTGCTTCAGGAGGAGAAACTAGTACATGTCGCTGCGCTGACCAGGTCTTGAGATCATTGGATTCCCAAACCTCGAGATACCGACTACCGATGCGAACTGAATCACCCCAAGATGTGCCTGAGCCAATGGAGAGATCGGTGGCGATGAGATAGAATGTATCACCCTCGGGAGATCTGATGAGGAATGGGTCGCGCAGACCCTTGGTGCCGTATGTAGAGGTCAAGACGGGCTGACCTCCGTTGAGTTCAGTCCACTGCAGAGCATCGTTGCCCTGACTAGCAGCAAAGTAGATCTTCTCTCCGGCAATGGAGTTTCCGGTGAAATAGGAGAACGCGTAACCCGCAAAGGGATCAAGGGCCACGGCTTTGCGGACGGAAGCGACTAGCTCTCGAGTCTGAGAGCCGCCGTCAGAGTCGATGGAAGCGGTGAGCGCCACCTGGGTATCCTCGGCCTGTCTTACGACAACACCACTGCTTGAGATGACCGAGGAAGAGTTGCTTGCCCATGTGATGTTGAGGCCGTCAATAGTGGAGGGTAGGTACAGGTTGCCACGGACATCGGCAAGGTTGGTGACGGTGATAGCGGCTAGAGCCGCCTCAACCTTTGCGGTGTTGTCGTCTTGGCCTCTCACAGTCGCCGCGAGGGCGAGTGCGGAGGAGAGCCAGAAGTGAAGCGGTTGCATGGCTGGGATTTGCTCAGAGAGCCACAAGTCGTCACCTTAGATCTCAAGTCGGAGCCCGTATCACAGGATCTCTCTCGCCTTATATATGTAGCGTTCCTGCCGTCCGGCCCCGACATACGCAGGTGCGGGATGATCTCCCACATCGCTGGGTCAGGACAAGACGAACCGTCCGAGACTTTGGCCGGCCGGCTTGGGTAGCACTGTGATGGATATTGCGCCCATAAACAGCCCAATGGACGATCATTGCCTCTTGCTCTTACGCAAGCCTCATGCTAGCAACGGAAGATTTGCAAGTTCACTTGCGAGGAGCAAGCGCAGCAGTAAAGGCAAAGCGTCGTGGAACGGTTACACCGAAGCCCAACGGGAACTTGCGGTAGTCTCATTAGCTACCCCGAATACCCTTGTTTCTCCGCACTTCGAATACCCCACAATCTCCAAAGACAACCGGTGATGATGCGCATCCCGGCTGTTGATGGCTGGTTTGCGGGGAAGTCGCAGCCGGTGAGGAGACTAGAAGACGATGCGCCCGAGTCAGGCAGCTCGTGCGGTGCTCAGGTGACTGAGTGTGAACAAGACACAGTCAGGCCAGGCTCGTTGAGTACAGACTTCTTGAACCTCATGCCAACACTAGATTGAAGTAATATGTTGTATGAAAGTGACCTTGGCTGGAAACCGTTGCGGATATGACGTCGGGCAAAGATGTGCCTGTTCTTGTCTCCAAATCGGGTACAGTTGTCACAAGCAAGGTGCCCTTGATCGTGGTGGTGCGTGCCATGGAGAATCTTCCAGATGCGGTCAATTTCTTTCACGTGTCCTCCAGGGTTGTGCAATAACATCTCGTATTTATCGGCAATGGATTGCTGGGTAGGGGGAAGAAAGTTGGAAGCAGACGATGGCTGGGTGATTCGAGCAGGGGGGAGCTGTTCGTGACATCGCAGAAATGATGTACCGAGGTGAACTTACCACGCGCTCGAATCAAATTGCACCCGACGCTACTATTTAGGCAAGTCGCTGCCCCGCCACTCGTCCGAACCTTGACTTTAAGTTCCTGTCACCAGGTAGCGCTCGGGCCGAAGCTGCGCGATGTTATCATCAGGCCAAATGAAGTGTGAGTTATTTTCTCACGGCCTGGAAAGTCTCGGAGCCTTGCCAGAAAGTTGTTCCTCACCAAGTAGACACTCGCTCGTAGGAACATACGCAGAAGATTGACAAGTCAAGTAGATGTTTAGACCTGCTGTGATCCTCTGATGTTCAGGAATCGGGTACCTTACTCCACGAGTCTACATCCACACTTGCATTGATCCTGATTATGGGAGCTCGTCTCTGAAAGATTCCTAGTCCAGGATTTCCGACGAGATCTTCTTTGCGTAGTCTCACATAAGGCGCCTACGTGTGAGGTTTGATGATACCAAGGTCCAGAGGTATGCATGTGGCTGATGATGACTCGAAGGCATCTGGCGTTCCAGCCCTTAGTCACTCATATTGACTGAGAGTATCGTGAAGGTGCCAGAACTGACTCAGTTGTAGAGAAGATGGTCACCCGTTTGTCGGATTCGCTCGCTGCTTGGTTTAGCAGCTTCCGCTGGAAAGCCGTGAGAGAAGAAACCAGGCACGATAAAGAAGATATGTACATTCTAGGCTCTGTAAAAACGTTGTGATCATAGAATTTCAAGGTAACATTGAAAGAGATTTAGATGCGGCGGCAAAACCACAGCCTTAACACAAGCTCCGCCATGGTTTCTACATTTCTCGAGGACAAATTTAGCCCTTGAGACTTCAACTAGTCGCAATGACACCCACTGCCGCAACATTCACCTCCATCACCTCCACCCCCGCCAGCGTCGAATGAAGTCATCATCATCATCAACATCGCATTGTAGTTCGCATTTCGCTGCATCATGTCACTATAAATCGAATTTGAATGCTTATAGGTGACACTGTGTTCTTTCCGCTTAGCCTCACGAGCTTCCGCTCTGGCCTGCTTTGCTTTGACCTTTTCCAGTGTTTTTGCTTCTTTCTTGATCGCGGCTTCCTGGCGTTGCCCGAGTTTCTCAATCGGAAGGCTTTTCTTCGAGTGTGCCAAAGTCTTGAAGCTTTTGTTCCAAGTCTTTAGTCTAGTAGAACCATGAAGCTTTTGCGTATCGGTTGTCTGATTCGCCATGATGAAAGTTACAGTAGTGACGGGAAGGTTGACTTGGATGGATTTTTGGAGTAGAAGTTCTAAGTGGGTCTAAGTGATACGGCGCTTGAGTCCTGTATATGATGAGATTTGTAATGGGGTTGATAACGAGACTGATAATAAAGTTGATGAAGACGTGTATGATGAGACCGATGAAGATTGTAATGAGTGCAATTGCTCGCTCTCCATATGACGATGGTCTTTTACACATGAGAAACAGCGGCTATCGCCATATAATCCGTCGCCCATGTCATCATTTTGGCTCGCCCGCTTGATGCTGCTTGAAAGGTGCCTGAACCGTAATCACCTGACAGCAATATGGCCAGTGAGGTTCTGGACAAAGAGGTTCGTTCATCTTGTTTTTCGGCAACAGCCGATAGGTCCAGATCAGATCCGGTGTCCCAAGCATCTCGAAACCCTAAAATCAAAAAGGCTTTGTTTAAGAGAACGATTCGTCCGAGCCATTTGAGTTACGTATGGTTCAGCGCATGAGATGAAGCTTTAGGGACATCATCCAATATGCTGGCCTGATTAGTATCATGCCAATAGGGGAAGCTGAGGATACCACGTTTCTCTGAGCCCAATGCTATTAGACAGCCACATCATATTTTCTCGGGGTTGAAGAGCTGTAGCAAGTCCAGCACTCCCAACCTTACGACCTTTCCTCAGAGGCTAATGATAGGGATACTTGATACCTTGTGCCTGCTCCAATTTAGAATTGATCGGTCACACATTGACGTTGTGACTTGGCTGTTACCGCCTTAAGCTTTGATTGGTCCCATTGCTGCTTCGAGGCGGACAACTAAACAGTTCAAACGGTATCGATGGCCGGTAGAGGCGGACATGACTTAGAACCACCAAGATATCAGATGGACGAGACAGTGACGTAGTTTCACTTCTTTGCATGGGTAACGTTGACTTTCTTAATCACAAAACTGGAACCGACATGACTCTCCTCGCGTCGATTGAGGTCAGATGATTACCGTGCCGAGGGCCTTTGAGAAGCCACATGTAAAATAGATGGATAGACCTCAAAGTTCTCGAGGTTCTCATTTTATTCAGTCGTTCAGCTGTGTTACTTAATCAAGATCGGCAGAGATGGTCGTTCCTCATTCAACATCAAGCTAAATATGTGCGTAGCGACCATAGGCCGCAATGTGAGATGATATATACAAGAATTTCTGGCCAAAAGTTCTGGTTTGAGAAGAAAATACGGTCCAGGGTTGGTGGTTTGTCTAAGAGACCCGTGTGGACTCTCGACGATGCCGTGCGGCTTGCGGTAGATCGTAGAGGTATCTTATCCGGAGCAAACACCTGACTTGGTGGGCTCGCAGCCACCGGCACACCCGTTGTACATCTGGCACGGGACCTTGGCGTCGGTGCAGACGTTCTTGAGGGTGGCGGTGTCGCCGTAGTTGGAGTTGATTCCAACCACTTCGCCACCGTTGTAGGCGGTCGTGCCCTCGACGTACACGTTGCGCTTGCACTGGCTGCTGCACTAATTTGGAGAAGGCGGGTCAGCATGAGCGATCTCCTAAATCTTGGGGAAGTGGAAGCAATGACTTACGTTGCCGCAAGAGCGGTAGACCTTGCCGTAGCTAGTTCGTTATTAGTTTAGTTCTAACTTTCATCATGGTACATAGAAACAACTCACTCATTCGCGTCTGCGTGTCAAGAGTGTGGTTAGCGACATATTTTCAGCAAATAAAAATAGCGTTGTTTTATGATAACTCACAGAAGTTGATGATGTTCACAGTGCCGCAACCGTTATGTTGAACAATCTTGTCGCTGGCCTTGTAGGCACCGCCGCCAATGATCCAGGTGTGGTCGCCAGCCTTGTCATTTTTCTACATTGGGTGTCAACTAGGCTAGTGATAGAGAAGGCTTTTCAGTTGTTGGGCACTTACAACAGTGATGGCATCCTCGCAGACATCCTCGAACCACACAAACTCGAGAGTGCAAGCACCGTCGCAGTGAACTCCCTCCTTCTGGTTCTTGCCAATAATGGCATTCTTCAGAGTTGCACCCTTTCGGAGAATGAAGACAGCATCAGCGTCACCTATGCGGTTCTATCAGTTCCCGATTCCAACTCAGGCTTGCCATGGCATAGATAACTTACCTCCTTCACCACTGGTGCAAGCACCAGACCCACGGTCGAATCTAGCCCAGCCACCGTCGTAAACAGTGCCAGCGGGAACCTCAATGTACTTGCTGTTGGTCTTCGTAGAAGTTGCAGTGGGAACACCGCCCTCATATCCGAGACAGGCGAGAGTGCTGGGTACGGCCGCTAGCAAAGCCACGATGCCAGCCCTGGAGAAGTACATGATGGCTAAAACCTAGTTGATCACAATGCTGGAAGGTGGGAATATAGCCGATGGTGTCCTAGATGGAATGCTCTTGCTTAGTGAAGGTTTTAAGACTCTACTAGAAATGACAACATCGGACGATGAACTCTCGTTATATAGAAAATCAAGCCGGTTCTTCTTTTTCAATCCTCACAGAGTCCGAGTCAAGACAAAGATACAAGCTTAAGATATCATGCATCCTCGATTGGTGGACTTACCGTGAAGGATTCTGACTCCTCGAAGCCTCACAAACGGGATCCAACATACTGTCCGAATCCTACGCTGAGGAAAAACCACAGTCATTAGGAACAGGAGATTCTATAGGCGATCCAATCATGTTCACAACTCCACGGGCAACTGTTGTGATTTCAAGGCACAGAGATATGGCTGAGGGGGTAAGCCAAAGGAGCGGATGCGAAATAGGAAGGACTCTGGAGCTATTTCCCCTTCAATGGCAGTTTGCAGCCGCTGGCCCTTGTTTCAGTGTGGTATTATAGAGCATTCAACTTGCGTTGCCAAGATCTAATCAGAATCCTGCCATGCCATTTGATCAAAGGTCACACTATCTGCTTGATAGTGCCAAGAACAACCATGTGGACGGAGAAATTGTCCACTACCGTGCGCCCCGGTCCGGGTCCCCGGTCCTGCAGATTCCCCCAGTCAGAGCTTCTCAAAAGCTGTTCCGTTCGGAGCCCTTTACTGGGGCCGTATCGCGGGCATGTCACCGCACCCCGTCGTGGCATTCAGGAACCCCTCCATTCAGTGGCTTTTGGTGACTGGGCTACCATTTCCAAGCAAGGGCATGTTCGCCTGGACTGCCAATATTGTATTGTGGCGCCCGAAGACTTGCATAGTGTACCCAGTCAGGTGAAGCAAGTTATCTGCAAGGTGCGGGCTCCTTCTTGTCATCTATCACTGAATGCCATCCGACATGGAGCCATGAGCCTAATGTTTCCCAACTGTGGCGCTTGTTTCATGCACTCCGCTCGGGGTTGATAAGTGCCGGCAGATATTGGTTGCACCAACAGCGGGCCTATGGAATTGAAAAATTGGCGTCGGCTGCTGAGCGGCCAAGCCTTCTCCCGTTGAGAGTATGAAGGCCGGAATCAAATGTCGCGCAAGTCGCCTCCATTAAGACCAGGCGACTTCACAGTGTTTGCAACCAAACCCTTTTCAGACGGTCACTACATCAACTAAGTCATCCAATTCATTTGTGGTGATGACGTTCCTACACATACGGTACTGACAAGCCCTTTGATTCCACTTGACATGGTTACCTTTGATACCAAATCAAGCATCGTACTTCGAGTTTCCTTTGGTCCAGTCATTGTCATATGCTCAGGACCAGGGCCACCAAACCCAACCAAGAGCCATTCTGACGAACCCTGGTTCTGCTGCAATCTCAGCAAGTCTCGCCTCCCATAAGTCTTGAATGGGCTGTGCCAGCCGCCGAGAAAGGACTCGATGAAGTTCAGTAACGCTAATTAATTATACATGAGGGGTGAGCTCTGTGCTGGATGAGAATCGTTGCCACGTGTGCTAGTAGTTCAAGTTGGGCTAGAGACGTATTAACTCGATCCTCCGGCCCCTCGGCCAGTGCATTCCGTCTCAGCTCTTGAATTCTCAGAGAAGCAGTCATCTTGCGGATGTTTGCGAAGAAGACCTTGGATATAGTGCTTCCTTGATATGGCGCATTTCAATCGCGCCTTGCTGTAATAGCTTTCTCAACATGCTGACGTACACGTGTGATACTCTCTTCTCCAACGGCTGCTTGGACAGATGATATAGTCCATCCACAAACTTACCCCATCTGGTGCCTGTGGCTGATGTTTCGTTCACCTCGGCGCCGTGGCTGATGAGGTGATACGGAATCCGTTTTTGCCTGGTGGCCCATATGTAGTCCATCCCATGCTCTGCTGCCATGGACACACTGAGAATATCCAACCAATCACCCCATATAGAGCCTTTCTTATTGGTGAAAAAGTCTTTAGGTTCCATCTGGTATGTACCCCGTACCCTAGCGACATGGCTATTCCTATTTCATGATGGCCAATCTGAGGTGTTTGGAACATCAGGCCCGCGTAGTTATTGGCCCTGGCTAGACTATTCCATGTCTCTCTCACAACTTACTGTGCCCAGGCGCCCTGATGAGGATTTGAGCCCCGGCGGAGGAACAAGGATACGACTTGGGTGAGATCCGGGCTGGTTTCATTGATGGGTTTGAGGCTTTCCATGATTGCCTCTCTCAAGAAAGCACCGTTTATGATGTCTCGAGCTCCAGGGCTACATTCCCGGTATTGCGAGAGATACTGAGTCAATCCTCGGGAAATGGCGAATTCGGCGAAGCAGTCTGGCCTCCATGGAATCTCGGCATTGAGAGAGTCGGCCATTTCCTCCACAACGTAGCGGATATCATCGACCAACTCGGATTCTGATGAGCCCGATTCCGCCTCGGCCTGGTAGGCGTAAAAGAAGGCTTCTTTCAGTGCCTGAGAAAGCACCCCAGAACGCTGGAAGTGTTCTTTTCGAACGGGCATAGACTTTATGAGTGCAACGTACGCTCTGGAAAACAAAAATGTATTCGGTTTAAATTCCGAGAGGCTCTCAGCGAGGAATTCGGCCATTTCTTTTGTGAGGAGAAAATCACGAAAGTTGCGGTGAAGAAAGGTCACTCGCGGACCCAGGTAATCGCTCGCGGTATGGTCAGCTTGAATTTCAAGCAGGCCCTTGCTGCGGCCGTCGAGTCGGCGAATCATTTGCTTCCGCCTGGTGAAGACATCGTGTTTGTCCACTGGTTCAACGGGAAGACGTAAGACCTGCGAGAGATCCTGCGTGCAAAAGTCTGTCAGGGAACACAGCATAATGTTAAGTAGTTCTCTGGCCTGCAGTGCGATGTGGAATGTCTGCGCCATTTGGGGGTGGTAAAATGGGTCGATGGAGTTGAGAATTTGCTTGAAAAATGTCTCGAGATCCTGGGGAAGCTGGCTTATTCGTCGTCGTAGGGTTGACACACCATCGCCGTTGGTTACACTTTCGTGGACGGAACGGACGACCAGAAACACCCATAAAATACTCCCTGGGCCTTTTTGGTCATCTCTTTCACAAGAGTGTGTTCGGCTTTCGAGTATTCTCCCCAATTAGGATGTTCTTTGAGCATACTCTCTGTGTAGCGTCAGATGTCGTTCTGAGTCAAATCTTGGAGGGCTAATTTCCACAAGCTCGTCTTGCCATAAGCATCTTCAAACACATTCCACGGCCGGCTTGAAACACATAGCTTCACATTTGGCGACGACGCAAGCCGGGAAGGGATCAGGATCAGTTTTGGATGGTCCCCGTCGTACTCATCCAGCCCGTCGACAAAAAAGAAGAAGCGCAAGGCCAACTTGTCGCAATCGACCATTTGGTACACTATTCGTTCCAGCTGGAAGATTGGCCAGTCCCGGCCATTCTCGCCCGATTGGAGACGGTACACGTTTTGACCAGGCCCCTCGGGCACGATTTGGTCGATTAGGTCAGGCATTTGGCGGAAAATCTCGTCAAGCAGTGATCTCAGCAGCCCGTTGATAGACTTTTGCAGCCGCGTACCGACGCTCCAAAAGTAATGGCTCGCGACGATGCACTCCTGGGGCTCAGCCCATGCGGAGAGAAGCTCCGCTGTGCGCGAGTGATTTCCCAGATGCTTCATGAGAGTAGACTTGCCGGAGCCTGCTTTGTCAGATATCCAACAAATTCCCTTGCCTAACTCGAGCCAAGTCTGTGAGATTGCTGATGTGAACTGCTGCCGCTCGCCGCAAGCCTGTACGGCCAAACATTCAGTTGAGTGTCTTCTGATGTGCCTCAGCTATGCCATGGTAACGAGCCGGCATCGATGAAAGGTACAATCCCCGAAGAAATGTCGGTTGAAAGGAAAAGTCTCTTGCACTGGTGGTTAGATTTACGAGCTTCTCGTGCAGTTGATGGGAGTCGTGGTGAGAAGAGACACTGGCGTCTGATGGAGACTCGTTCGAGATAGAAGACTTGTATGTGATGCTCTGGATAGCTGCAGATATTTCTTCGAGCTTCCCTGAGTAATTCGATTGCATCGATAGAGTGGCTTCTTTCAGCGTTCTAAGCTCGCGCAGCACGCTCGACTGCTGGTTGCTATACCGCTGTAAGTAACTTTTGATGAAAAGGTAAAGACATGTGCCCACCTCGTGATAGCGACAAGATGTGTCATGAGCTCCTGCCGATACTCCCTGAGCCTCGCCTCTACATCGTCGACTTTGCGCTTACCCCAAGCTGCCCTCAAGGCTTGTTTTAAACTCGCAACCCGGCCGCCAGGCGTGCAGTACAAGCTCTTCAGAAGGCTCTGCAGCTCCAAAGCTGTGTTCCTGCATTTTTTCCGCAAGCTTCCGCAGTGCCACCTCTTCGTCGATCCTCTGTCTCGGTAGGTCGACGGCATGGTCAATGTTGTCCACTAAGTAGAAAACGTAGGTCTAAGCATATCTCATCCAGGGTCTCGTGCTCCTTCGTGCGCCCATCGGCGGATACGTATATCTCACGGCTGCTGGAAACCAGCTTCGCTCCAAACTCAACGAATTGTATGATGGCGGCCGCTAAACCGAGTGCTGTAAATGGATCCATTGAATGTGATGTGACTTTGGAAGAACCGAGGAGTGCGTTTGGGCTGCAAAACCTCACGGCATCAGGAGCGGGGTGGTTGTCAGATTTGTGCTCGCCTCCTCACTCGAGCGGACGAGGCTGTTCCTGGTTGCCTTCATTTGGCACACCAAAATGTGTATCCGCATAGGCGACCTTAGGCACTAAAGCAAGTAAAGCTTCAATTGGACGTAGAAAACCAGTGTCTCTGTCTAATTGGCGTTTACCCCGCATATCTTGTACTTTGGACATGCTGCGGGCGATGAGAGGTGTAAAGTATGCATGTAAGTCGAGGTCGTGTAAGCGTCAGCCAAAGATTTGTGCCCAACGGATTCCATGCAAGTCTGCCCCCACGCAGCTTTGAGGTCGGGCTTCAAGCTCTGGCGAGTAATAAGCCTCTACCCTAGTGGTCGTTATTCGTACAGTTTGGACATGTCAAGTGAGGTCAACTGATGGTATTTTCTATTAATCCTCAACAGATAATCAACTCACCTGTCCTAGTGATATGATTGTTTTAGTCTTTCCTTCACATCTTTGACATATTTCCAAGACTTAATAGGAAGTAAGGCACCTGGGTTCCATATTTTAGAAAAGAGATGTAAACAGACATATGTGTTGGAACCAACGGCAACCCACTGCATATGTTCAGAGATAATATAGAAGACTATTGATACGCTTCTCATGTGTTTGGAATATTGCAATCCTAAATGGCTGATTTGCTTTGGCCAGGGAAATCACGTCATCCAGATTTGCTTACCTGATCATGCTGACAGGATCCAATCATGTAAATAGGCACAACATGTCGGAGCATTAATGCGCTAAAATACGCCCTTCCAAAGTCCCAAGACGACCTCGAATTAATAATCAAAACTCTGGAATAAAGTCAGCTTTGTCGCTCTTAAAAGTGACCGGGTTCTGAAGACTCCATTTCTCAGGATTCCTACCAAGCAAAGCTTGTTTTCCGCCCATGGCTTCCCACTACCCCCGAGGGTACCTCAACGAATTCCTACCGATCATCATATCTCAGCAACCTACAAAGATCAAGGCAGTCTTCTTCGACTTCATGGGAACTTGCCTGAACTGGCATGCCAGTGTAGTCAAAGCCTTACCCGCGACAATTCCAGAAGCCGAAGCGTCCAAGTTCGCCCTTGAATGGCGCAGACAATATTTCATCGAGAACGCAAACCGGCATGCGCAAGGTCTTGAGCCTGAGGACATTGACATTACGTTTGCGCGGGTCCTCGACAACCTTTTGAACCAGTGGCCCGTATACGCCAGCCACTTCAACGCCGAGATCAGGACGGGGTTGATCAAAGCATGGCACTCGCAACCTGCCTGGCCAGAAGTCTCAAAGGCCATCGAGAGCCTGCGGAACGATCTCGGCCTTGAAGTATTTGTGCATGCCAACGGCACAACTCGCCTGCAGCTGGATCTCGTTCGGTTTTCAGGGCTCAGCTTCAACATGCTCTTCTCCAGTCAGCTTTTGGGTGTTTACAAGCCTAGCCCCGTTGCGTATGAAAAGGCGTTGCAGCTTGTTAAGCTCAGGCCCGAGGAAGTGGTGCTGGTTGCGGCGCACGCGTATGATCTGCGAGGTGCACAAAAGGTCGGGCTTAGGACGATCTATGTTCATCGATGGACTGATGATGTAGATGAGGATATGGAACAGGTTCGGTCCGAGTTTGATGTATTCTTGGACGATATGATAGAGCTTCCCAAGGCTGTCGATAGCTTGTGAATCTGGATTCAGACATGAATTTCAGAGTCTCGCTTGAACGGTACTGCACATCATCCAGTGCTACCTTCCTCCATACTTAGAAAAGACCATGTGAAGAATCAGAAATCTAATCAGTGTAGCTAAGGCAATATGTCGGTCTTCGCTAGCAAAGGTGATAGTTTTTAAACTGTTGGGTTTGCGACAACATCTGCGATAACAGTGTCCAAATCCTCATCCTCCAGCTCCAAAGTCTTCATGGCAAAGTCATCGCGCTTTGTCCAGTTTGCATCTAACTGCCCAACAGCAAAGACAAGGTCCTCAATCGCCTCAGCGTCACCAGCATCGGCCTTCACCTTGTGTTCCGCAATAAATCTCTCAGACTCGACCTTGTTGACAGTCCACTTTGCTCCCGTCGCCTTCTCCAAACTTTGAAGCAGCTCATTCTGTGTGATGCAAAAGCTCTGAATGAAAAGCGTCTTATTCTTCGTCACCTCGGTAACTCCCAAGTTGAGAATACGCACAACGGCCTCCCCAACTCTCGGCAGCGTCGCAACAGAGGCCTTAATATCACCGCCGTCAATTACATCGATCTTCTTGGTATCGAGGTACGCGTGCAAGAAGCCTTCCTTGACACCCCAGTCGAAAAAGTGACCGCAGACGATACCCGTCCACGCGAAATCGGGGTTCTTGTCAGCCAGCTCCTGCGCCTTTTGACGTACGGCGCGTTTCCAGCGGTACAGCGGGATGAGCTCCCTCGCGCGGGGGTTATCGGCGTCGATGCTGCCGAAGTCGGCGGGCATAAAGTGCTTCACGCCTGCGGCCGACGCCGCCTCAGCAATGCGCAGGTGCTGATCGAGGTCGCGCAGGCGGAAGCTGACGATGACGACTTCTTGACCTGTAAAGGCCTTCTTGAGACCTTCGTAGGAGAGGTCGTTGTCGACTTCGATGACCTGCACTTGGTCGGCGGGGTACGAGATGGTGCTTTTGGAGCCGGCGCGCTTCAGGGTGCTGAGCTTGAAGGATTTGGCGGCCACCAGGGAGTCTAGAATTTTAGCGCCTAGCGTGCCATTGGCGCCGACGAGAAGGACAGATTTTGGTGCCATGATGAGCAGTGTCTTGTGTTTATCCTTGCGTTGTTAAATCCAGAGAAAATGAGCGTTCCTTTGTTGGTTTCGTCTATGATACTTTGACTTCACCAAAGGTATTCAAATTCACAGCTCGAGGGCATTAGGCGACTTGAGCACTGACTCACGTCATCCAGCAGCGTTCGGGATGGCTTACCGAGTCCTTCAGTCTGCCGTCGGGGTGGGGTCCGTAGAGGGACGGTCTAGGCGGGACATCGAACAGAACATCCACTGTATCTTCCGAAGAGAGAAGGTTATCGCGATTCTTAGCAATGGCCGTTCGCTTCTGTTAGTGCTCGTTGTAACCACTCATCAAAGGCCATGGCGGGGTTAAAGATGTCCAGGTTGGGTCCCTCCCGGCTCCGGGCAACGTAAGATCCATTCACGCCGGGCCGGAGGACGTAGTCAAAGATCACCAAAGTTGGCATCTATGTCCTCGCGACTTCGCGTTTTAATAGTATGTTCTCAAGGAGCACAAAGGGTTCTTGGCGCCTATTTTCATATAATTTCCCCGCAATCTAGCCATCTGTCGTATCGAACTCTCCATCAAGCTTAACTCCGGGCGCGGTGCCTAGGGCTGAAGCTGTCTCAGGCTAGAAACTTGCCGCCGTGCGGAGGAATAAAAGGACTGGATGCATGCTGTTTTTGAATCAAACTATTGCTCTCCATACAATGTCTATATATCCATAGACCAAGTCATCTTAAGTAGTCAGCCATGTCTTCCAAACGCATCATTCTCATCACCGGAGCCAACACCGGCATCGGCTATGAAACAGTCAAGGCCCTGCTACAATCCGACAAGGCGTATCACATCATTATTGGATCCAGGTCCATCGAAAAAGGCGAATCTGCAGTAGCCGAACTCACGAAGGAATTTGCGTCCACGTCAAGCTCTCTGGAGGTCATTCAGGTGGATGTGGCAGATGATGATTCAATCCTCAGTGCTTTCAACAGTGTCAAGGAGAAGCACGGACTGCTCGATGTTCTCGTTAATAATGCTGGTAAGTTTTCATCCAGCACAAGACCCCATGGCCACTCTGACCAAGCCTAACAACCGGCCTTTGTAGGCGCCTCTCATGATTTTGGACCTCATAACTACAACCCCGAGGACATCAAAGCCATTCGCCAGAACATGAATAAGTCATACGACGTCAACACATCCGGAACCCACGTCATAACCCACGTCTTTGCCCCTCTCCTCATCCAATCCTCCGATCCCCGCCTTCTCTTTGTCACCAGCGGATTATCCACTCTGAACGGCATCGAAAGCACCGGCCTTCTCCCATTCCAACCCGGGACCGTCACGGCTGGCGGTTGGCCCAAACCCTTTACTCCTCAGGCCGGATACCGATCTAGCAAAGCTGCGTTAAACATGGTCATGCAGAACTGGCATTGGCTTCTCAAGGCAGACGGAGTCAAGGTTTGGTGCATCTCCCCCGGTTTCTTAGCTACGGGGCTGGGTGGAAATCCGGATTTGCTGAAGAAGATGGGTGCAGGTGAACCGAGCCAGGGAGGCAGGCTGATTAGACAGGTTGTTGAGGGTGAACGGGATGCTGATGTTGGCAAGGTTGTGAACAAGGATGGTATCCAGCCTTGGTAGTCAGGAAGGCAGGAAGGAAGACTGATACCAAGAGGCTGAGAACATAAGTAGCCATAGATAACGAACAGGGCTTCTTCTGAGAGAAATCTAGGAAAGGCTTGACGTGATATCCAGTACACCAACAATACACCGAATTTCCGATGTTGATTCCATCACTTGCCATTGATTTTTGTCCAAGCAAGCATGAAGTGATCTACAATCCTTTCCACCCGCTACAGCGGTCGCGACGGCTCGACGTAGTCGCTATCCATTTTTTTTCAGGGACCCAAATGTTATCTTCTGGACTGTCTTTGCGGAAGCAAGCACCAATGACAGTATTCCCTTCCTGTCTAAGATACTCAAAGTATGCCGTTCCCTCTGACGGTCGCCATATCTTAGTGCCGTGTCCGTGCAGTCTCATGTAGGTCAACTGCTTGCACTTTGCAGCGACGATCTCGGGCTTGAGGTATCCCACTTTCTTAACTCTCTGAACAGGGTCCTCCGGATTCCCTACGTTGATTCTGAACTTGGCACAGTCTATCGAAAGCTTTCTCAAGCCCTTCATTCTCGCAAGCATGTCGATCAGGCTGTACGGGGCCATCGTGGTGTCGATAGTCAAGCCGAGGGAGGTGATTCAGTGGCAGGGTTCGAGGATTTTGAACATGTCGTAGTTTTTAGGTGCATCTATACCGTCTTCAATCCAATTCTGGGGTAGGATGAGCTCTTTAGCACTCAGGGCCTCCGGATGATTAAGCCTGTCATCAAGTTCCCTCGAGTGATTACCCAAGCAAAGGAATGTCTGAGGGTCCAGACGGGCACTGAGTCGGCTGACGCATTCGGAAGTAAGCTCTTCAAAACCGTGACCTGTGTCTACGCACCATCCCCTGACGGTGAGTTGACGGAGGTTGGGCATTGTGCTCGGGTCAATGGCGTCATATGCGAGCGGCGGAGTCTCTGACAGGCAATTCCAACGCATGATGACACTCTGTTTGAAGAGTCAAAGTTCTTGCAGATAGTTCAAGTCGGTCAACTTTTTGAGGTAGTCATACGTCTAGGCCTCACCCAGGCAAAGCAGGACGGAATGGTACAATTTGAGAGCTTTGAGGCGAAGCGGAGCGTGACCGAGATCTCTATGGTCATTTCCCAGATCCATGAGAAAATCATAAATTGGATCACGGTCGTCTAACGTGTAAGAGGTTTTTGCCGTCGCTCGAGAAAGGGATAGGCTCAGATCAGTAAGAATCGGTGAGGAACTCAGGATACGGGCTATCGTTTCTATCCACTTTGGGAGAAGCCCTTGGAGCCCGGTCAGGTGAAGCCCCTTCAGGCTGGAGAAGACGTTGAAGTCGGTAATACTGTACTTCAAGTCTTCAGGAATAGGCATCAAGGGCTCCGGGTCCTTCCAAGAGTCATCATCGTGACAGTATCTGTCGTAGTCGGGGCGGTACGGGTGAGATTACAGATCGAAGGAGTTGTCTACCAAGTTGGGCAGCATTGCTTCAGTGTCTTTAGTGTTTCGGATGAGAGAATGAACTCTCCGTCTTTCGTGCTAAAACGGCCATTAGCATGTAACAGGCTGACAGCGCATGCCTCAGGGCCACTGTAATGGTCTTCGAAAATCACTTCTGAAAAGAGAGTCCATCCAGACATTATCTCGCCCTTTTTGAATGCTCGCTGTTCAAGTATCAGTATCTAACTTGGTTCAAATTTCTATGACATCTTTATTTTAATCCTCAATGTTTAAAGTAAACGCACGACAAGGCACTTTCCTTGTTGAGTCCCATCGGGTAGGTACCTAAGCAGCATCTTCCTTAAGGTACCTTGAGCTTAGGATGGCAGGAAGTGCCCCGGAAACACACTGAGGCAGGTGCACTTCCGGCGGAGGAAGGCACGTAGTAAAAGGCAATTAGGGGACCACTTTCAAATCTTCAGCGAACCTTCAGCGAACCCTCAGCCAACCTGGACGTTCACCACTCAACTTTTGGTCAACATTTGTTCAAAAGGTATCATTGCCAACACATATACAATGTCACCCGCCACGGAAGGTGTCTACCTTGATCCTGTTGAGGGCCACGAGCACACCCACACCGTCATCATCCTTCACGGCAGAGGCAGCAACGGCGAAGAGTTTGCGGAAGAGTTCCTTGAATGCGAAGTCTCCCAAGACCTGGCACGCATCTTGGCCGTCTTGGCTCATCCAGCCGATGGTCCTGAGCAACCAAACGACCCCCTGGACGATATCCCAGCGCGACCATTACCCCCTCGAACCCTCCGAGAACTGTTCCCAACTTTCAAATGGGTCTTCCCTACCGCACCATCTTCCCCATCAGACCGTTTCAAAGCAGACTTAAACCAATGGTTTGATATTTAGTCTACAGAGAACCCGAACGTGTATCCGGAACTGCAGGAACCGGGCCTGTGCGAGAGCATCGACTACATCAACGAATTTATTAACGAGGAAGCCGACTACGTTCCATTTGACAACATCTTCCTGGGCGGTATCAGCCAGGGATTCGCAGCAGTCGTCGCGACCCACCTGCACGGGTGTGGAAGCTTTGCTGGTCTCTTTGGCTACGCTAGCTGGGCGTACCCCGGTCTAGCACCTTTCGAAGTCCCAGCAGGTCTTGGTGGCGGCAATGGCATTTGGAAAATAAAGTGTGGTGATGCGGACTACCAGATGGCACACACGCCCATCTTCCTTGCTCACGCCCTCAACGACGAAGTGGTTCCGGTGAAGAACGGAAGGGCCCTATATAGGGCCTTGCGTAACATAGGCATGAAAGAAGTCGAGTGGCACGAGTATCAATATGGCGGCAACTGGTTCACTGAGCCCGAAAGCATAGATCATCTCGTTTCCTTCCTCATGCGCAATATGGGCTCCACGGAAGATGGCTCTACGGAAGGCGAGTCTACGTAAGATGACTCCAAGGAGGTTGAACAGTAGTCTGGTAAGGAAGATATCTGATTTTGTAGGGGGGCGAGAGCAGAAAGGTCTTGATTGGAGACCAGCGAACAGCGACATGCTCCAGGCCTTTTCAAAGCGGAACCAGCATACGGTCGGGAGCAGGAAGTATTGCATCAAACATGATATTATGGGTAATCGGTAATCAATCGGCAATCAAGAACTATGAGTAACAAAGCAAACCATTCTACCAAACAAGGGTATTGAAAGGAGATGTCTATGTGAGGCCAAGCAGAAACGTGGTGAAAAGCAAAACAACAACCTGCTAGCGATCAGTAGGTGACGGTAGCAACTTTGGCAACATATTTGTCGTCCCCATCCTTTTGCAAAATGTTCTCAAACATCCACTTGCCAACATCTTCGCGGGCAATGCTATACCCAATAGCCAGCTCCTCGACACCCTTGACGGGATCCTCGGTGCCTACCCGGACCGTACCTGCGGGCTGCTCCTTTCCGTTAGTCAAGAAGCTCGCGCGCACCACCGTCCAGGCTTCACCACTCGCAAAGACAAGTTCCTCCATGGCCTTCTTGTCCATGTGCGGGGTGTGCAAGAGGCCCTTGTAAAGAGGCTGAATAAGGAGAGGCGTGTCTCTCCCAAACCTGGAGATACCAGTGCTGCTGAGCCCAATGACGCGCGGTCGTCCAGCAACACCCTTTTCAGTGCGCAACTTCTTGATGGCGTCGAGCAAGACGAGCATTCCCTTTTCGCAGACGTTGACGTCCTCGAGGTTCATCTTGCGCAGCTCGAACCAGGCGCCGATGGAGGAGACGACGGCGCCGACGAAGCGGGTTGCGTCAAGGGGCGATACGACACATCGGGCAATCACGTCGGGGTCGTGGGCGTTGCCTTGTTCGATGCGGAGGTTGGGGTACTTTTCGGAGGGGAGGACGGCGGTCAGCTTGGACGGGGTGCGGCATAGGGCGATACACGTGAAGCCGGCGTCAAGGGAGCGGCGAAGAGCTGAGAGGCCGCAGCCGCCTGTGGCTCCGAGAAAAAGAATGGTCTTTGCGGACATGGCCGGTGTGCGGTCCTTGGTGTATCCGTACCGTGTAGGAATGTAATGGGGCGAGTCTCGGGACGGGACCGAGTACGGATGCGAGAGGTGAGACCGAGTGCGGGATGGCGGACGGGGACAAGTGGGTTGTCGGTAGATCGTACCCACTGCAGTGTTTGGGTTCGGCAAGAAATGAAAGGAGATGGTTTTTGATCTAGAAGGCGAGGCTGATCTGTTGAGAGCTGAGAGTAGTGGCTTAGAATGATGAACAAGTCTCCATATTCCACTTGGAAAGCGAGGACTACATGACCTTTTATCCTACTAGAAGACTGCTTGAAAACCGCTTGGAAAGATGAAAGGCCACGATTGCGATACAAAGTCCGCAAGCCACACGGAGCTGGTAAAGTGCGTAGTTAGGCCGAATCACCGTGTATGTGTGTATGGCTTACATGCTGGTGAGCGGCAAAGCTCAATGGATTCGAGCCCGGCCGCCACGATGCTTGTTTTTGGATGGGAAAGAACTACCAAGGGACCCTCAAGAGGCAGCAACTGCCCATCCATGGGCACCCACAGGGCTGGAATACGGTTGGAATGTTCCTCTGCTCGCTCTGGTGGCGTCCAGTCGGGATGCTCTGATAGTCATAGTGGGTCGAGCCACGTTCTCTCTTATCGGAGTCAGTATGGGTCCTAAGGTACGTAGTGGGTCACAGCACGGGATTCAACTTGGTGGCTTGACGCTAGTGTCATAACAGGTTAGAGGCGGAATGGCATGGCCGTCTGGTGTGGGAAGGCAGCGGGTCGATTCGCATTCCAAATCCGGTTCGAGAGAATTCCCAGGACCACGGCACTCGCATCCTATCGTCAACCTTGAACATCGCCCTCTCACTCTCTCCGTCTCCATCACCGAAACCCTGCGCCTCATAATATGAAGCCCGTCAAGTTTGCCATGTTCGATACACTTTTCAAAGCGTGGTCATAGTTCACCAACACGGACCGTCGTGTTCGAATCTACGTCTATTCACATCTCGGTCTTCCTGGCTGACTGACCTCACTTGATCAACTCTGATTTCAACTACCAGAGTGTATTCTCTAATCCGTGCACTTTTGACGGGACATGAACTTCTTCTCGTCTTCGCGATACAACACCTATACGACTCGAGATGGCACATGTCGACCCGACTTGCTACGTCCGTCCTCTGTCCCCGGCTCACACTTAACCAGCAAACCCTCGTCACATCCCTCACGCGAATGCATCGTACCCAACTAGATCCGGCAATTGGCTTCGAGCCCACCGATCACTCCCTGATCTCCAATGACCACGCTATCCATCATCGAGACAAGCATGTCCCTGCAGCATCTCGCAGCTCACTTCCCCAACCCAACTTAACAGCACAGACTGTGACGTTTCGGTAGGGCACTGGTGGGAGCGTTGAACACTTGACTACCTACAACCCAGGAGAGGGGGCTCAGCTCGCAGAGATGCCCCAGAGAGTCCGCACGACTAATCCGCCAGCTGGAAGATGGCACCATGTCGCTTCGGTTTGAGTTTCGTCCGATTCCATTACCCAACTTTCATTCGCATTCTGCCTTTCCACAGTCCAAGGCTCCAAGGCAGTGCCCGGACGACAAGGAACGCACCTGGAAAGTTCTGTGCGATTGAGCATGTTTGTAGCCCTTACCAGTGGTCTTTCAAATCACAAGCGTAGACAAAGCCAAAGGAACCACCCTCGGCCAGATCGATGTTACAGGCCCGTCCCATGCCGTTTCGTAGATCTCTGACGCGGGTCCCAAAGTTATCGGTTCGAACTGTCCGTAATATTAAGATCGCAGCATGCCACTGCACGGTCATGTTGTCTTAGCCTTGACAGACGTCGTCAACGCCAAGGGACTCTGACAGATCGCAGAGAGCTCTCTCCTTTCCGCAACTAGACACTAGCGCCATTCAACGTCCCTATATCCAACAATGCTCGTGGGAAAGTCAGTTCCGGAACTCATCCTCGTGAGGTCCATGGTAATATACTTCCAGTACCTCGGATTCCTCTGCTTCCTCTACTTTTGGTTTATCTTCGCCCTCGCTGGTGTTCCCGGTATCGCTCACCCCGTATCCATCCTAATCGAAGTCGTGGGCGCCATCGAAATCATCTTTTATTTTGCCTGGTTCGTGCCATATCGCCGCCGTCTACAGAAACCCGGCCTCCAGCCAGAGCCTCTGAACCAGGAAGAACGCCGGCGGTTCTTTTACCAGGGGCTGGATCACGCGCCAGATGTCGAGCAATATATCCGAAAATGGCACTGCAACGCCCAGGTCGGCGATATTCGCAGGGAGAATGTGAAGGACTGGTTGATGTGGGCATTGTTCGACAAGCAGGGCAACCCACAGGAACATGACGATGAACTCGAGGAGTACATTGCGGAAACTGAAGAGCGGGCCGGAATCAACATCAAGAAAGGCTTCGGAGACGCGACCCCGATGCGCCTAAGTTTTGATTCCATCACAATCACCCACCGGAGCCTAATGTATTACATTGTAAGTGATGTGCAGCTGACAATATCCTCCCACTATCCTAGGTACAAGACTAAAATGTCCAAAGACTACTGGCACCCTCGACTTCTTTGCAACCCTCGTCCTTTTCATCAGAGGCTTCAAGTTCTACCGTCAACCACGCAACACCTTCTTCTCCGTCTTCCCATGGCGGCTCATGACCCTCTTCTCGCCCAACGAGTCCGCCGACCCGAAGCTGAGCTACTTTTGCCGCCCGCATACGTCAGAGACCCAGCGTCCGATCCTCTTCATGCATGGCGTTGGCGTCGGCATGCTTCCGTATCTACTATGGCTTTGGAGCATCCCCAAGGACGTCGGTGTGCTGTGTATCGAGATTCTCCCCGTCTCCTCGCGTATCTGCCCCCCTCTACAGACAACCAAAGAGCTCGTCGATGGCATAGACGCCATTATCAAGCAGCAAAACTACAACGACTTTGTCTTTGTTGGAAACTCCTTCGGCACGCTCTTTGTATCCCCGCTGCTACAAAGACCCGACATCGCGGCAAAGATCAATTCCATCGTGCTCATTGACCCCGTATCACTTCTCCTCCACCTTCCCGCCGTGGCCTACAACTTCACACGGCGGACACCGAAATGGGGCAACGAATGGGAAATCTGGTTCGTCGCCACAGATCCCATGGTCGCGCACACCCTCGCCCGCCGGTTCCGCTGGCAGGACTTCATCCTTTGGACGCCACAGTTACAAGGGAAGCGTACGACCGTCGTCCTCGGCGGCGAAGACTGTGTCACAGACCCGGACGCCGTGGCAAGCTACGTCTACTTTGGCGATCTCAACTACACGCGGCACGACAAGCCCGAGTGGGCGACGACGCCCGAGAGGTGGAGCGGGAAGGGGGAGCTGGAACTCATGTACCTGGCGGGCATGGATCACGGCCAGGCCTTTTTGAGTATCAAGCACATGCCGCAGATTGGCAATGTCGTCTTGGCATACACGTTCCTCAGCGGAGTGATGGACTCGAGGCAGGCGGATGCGGTAAAGGAGGAAGAACAGAACCAGATTTGATATAATGTCATGATTTATGGGGCGTTTTGTGGTTGGTACTGGATGGGTAGGCTGCGTGCGTCCTTTTCGCGACGTGGTTGAGGAGTGGATGGTCTGGGAACCTGCCCTCGTGTTTTGTCACTTTACAACATTTGTATCCAAATATTCTTCCTCTTCTCTTACCTATTGCGTCTCCTATTACTTTGGTGACTTCCAGCATGTCTGCATGATGCTGGTCTCGCGGTAATAGACGCCATCATATCTGATCCGAGCCTAGACAGTTCCAGTACGCATACTATTACCACGCGTGAACCCCGATATCTCACTACAGCATCACGATCATGCATCCAAAGTACATGGTCAGTCAATCATATTCATCCCACGGCAAAAGCCCCGCCTTCTGATACCCAGGAACATGCGGCTGCAATGGCGCACAACACTCGATCCTCACCCCCTTCCTCCCAAGCCTATCAACCTCGATCAACCTCACACGCACAGTAACCTCGTGTCTCTTTACCTGAGCAACCCCCCTACTCTTCCAACTCCGTTTACCAGTTTCCCCAACCTTGACCTTAACCTCCATATCCATGTCTACGAAGTGATCCAACCCACCAGAAACAGCAAACTGCGTATCCCTCCATAGCATATCAACCCCCAAATCAACCTGCGTCTCACAAGCATGACACCACAACCTCCACTCCCCATCAGCCCTCCTCCACCCGACAACAACATCGACCTGAATTCGCGCGTTCGTCGGCGACTCAAACCGCAACCCTGCAAGCACCGGCTCAAAATAGGGGTTCCCCGTCCTTATAATACCCAAGCTCGGCACCCACGGTCCAGTAGGATACGAATCAACAACCTGATACGCCTCTCGAATCCCACCCACCTTCCAACCCGCCTTGAGGACCGATATATCAGGTAGAACGTACACGGGATTCCGCTTCACGAAAACAGTCTTGTAGCTACCCCGTGCTGGCCTCGTCGAATCCGGCGCCGGAATGACCGTGCACACACTCCCCGTCCGGACCCGGGCATATTGGTTCCCCGATAACTTCCTCAGCATAATCCGCGGACACTGGTCCCCATTCTCGCCTTGGATAGCACAGTCCAGCACAGCATAAAAGTCATCCGCCGCGCTACCATCACCACCTTGAATATCGTCCACAGGCTCAAGGTACATGGATATCCTAATCCCCTGATTCGTAAGCTGAATCGGCTGCTGCCCCGTCGTCCCAAACGCCGGCAACGGGCGAAGGTACTGAAACTGCGAAAACTCAACTGGCGACGGAGCAAGCAGGCCGCTGAGGATATGCTGGTCAAATGCGGCCTCCTGCGTAGACGTCTCGTAGTTGCTGTGCCACCGCAAAGATGGAATGGTCTCCCGTGTCCTGCAAGATAGCCTCCTGTAGCCGCGCAAAGGCCTTCGTCCCCTCGCCGTACAGAAGCGGCATGTTGACGCCAAAGATACCCATCAGGCTATAAGCCAAGTCCTCTTTCCGTGTCGTGACTCTCGACGAGGCCCAGTGCATGCGCTCGGCGACGCTGGACGATTCTAGGGGGATGGTCTTGGTTAGGATGTCGAGGCTGATTCCCGTCACGGTTGCCAGCGCGGGACCGAGTGATTCGTCGAGTTTGGAGCCGATGAGGTGCCAGCTCTTATCATAAAAGTCGACATTGTCGGGGGCGATGAGCTCCTGGAGTGTCCAGCCGCGGGTGAACCATCTGCACTCGCGGAGAGCCAGTTGCAACGGAGCAACCATCCCGGGCTGCTGGTATATCGTGTAGTCCAAGTCAGAGAGGTAGACGTAGCAAACACTGGCCTGCTCGTACCAGTTGAACATGGAGTTGATTGCCTCGGACAATTCAGCACTGCTCGTCTTATCGATGCAGCACGTATCGATCCAGATGTAGTCGTACCCCTGACTCTGGGCAAGCCGGCAGGCTCCCGTGATCTTGGGATATCCGGACATCAGTGTGATGTCCTTTTGAGCATCGCGCACATCTTGCAGCGTAACCTCCTCTGTCCCCCACGTATGGGAGAGAATGGCATAGTCCGGCGCATTGTCTCCTTCGAATACTACAAAGTCTCCGAGCGGTTGTGACCCTTGGACTGTTTCCAAGAGCCTCATCGTCACTCCGTGTCTGTGCTACACAAGATATGGCTTGGCCGTTGAGGAGGTGAAGGCATGTTGCTGGTCGTTCCCGGTGGTTTTTCTCGCAGCCGCTAATGCAGCCTAGATCCCCGCAGGCCTTGGGCAGATCAACTCTCTTTTGGATCCATTAGAATAACCCCGGTACCTTTCGATACCATGCCAGGGTCAACGCCCGCCAAAACACCTAAGCTATTCGTACTCTGTTAGCTGAATGAGTCGTGCGTCGGTCAATGTGTGATGGGCGCAGTGTAAGTCTACATCTTTTTTGAGAACCTAATGTTCCTGGCACGCGAGATGAAAAAAATGTCCAGTATCATTGTTCATGTCGTATATCGCATATAAACGGTGTATATTAGCCTGGTATCGTCAAGTCACGCCTTGGGAGCGTCGGTCAGTGGCACATATCGAACCCCAAATAACTTCTCCTTCACAACAGATCCATCCTCCTTCTTGTCAATGGCCCAAACATACTGGTCATAACCATTATCGTCCTCGACGGGGATAAACATCCTGTCTCAAGTCAGCATCATTTTGCCAGATCACGACGCCGGACCAACTCACCTCCCAGGCGCCCGTAGCTGATCCACCAACTCCTGGTGAAGCTCCACTGCAGCAGCACCAACGTGAATCGCATCCCACCCCGTAGCCTCGGCCGTCTCTCCGTCCCGCGGGGCCTCCATCCAGCCTTTCCGTCCATCACCAACCCGGAACTTGACCTTGCCACTGTCTAGCAGTGCCCTCCCCTCGGCACTCTTAGCCATGTTGGTCTCACCCATGTCTTTAAGTGCCTGGATATGCTCCAGCCCGACAACGAGCCCTTTATCCCCCACGAGCTCGGCAAGGAGGTGCGTCAGGTACCCCGATCCGGAGCCAACATCCAGCACCCGTGGTGCGGGCCTTCTTTCGGAGGGCAGGATGTGCTGGAGGAGAGACTCGGTCGCGCTGGCGTGCATGTGAGGTGCTGAGATGGTGGCCTTGTGGCCTATGGACTGGGGTGAGTCTTCGTATGGCGCAACGGGAGCGTAGTGTGCCCGGTCAACCTAGCAGGTCAGATATATTGCTCCTGGCGTTGTGGTGATGACTGTAGAAGAGGATCAGGTACCTTGAGAAAGGCGTCCTTGACCCGTTGGTCTTTGATGAGGCCATGCCGCCACATGTTTTCGACCAGATCCTTGTTTGTCGCGCCGGAGCTTCGCCAGGCCATCTTGAAGTTGAGGGCGGGGGTCTGGTGTAGAAAGCGAGTGGTCTGTCGTCGTGTTGAGCTCGGGACGAGCTTGAGAGCTCTCCGGACCGGATGGTGTCTGGTATTCGTTTTGGCGAACGCTCTGCTGGGACTAAGTGACGGGGTGTTGATTTGCTATGTCTGATAACAGAAGCGAAGAGTCCTCTATGTAAAGGACATGCGGAAAGATGTTGTAGAAGAGACAGGGATGACGGGAGTGCGTTGCAAATGGAAGGTCAAATATGATTATCCCAGCCCAAAGGCCCAGTGATTCAGTTCCATTCCATCAGCAGCATGACGCAGCGCTATAGCTAAAGCTACAGCGCCTTTCTCGGCACAAGTGTGGTGGAGGTGGGTTGATCCCCCGCGCTCTCGAACCTTGTCGATAAGCGATCCAGGGAATTCAGGCTGCCCGGGCAAGTGAGAGCTCCCAAACTCTCGACCCCGCCAGGCGGATCATCCCGCTGCAAGCACTAAAAGATGCCTCTTCCGATCTGTGGAATCTGAATCTGATGAGCATCATTCCGCTCTTGTCTGGACGGGTGGCATTCCATTGTCATGGTTTGCACTAGAGCACGAACGGCAAGACCTCATATAATGTACTCAAGAGAGCCTCAGTATTGATACCAAGAATGAAAGCTGCTGTTGTGCTTCCTATGTAGATTAACCTGCTCCCATTCCCGATTCCCTAAAACACCCATAACCCACTTGACGACGCAAAGAAACGGCGCGAGATGCCAAATGTCGTAGACTCGTGGCCCAGACCAATAAATAATCACGTTTAAAAAAGAAAGAAGCCAACTGCGCTTCGTCACGCTGTGACACACGATAACGCCAATGCTATACCACTCTCTCGGATGACTCGCCATCGGCAATTATGGGCACAGGCAGTCCACGGTCGGGGCTCTGCAAAACAAGTTGCTCGTGGCGCCGTGCCTTGAGGTAGTCGCTGACAGACCTAATGAGGACGAACCATCCGACAACCATTAAAATGTACGCAATCCACTCTTGTCCGGTAATGTCCGACACACCGCCGCCGCCCTCTCCCGTTACCGCGTTGGGGTCGAAGTTGTGCGAGTTCGGGTCCGGCGGTGCCGCATATCCGTCTTGGCCGTTCATCTTGGGCGGGTGGTCGCCTTCCGTCGTGCCCTTCATATAGAAACCGTATTGGATTAACGTAATGCCCAGGCCGGCGCGTGAGCCGTTCTTGGCGGCGTGAGTCGAGTGGAGGAGGTATGTGAGGATGAAGCCGACAACCTGGAAGGACATGGAAATCATGCCGTTCCAGACAAAACTGAACAGAGACCCAACGGGCATTCCGTCAATGTAGACTTCATCGGGTCCACCGAGGCCTGGCGCCAAAATAGTCGTCTCCCAGTAGGGGGGTGCCGCATCGGCAGCGGCTTGCTCGTATGTCTAGAGACTGGTCAGTACAGCATATTCTCGGGCGAGTTGTGCCGTCCGCCACCACGCAAAGTGTGGAAGCGGTGGATTGCACGTACTGGAGGTTGCTCCTCCTTCGTCTCGCCTCCCCGCTCGGGCTTCGCCGTCAGGTTGGAAAAGACACCCTCATTCTGAATACCGCTGCCATAGATGCGGAACGGCGTCGTAGGTCCGCCGGCTGCGGATGCAGTGGTGGGAGGAAGCTGGGTGACCTGCCTATCCGGCTGGGGTCTTGACTCGGAGGAAGCGGTGCGTGATGGGTCGCGGGAGGTCAGGGTGGAGTCGGCGCGGACTAGTCTTTGCCTGTCGTCGGCGTCGTCATCGCTTTCGTCGCCATCGGTATCGAATGCGTCGGCGAGCGTGGAGTCCACCCCGTGGGCGGCACGGTCGCGCGACGATGCTCTCGAGTGGAAGGACGGTGGCGGAGAGTTTGGCACTGTTTGCGCGTGACTTGGCGGTGCGGAGTTGGGGCTGTTGAAATCGTCCTCGTCTTGGACGTTTACCTGCAAAGAATACATGTAAGCGGTCGAATGCAAAAATGGGTACAAAATGCGGCAGCTTTGGAACACAACATACCCGCTCATATCGTCCAGCCATCTTGACGAATGCTGTGTGATGTTTTTGTTTGCTCTCTCTTTTTTCGTTGTCTTGAAACCGTAGGACTCGGAGCGCCCCCTTTCGCCACTGGGCTAGAAGACGGCTAGCGCTGTGTAGTAGTTGGGGGAGAAGTCGTTGGGGGTAGGGGAAATCGGGAATACGGAGGCGGCTATTCGGAAGGGACAATGCGAGAGACCGAAGGAAAAAAGGCGAAAAAAGGTTTCGCGAGGATCGTAGGAAGAATCGGAGGGGTAAGGCGACAAAAAGGAACGACGATGGTGTTGTTGTGCTGAAGAAAAAAAGGGTGTTGGTTCGGAGGAAGAAGAACTACGCCATCAACGTTGGCTCGGATCGTCTACGGCTGGCGGTGATGAACGTCGGAGAGTCAGTCCAGGCTTGTTGCAGCGATACGGATACAGGAGGATAAGGTCCTGAAGGTCAGTAGGGTCGGGACTGTCGCACGACCCGGGCGCTGTCGCTGGTTCGCTTCGCTTCGCCTCGTCTCGCTGCGGTGAAGTGGATTACCTAAGGTACGGCTCTAACGCTAAAGAGCCCCTGTGGCAGTGGAGGTGGAGACAGTTCTCAGTGTCACTGCTAGGGGGGGTTACGTATACGTACTCGTACCTGTCCACGGGAATGTGCTGGAACAAAATGAGACTGAGGGGGGCACGGGGGGTCAATCTTGTGTTGCTCCGAGGCCGCCCTCTGCCTCAATGCCATTGGATGGTGCATTGGTGACGGGACTGCTAACGGCTGCCTCCAGGTCGTTGCTGGGCTGACAAAGATAGGAGACGGAACAAACCACGTCAGATGCCTCAGGCAAGAGTCATGCGCATAAGCCAACTTCCCACCCTGGCAAGGCTGGCCGACTGGATGATTAGGTAAGACAGACGTGGGTTGGTGGGTAAAGCCAAATGGACCCATTCTCCTCGGCCCATCGGATCCCCTTCACGGTTTAAGATCTTTTCTGCCAATCAGAAATGTCTGAGTAATCCTTTCAAATTCATTCACGTCTTTTGAGATTCCGTCTCCATTCTTCCCATTTTGGTAAGCGCCGATTCAGCGTGTTCCCTTAGCTCCGACAAATTAATTCTTCGACTGCGGACTGCCATTTGTTGCGAAATCCTTGACGTCGTCGATGGGAATCTGAAGCTACCGCGACTTCGCCCTCCGCTGCCGCACCCACCCCCTCTATCCACTGCCTCATTGCCCCGCGGTGAGACCATGATAAGGTAGTCGGCATTCGGTAGACTCACCTCCATTCTCTATTCTTTCCAATATCGCAGCCATGTCGCGCACAACGAGTGTATGTCTCTCCTCTCTGCCTCCCTTCCCGCCCTTCCGATCTGTCGTGTCACCGTCCCTAACATCATCTTCCTACAGCAAGCGTACCGGCACATGAGGTCTGCCCTGGCCCTGTGGCCCAAGGACAACCTCCGCCCCGAGACCCAGTTTACCGAGATCATCCAAAGAGGAATCGAGAGGAGGTACACCAAGCCCAATGTCGTCGACGAGGCCAAGGAGCTGAAGCAGGCGAATGCCCTCTATGCACTCGCCGACGACCGCTTCAAGAAGAGGGTGAGCTGGAGCATCCTGAATCCTCGCGCATTGCAAACTCTGACAACCCGTAGTTCCCCCTGAACGGCGAACTCTTGAAGCCCGAAAGCCAGCCGACATATTTCCAAGACCTGTTGAGAGAGCTCGAGGAGGCCCCGACACGAGGTTGGCTACAAAACATGTCCAAGAAGCTCTCCGGCATGTTCAGACTTCAATGATGACCATACAAGGAACAGCACAAACAAATACCACATACACGAAACACCACCAAGGATGGCATTTCATCAGCGAAAGGGAAGCCATTATGATAGCATGGGCATGCGTAATTGTCTAGGCCATATGTACGATATCTTGTACAAAACCTGTACCCTGTATAGTGTATCTATACCAGAAAAAAACTAGAACCTCAACGCCATTGTATTTTGTAGCATATCCTCCTTAGATGTACCTTCCCTCAGGGTCCACCTTCTGCATGAGGTCCATGCTCTTCTCGTACATAGTGAAGACGAGACCGCCGCTTACCACGAGACGCGCCAGCCGCGGCAACGCACCGCTCCACAATGTCAAGACACCCTCCTGCTTCAGAATCATGGCCGCGCAGCGGAACGAGTTACCATACTGCTGTCGTGCCGTGATACTCTGCATGCGCGTCTTGATCGTGTCGAGGGGCTGCGTGGCGTAGACTGTAATCAATCCGGCGATACCGCCCATGGCGAACGTGCCCACGGCGCCCAGCTTCTCTCCCGGTGCCGTGTAGGACTCGGCCATCTGCTTGAGGGCGTTGTACGCGCTGAAGCGCACCGCACTGTTGGCCGCCTGGCGGGCCGTCGTCGGGACAAAGCCCTGGAAGAATCCGCGGAGGCCGCGCTCGCGGGCAATGATGGGGACGGCGCTGAGGAAACCCTTCATTCGGGGCTTGCCAGACTTCTTGTCGTCGATGCTACGGTGTTATGTTAGCAATGACGAGGTATGGTTGACGTAGTAAAGCAAAAGACTCACAGCGTAGTCTTGATGCTCTCAAAGGGAGTCACAGCAAGAGCCGACTCCGTGACACCGGCTCCGAAGCCGGCGATGACCGTCTTCGGACCAGAGATGTTTCCGTCGGCGTCGGAAAGGAGCGTCTTATACTGGTCAAACGCAACGAATCCTATCCATTGGACGTCAGCGGGCACGAGACTCTAGCCCTGGAACAGCTGCTTCACGTACGGATTCCCGCCTTGAGCGAGTTGCCAATGATCAACGTGGTGCATCCCGCGTACCATTGCGCTCCGAACGGCGGCCACGGCAGCTTCTGTCCAGCACCCAGGTTTCGGTTCAATTGCGACCGGGTCTTGGCAACTGTCGAGGAAGGGTCAGAGAGTCAATCGCATCGAGGAATCGGTCGTGGTGGTCTTACATTCGGCAGGGTACGTGATGGCTGTGTCCGGTGAGTTAGCATTTCGTCTTCGTCGTCTCCTGGTGCGTCATCGGGGGACAGTAAAGAGCGACTCACCAATCTCGACAGCGCCGGCCGTAGATCCAGCCAGAATGGATCGCAGGACCGTCGGTCCGCCCTTCTTAACGGGCTGCGACTCATCCTTGGTCGCCGCGGTGGCACTCGTCGCGGTCGACATTTTGGAGGAGGATCTGCGGAGCGTGCTGGAGTTTGTCTATTAGACGGGCACTTTTTTTTTTGGAGGAAGCTTGACGTGCAGATGCAGTGCTGCTGCGTCCGAGATCGCGGGGTGTGGAGACTGAGGAAAGCCGAAAAGGTACGTACCGGCTAGTGGTCTGACGACATCCCGGCTGCTGACCGCGCATATCACACACCGACACACCTCACCGAGATACTAAGACACCGAGATACTGAGTCGCATCCTCAACTTACATGAAAAGTAGCCTTTCTTGTAGCGTCTAGTTATCACATGACGATTTCAATCTCAGACAAGTATTCTCAATTGGATGGGCTTTTGACATTGCCGTAGTCAGATACTTCACTTTCCATCCAGTCATCCGTCGAATCCAGACAAATGCCAGCAAATACCTATACTTTTGCACCTAGTCAGTCTTCCAAAGGTTACCGTCACCACAACAGTCCCCTCATTCTCATCAGTCTAATGTAACTTATGGCACAACCGAATTCTAGTTGGTATATCAATGATGGAGAACTTTCATGATCGTGGCCAACCAAAATACCTTGGGCACATCATATGCTTTCGTTTCCAAACATCCTCTTTATTTTTACCAGATACGAAAGTCGACGATCTTGTTAGAGCTTCTATATGGATAGATGTCACGTTCGCCTGTAGTCGAAGTCGAAATCTCGATTTTATGGAGGCTGCCAGATTTAACTTCTGCTTTTCGTCTTATTTTTAAAAGAGGTAGCTTTTCCGAATGTTGAAAGATGAATCGGAAATTACTTATAAAGACTTTACAGACGACACACCATGCTGGATCGCATTGAGACTGTATAGCAAGATCATCTCAATTCGCTTGATTTAATGGACCGAAAACGTTATTGGCCTCACTCGCAGCATTACCACTGCATAACTCGACCCTGCAGCTTTTTTTTTTTCGCAACAAGCTACTCGCTTACGCCCTCATCACGATAGCTGCGATTCTTTGGAAGCGTAAACATGTAGAGCCGATACTTATTCGAGTAGTGGGCAATAAGTTCTATTATCTTTGACCGCCATCCTGATTCAAGTTGACGTGCTTTCTACATTCTGATATACCACACGATGATTGTCTCAGAAGACTGCCCATGAACCTGACTTGCTGTAAACCGTTTATACAATTCAAGTCTAATTTCGTAAGCGGTATGGTTGAACAGTATCATCAGCACGAATATCTTAACAGAACCTTATTTTGAGTTTAGCACAGCTGGGGTAAACGTCCGTGACCTTAATCCAGACACCGTTCATGCAAATCAAACTACCGTCTGCTCAATAAACTAAATATTCATTGTTTACTGGTTGCCGTCGAAAGTCACAGAAACCATTAAAAGATATATTTGATGGCAAGAGGTTGAATTATGGAACCTGGAAGCAGCCATGGGCACGTCTCCCTAGTCTGTCAAAGACTATGTAGTATGTACAGTGAAACCAATTCTTCTTTGTAGCCGCAGGCTTAAGTTGCTAACGCATTTACTGCATCTTGGGGACCTTGATGGTAGCAATCTTCCAGACCTTGTTGCCATTGCTGGCAGCGAGTCCGGTGTAAGTGGCACCCTGGCTGACACCAATGGTCTTGCCAAAGTTGGCGTCGGCGCTGGAGAGTGTGATGGTAGTGTCGGAGTAGATCTGCTCAGCAATGGTGCCGGTGCAGCCATCGTTGCACTCGGTGCCGGTTCCGTATCCTCTCATGAAGGGGCCGTCCTTGTGGTCGAGAGTGCTGATGACCTTGTTGGTGGCAGTGTCGGTGACGGTCTGGCGCCAGGTGTCGTTGTCGTCGAGGAGGTCGTACTCGATCTTGATCTTCTGGGTTCCCTTGACGGGGGAGGAGGTCTCGCTGTCGATCTGGCCGAAGGAGCCAAAGACGGAGGCGCGGACGCACCACTCGCCGCTGACGGCACCGCACCAGCTGTTGTCGGGCCACGACTCGAGGGTGGTCTGGACGAGGTTGCCGGTGCCGTTGGACATACCGGGCCAGAGGAAGAGGACACCAGCCTGGGTGGGGGGGGCGGCACCAGGGGTCAGGTAGGTGACGGCGTTGATGATGGTGGAGGTGGTGGGGCCGAGGGAGACGGCGCCGCCCCAGGAGTCGCGCTTGGCGATGTTGTTGGAGGGCTCCTCGCGGCGGAAGAGGCCGGGGAAGGCCATGGTGGTGGCCGGGAGGGCGGCCAAGAGGAAGGTAGCGAACTGCATGGTTGCGGTAGTGGGGGTTTTCGAAGCGAAGGACTGGACTGAAGAACGAATGTAAGGAGTTTGGTTTGGTTAAAGGGCTGAAGAAGTGAACGTATGTGCTGAAGAAGTGAGAACCAAGATCAGAAAGGCTGATGGTCGAGGAAAGGCATCTTTATACAGAACTCCCAGAGTCTTGGCCTTTCAGTCCCCAGATTTCCTAGCGTGGGAGCCGCTTGACGAGATGAGAGGAGCTTGATGCAACGCAGTTGATTCCCAAAAGGAGAGGGAGTGTTCTGGCCCGCCTACTTTGGCTGGCATGGACGAGGATGTTCTCCATTCGGATTACTGTTGGGTAAGGTAGCACACGGAGCTGCCCATCGCGTGTGTTTGTCCTTCAAGACTAGGGTCACGGCAGAGGATGCTACGTTGAAGGGGCCCGGAGGAGAGTGGTGGATCGGTTCGGACGACAAGAACATGGGGTGTAAAATTCCGGAGGAACATCGTTGGATTCGATGGAAGAATCTTTCCTGTTGGTCCATCGTCGTGAAAGAGGGGCCAGAATGGCGTTGTAGTTGTTTGTTGGAAACACTAGGCGAGTCGAGCCCTGCCATGCTCGGCCGAGTCTGGAATAAGGTGGCCCCTTATTTGAGACCATTATAGCCTCCAAAGGCCCAACATCTCGGGCCACTGGCGGCAAACTAAGTACGATAGGCGGGAAATTAAAGCCCTTTCAAAAAGTCTCAACGTAGGGTTCATGGCCGGTACTACACTCTTACTTAGAGACTAAATTCTCGAGGACCAATGTATAATGGATCTCGCGCTTCGCAGGCGAATGGCCTCTCTCCAGATTGCCGTTTAGCCATATTGAGGAAAGCGAATCCGACGAGAGCTCATGACTTTAGCTTCATGCTGGGGAAACTTGAGGAGAGATTCTTCTTCTTTGGGATCCTCCACAAGCCAAGTCGGCAGTTGGCCCGAACCACGATGTCACGAAGCCAATCTACTTTTGGAGTCGTACATTCTCCCACCAGTGGTAGCGCGGCTCTTGGGTCAGCAGGGACCAAGGCTATCGGGATAGTATCCGATCAAATTTCAGTAACGGATTGGGCATGTTACATTCTGATCTGAGGGTTTCTGCATCGGCCTTCTGTTTTGATGTTCAATAATCATGGATGAAGTTGACAACCTTTTGAGTTTGCGTTTAAGGTGAAATCTGCTGGCAGCGATTCCCACGCCTGACCTGATAAGCGCAGAAACACGAATAGAAAAGTCATGAATCGCAGTGACCACTACTTGAACGGAGCCCCTGACTCTCTGCAGTGAAAAGTCGAACGAGAAACGACGGATTATCCGTAATCCGTTCTTGTAAGTGGGCATCTGCCGGATAACCGCCATGTGACGTAAGCAATCAATTTCTTTAAAACAAAGGGGTAAGTAAGTAGGTCTAAATGGGGAAAACAGCCGGCGAGCATTTGGAAAAGATGAATCCAATCAGGGGGGATTCAATTCCCTTTAGAGGACCTTTCCGCACTCGACTAACGACATAAACCAAGAGAGGAAGTTAAAAAATTGGTGCTGGGCAGATTTTCGACCTCGCATCGTCGGATGCCGAAGCTCTGATTTTTTTTCTCGGTCCTCGGTAGTCTCGCACGGGGCCGGATGCATCATGCACACGGGCATTTTTCCATAACCCGAGTTAGTTGCGCGGTGACGGGACCGGTCTTGGTCCTACTTGGCGGCCGGTGGAACTTGGGAACTGCCGTGCCGTCCGCTTGGGATTTATTCCCACCTGTTTGGATCCCCCAGACCCCAAGATCGCCATTGATTGACCGTTGAATTCTCCGGAATGACAAGCAGACGATGCCAGCGGCCAGATCGTCTCACCAGACAATGATTGACAGCTCGATAAATTTGACGTACACAGTCGACACAGTACCGCAACCTCCATGCCAAGAAGGCGAGGACCCAGTTGGAGACTGGCTGTGCTCAGAGCTATCACCCTGGTATTGGATCATGAGGATTCACTTGGTGACCGCGATGGTGGAGGTGTTCATCGCGTGAGATCATAGGATTCGTCACGGATCAACATCCCAGGTGACGAACACTGCGAAAAATAGCACAGATGCGCGCAGAGAAACACAAGAAAAACCAGATGGTCGTCTCCATTGATGTTCGCCTAGCCGGGGTAAGTGACATCACTATCAACCTTAACCTCCCTTGTTGTCGTACACCTCATCATCAACATCGCCCACCGTGATCGTGTGCGTGCAGGTGATGTACCAAAACCGACTGGCAGAACGGCTGGCGCGGGAAATAGGGGCCATTAAGTCTTGGAACGGTCGACAGGTGAGCAGTCAGCCACGTCCGCGAGACGAAGCTGGGAGACCCAAGCCTTCGAGGTTGACGAGTTCCCACCTGCCAGCTGGCCGGCAAGGACAGGCCTCGCTCGTCGGCAAGATGTTCAGTTCCGAGTCAGCGAAGAGACCGAAGCTACGTAGTAGAGAAGAGTCTCAGCTTACTTAAGGCTTTCGACGCAGTGAAGATGGCAAGACGGCGAGTTTTCCAGGGGCGCAAGTGTGGCTCAGCCCAAAGTCTTTTGACGTTCCCACGGCACAGTCAGCCAGCCTAAACCAGGCACAGGGGACAACAGGCGCGACGTCGGGGTCCCTGGCGTTGCCGTCTCCAGGGTCTCGCGGCATTCGCGGGCGCTTGTGGACAGTTATGTACATACGTAGTACACAGCAAAGTCTCATCGACGCCACAGCGGACCTGGACCCTTGAAGTTGACGTGGACACGACCGAAGACCCGGTGCGGTGCGTCACAGTTGTGTGAAGCTTGACGTTTCGAGGCGGCTCTTGACCATGTGTACAGATGTACGGGCATTGGCTCTTGAACCGATTTTTGTACTGCCATGCCGTAATTCATCAACCATTGTGCCACTCAAGAACTTCTAGGTGCTGAAGAGATGACTGAGCTGTTCGGTAACGGCCCGCAAGGCTTTCCATGAGACGGTGATGGGATTGGGTATGCTGATGAAGGGATCCTCCTAGTTTGAGCCCTACGACAACTGACTCTTGAGATTGAGACTGCTTTGACTGCCCAGTTCCAAAGAGCCGGTGGATGCCCCCCAACTGACGTTCATCTTCATGCGGCTATGCTCATTCGTCAGAGTCAAATGGGCCGCAAACCTCTCCTGCGCTGGACATCCTCGTAAACGGAAAGCTCCTCACAGCTCGGGCCCCTTCATCTCCAGCATCTCCTGGCCCTACCCGCATAGGAATGTAACCCTTTAGAGACCACAATATCCCCTCATCGACATATGATCGTGTAGGGAATATGAACCACTACCTAGCGATATTCAATGCGGCTGCGGCAAGATCACTTGGAGGTTTTGTTTCAGTCGTTGCAAATCAGGCGTTCAGGGGATCTTTAGAGGGAATCCGAGCCCTTTGGTCGTCATCCCATGTTGGAGACGAGACATTCTGCAGCCAGTCACGGAACACAAACAGCCTCGATCAAGCTCTGGCGCCAGCTCAAGCATGAGCTGAAGCATGCAAGATGGCAGGGCTGCTCATCAGTGCTCAGGCAGGCAGGGTGACTGGCCGTATTCGTGTGGTCCATCCATCCCACTCACTCACTACCGGTAATTACTGTCCGTGTAAAGCTCGCCCACACTAGGAATCTGCAGAGTTCCGCGTAAAAAAGCATGCGAAAAATAGCACAACCCCCCTCTCTTCCCGCTTCAAGGCCCCAAAATCCTTCCGAGGAGATCTTCCATGCATATCGCAACTCTCCGATGCATACAAAGTTCAGACTGAACTTCTGAAGCATCGAGACGTGAAAGGAGGGGAAACAGCTTGTCTCCCACCAAAGCTGTAGACTGAGAATCTTCACTTTTCGCTCAAACCTCATTTTCCCATCTCATGCCAAGAACAGCACAAACCAACAGCTGCCCACTCTCATTTCACGAGACAAAGCTCTAGACCCTGTCAAGCTCAGATCATTAATTTCAGCCTATTCAGGTGCCGTCGCTGACTCCGAACCCGTCACGGCATTGGAGCATACTCTTCCTCACGGGTATTGAGAAAAGCTTCAGAAGGAATTGAATAACAACGCACCGGGCGCCGGCACCAAGAAGCAAGACGTTCAAGACCTTTCATCACCAAGGTTACGGAACGGACACGTACACGGCACCGCACGCTGCAAAGTCACCAGCGCCGCCATCTCGCTACTCTTGATCACATCGCAACGCAGCGCAGCGCAGCATAGCACAGCACCGCACAGCACAGCCACATCCAGCTTACGACTCGTTTTTGCCATTGGATAAGTCTCAGCCCGCCGAGTCGACAGAGAGACAAACAGCAAAGCAAAGCAGAAAAAAGCTCGCTTCTTACCAAGGGACCGTCGGTATCCGCAGTTGAAAGCGACCCAAACAGTGCCGACACATCCCAGCAACTCGTGTGCCTATCTTGCCAACTTGGAAGAAGAGAGAAGACGACAGGCCTTTTTTGCGGCTCGCCAGGCACCATAATCCCGTACATCCCTTCCGGCCGCTACTGCAGATCCGGGGACTTGCTTCCCTTGTCCTGCCGTCGTTTCTATTTTTCTCGTTGCTTCTTTTGAGTGTCGACTCGCCTCATAATACTTACAATAGAACTGAGGTACCTCATCACCGGCACAACGAGCCAACCACTTCTCACTCCCTCGCTTTACTCCCACTCTTTACGAATACACGAGCAAACAACTGGAGCAACGAGCAGCAAGATATCCGTACCCACCAGGCAACGCATGATATTAGTATCTCTCATTCGCCCCTCTTCCTCTTGCTCATCTCCTGCGTCCACGTCCAGCCCTCGCCTTCTTTAATTCAAACGCCCCCAACCACCCGTCCTGCAGCTGCACGTCGATCACATCTCGCTCAGATTTCATCCACCACCACCAACCACGCGATACTCTATCCAGCGCTCTGCATTCAATTCTCATCGATCAACTCACACGCCAATTTTCACTCACATGGTACGGAGTACGGATACAACAAACAGGCTCAGATTCACCACCACCGCCGCTGCCATAGGCAAACCGAAAAGAGAAACCGAGCGAGTGAGATTTACCAGATGAAGTAAATCTTTTCCCTCATTTAAGCTCAACCTTTTTTACAAACTCTCTCCATCATAACCCCGTTTTCCCGACCCACACCAGCTCCAGCCGTGACATTTGACAGCGCCAGCTCCCTGGTCTCCCCTCTCGCTCGCTGCTCAACATCCCCGTCGTCCACGGCATTTGGCCCTTGGGTCGAGTATCCATAAGGCACAAGGGAGTACCCTTAAAGTGCGAGCGGGCTGTGAACCTCCCGCCTCACATCACCTCTTGGCTCAGCCACCCCTTTCACTCACACACACACCACACTACACCACCACGACCACAACAACACTTAACTACCCGGGAATCCTTCCGCCGACCTGCATCGAGCTAGATATACTCACAACCGCCCTCGCGCCCCTCTGCTTGGGCACACTTGAAGCGGAATAAATAAGAGATTCACTCTTTGAAAATGTCAACACAAGTTGAGGCTAGGTCTCTGGCCTCGCTCAACTACCTCGCCGCAAACCCCCCGCAATACCCTCACAGACCAGCCGAGCAACGTCAAGATCCCCTCACACTCTACATCTCACGTGTACCGGGCACGCGAGGTAAGCCTCTCATCCTCATTCTCACCTTTGCCCTCGAATCTCACGATCACACCATCTAACGCATTAACCCCGCAGACGTCATATTGACAACATCAAAACCTCATCTCAAAAACGTCACTAGCGAAGATGTCGCAAACTCATTTTACTACATCCATCTGGAGCTGCCCAGTGATGGCAGTCACCCATATCACCCAAACTTAGCAGCTGGGTCTCAGCAACCTCACCATCTTCGCAACCCGGATACGCCTAGGTCTAGCATGGATAGCACCCGCAGCACGGCTCAGATCCGGAGGAAACCTGTCGCCGGCGCAAAGGCGCCCTCACCGCCAGCCGATCCAGCTCGCGCTCATCTGCCACCTCAGACACAGACACAGGCTCAGACCCAGCCTCTACCTCCGACTCCTGGCTCACACCCAGCGGCCGCCGGCAACCGCAACTCCGGCTTGTACGGCTACGGTACCGGAAATGCGACGGGCTACGGCGTCGGCTACGGCACAGGCAACGACCCCCGCCAACCCCGGTGGACAGAGGACCGCCCGGAGCTGCCTCCGCGACCAACTTCCCACTCACCCCCGGCCCCGGTACGCAAACCCGTCGGTCCGCGAGCCATCCCTACCCCGGCACCCGACTACGACGCGCCCTTCGCCTCTAGACCTCCTCCTCCTCCTCAAGACCTTCACCGCGCCTCACCCTCACAGTCCCCCTCCCGCATGCCGCCGCAGGAACCCTCTTCGTCGCCCGCGCGTTCACGTCGCTACTCCCGCCCGACCTCCGTCTACCGCCAACAATCTCGCTCACCCTCACCGAACCGCTTCCATAACACAAAGGAGGTCCCCTACACCCTCTCCCTCATCCGTCGCGATCCGAGCACAGGGAACCAGTGGAACGTAGGCCGCGTCGCCTCCCATCAGCTCGAGGACTCTGGCGACGACGGGTACGAGTACTTCTCCTTCGACTCAGCAGGCATCTCAGCCCACGACCGCCGCCGCGCAAACGCCCCTCAACCCCCCATCAACATCCGTCTCGAGTCTTCTGGCTACGCAAAGTTCCGCCACATGCCGTTGCGCCAGAGCGTGGACATGCCACGAACATCGACGACGACTGCTCCCCCCTTTGCAAACTCGGAGGACGCGCTCAACCACCTGCAGCAGCAACAGCAACAATCTCCCGAGGGCGGCTTCTCGCGCCAAGTCGTCATGTCCTACACCAAATCCTGGTCCTCCAACATTCGCGAAAAGTTCAGCTCCCGGTCACGTTCAGGTAGCTTGATGGACGAAGGCGACTCAGTACCTTTTGGTTCGCCGCCAGCGAGGTCTACTCACCGCCACTCACGCCAGCTAAGCGCACACTCGACGGGGTCCGTGTCTTCTAATGGAAGTGATTCGGGCCCCATCATCACGCAACCTGGCCACGGCCTCCGGCCTCAGGGGTACGTGTTCGTCTCACCCTGGGATGGCCGCTGCGAGTTCCGCACGGGGAATGCTGGGCGTAGTGTTAAGTGCAGACATGTCCTGCCAACAGCCGGCGGTCTGAGTAACCCGCTCGCGCCGTCGAGTGCATCTTCGTACTCGGCTAGTGTGAGCGAGCTGCGGTTCAACCTGCCCAGCACGGAGATCTTCAAGCAGGAGGGCAAGAGGGAGCAGCTGAGCGGACATTTTAGCCGGCTGCTCAATGTTGGTAACCGGAACGGAGAGTATAGTGATGAGGACGAGCCACCTAGCCCGTTCGATCTGAAGCTCGGCAAGGAGAGAGCCGGTGGCGGCAACCGGGGGAAGAGGGCTAAGTTGGGCAAGCTGATTATTTATCCTGAGGGATTGAAGATGCTGGATCTGGTCGTGGCCGCTAACATGGGTGTATGGTGGGGAGCTTGGGAGAAGACGTTTTGATTTCGAGGTGCATAGGGGAGGGACACAGGGATGTGGTCATGTCTACGATGAAGATGAAGACTTTGAAAGGATTCTCGCGGTATCAAGTCGGAAGGAGAAAAGAAACGGAAGCGTGCGTCATTTTGAGGTAGCTGGCGTTGCCCAAGCTTGGCCCATGATATCAGAGCAAGGCGTTGGTCGGATTGTCTCTTCTCGCTTTGTGGTTATGAATCCGCAAGGTCACGCGTGATGGACATTTGGTAGAGATATTTGTTTATAAAGCTGCACTAGTATTCGTCTTCTCATTTCCAACCTAAACGCCCCCTCCCAATGTGATGCGAATCTAGGCGGCATGTAACTTGGAAGAAATAGGCTTGAAACACAATGGCGGTTGTAATCCTTAGGGATGCCATCACACAAGACTGGGGGCAATGGTGGTCAACAGACAAAGAAAAAGGTTGCTTTTCGCGAGAGATATTTACACAAGTCTAACCGACCCCGACCTGTCTGTAAAAATACACAACATGCCAAGATCACTGCTGCCGCGGCCCTCATTGTCCTGCGACCGTTTCCCCCCTCGCGTCCGCCTCGATGTGTCCATCCTGCAGGCATTAAACTGCAAAAAGGCAAAAAAGAAAAAGGTGTGATTCCTCGACGTCTCGCTCTCTACCACCACCACTACCACGCCCTTGACCAGAGAAATTTCTTTCTTTATTTCGTCTGAAAGAGGCCAAGTCTTATCTGTAGGGAGCATCGGCGCGGATAACGGCAGCCAGCTCCGGCTCCCACTTGTCACCGTTGGACAGCAGCTTCTCCTTGTTGTACAGCAACTCCTCGCGAGTCTCGGTGGCGTACTCGGCGTTGGGGGACTCGACGATGGCGTCGACGGGGCAAGACTCTTGGCAGAAACCGCAGTAGATGCACTTGGTCATGTCGATATCGTACTTTGTGGTGCGGCGGGAGCCGTCGGCGCGCTCCTCGGCCTCGATGGTGATGGCCTGGGCCGGGCAGATGGCCTCGCAAAGTTTGCAGGCGATACAGCGCTCCTCACCGGAAGGGTAGCGGCGGAGGGCGTGCTCGCCACGGAAGCGGGGGGAGATGGGACCCTGAGAAACTCCTGTTAGCCGGCTTGCTCTCCAATGTTTCTGTTTTGTCTGAAATCGTCCTCTCCTATCCTCGTTGTGTTGGTGGTATCGTGAGTTGGCAGCGGTCGATGCGTGTCCTCCTAATCTCGGCAATGGTCCGGCTCTTCCTGCGCTTCCCGTATGGGCACCTCATAACCACCTCAGGCCCTCAATTCCTCCATTGTCTCTTCCGGAATGATCGCAAAAGTCGATCAAATTCGGTTGCTCACCTTCTCAAAAGGGTAGTAGATGGTGTAGGGCGGGCGGAAGAACTGCTCGAGCAGGACGTACATTCCTCTCGCCATCTCGGAGAGCAGGAAATAACGACCAAGCTTGTTCATTGTGGACTCCTGGTCCTCGTCCCAGGTCTGATGTCTCTTCATGCGAAAGTTGGCAGGAGGGGGACCGGCAGGCGTGGCGTAGGTGCGCATGGCGTTGGCAGCCATCAGCCTGCCGACGTGCTGCATGGCGGCCGACGAATTTCTCGCGACCGGCCTTGTTGACGCCAGGGCCAACATGGTGACGGGAAGCTGGGCCGCGGGAGGCATTGTGCTATGGTTTCCTCGAGGAAGAAGAAGATGCGTCGGCGCCAATTGACCGGGCAAATTGGGGGGGTTCCGGGGTCGGATCGAGGGTTGAGGACGACGGGGAGGGGCGAGGTGTACGGCGTGGTGAGGGAGTAGGATGTTCCGGGGCGTTGAGAGCTTGACGTTATGGACATTCGGCATCCAGAGGCGAGCTTTGGTGCGGGATTACAAAGGGCGGCAATTGATTGGCTCTGGGTGGGTCACGTGGTCCGTCCGGGAGATGGAGGGACGGAAGAAATGCTCCTCGGACTCGACGATGACGGCTTCACTCACCAGCGCAAGTCAATTGATGCTGTAATTTTTTAATCAGAGTATCGGATGATATTACGATCTTGTTACTGATTTTTTCATTGCAATCCCTCCGTCCGGTCTGGTGATGTATCCAAATCCAAGATTCCCATAGATCACATGACTCTGCACGTGCACCTCCGGGGAGCTAGCCAGGGACACCTCGGGGGGTGACGAGAAATTTATCATCATCACCGGGACCTCGCAGCACCTCCTCCACCACTCCGAAGCTCCCATCAAATCCCAGCTTAGCCGTCAACCAACCGAAACCTCCATCTCCTCCATCCCGAACCCAATCTCCATCGCCAGCAACTCCCGAAGTCTAGTCCCTCTCAATCCACACACATACTTCAAAATGTTCCGCACAGCAGTCCTCCGTTCCGCGGCCGCTGCCACGCGTGCCATCCGTCCCGCCGTCCAGCAGTCCGCTCCCCTCGCCAGGAGATCCCTCGTCGCGCCCCAAGCTGCCTTCCGCGCTGCTCCCAAGGCCATTTCCGTTCGCATGTACTCTGCCGCCACCGGCCTGAACAAGCAGGAAGTTGAGGGCCGCATCTTTGCTTTGCTCCAGGGTTTCGACAAGGTCAACGACCCGGCCAACGTACGTCACCTTCTTCGCCCTTCCCAGACCTGCCAGCATATACCACCCGTATCAATTGAGTTGCGCTCTCGCAGCTAGTAGTGAGCAGTAAAGCTGACCAGAGTCTGTTCGCATGTGTAGATCAAGGCCAACGCCCACTTTGCCAACGACCTCGGCCTGGACAGCTTGGACACCGTCGAGGTTGTCATGGCCATTGAGGAGGAGTTCAGCATTGAGATTCCCGACAAGGACGCCGACACCATCCACTCAAGTACGCTCTCCATGTAACCCTTCCCATCTTGAACTCTCAAGTACTAACCAACCATCTTCAGTCGACAAGGCGGTCGAGTACATCGTCAGCCAGCCCGATGCCCACTAAATATCCCAGTCTCATTCCTCCACTGAATCCGTCCCCCCGGCGGTCTGTACAATAACCTGCCCCTCGGGCATCGACCACGCCACTCGCAACTAGAACGGGAGGGAAACGAAAGACGCTGCGTCTGCTCTTGAGGAACTCTTTGTTTTCGGGAATTGGGGGCAAAAGAGGGAAGGCGAGAGAGAGGCAATAACGGCTTATCTTTGTGTGTGTGTGGGTGGACGGTTCCGTACGATAGCCCACGGCGCGGCCTCCGCGCATGTACGGCATGGCGACATGATCTGGAGTTGGACATCTCTGGGCCCTGTTGACGTTTTGCCTTGTATTAGTGTATAGATTTTCGTCACCCATTGGCGGGGTTTTTTCTTCGTGACTAGTCCACTTGCTTTTGCGCCCGCCTTCAACATTTGGTCTGACCGATTCGTGACTTGCGTGGTCTCCGCAGTCTTCAGAAGGAGAATTGAGCGGAATGGAGATATGGTATCCTTCGGCATAATGAGAAACAGCGAGCAACGTGTGGACCAGCCCAGCGCTTAGGTATTCTACGGCAGCTAAAGGCAAACTGGGTCATGGCTGTGATGCATGCAAAGTTGTCACACTCATCACCTCGGGATTGTTATGGTGATCTACCGTATCAATAGAAGATGATACCATTCAATCGTACGGTCGTTCTTAATCTCAATAAATCAGCTTTATATAATGAAGGAAGATTAGACGGTGGTATCTGCTTTTCCTCTTCCAGGCGTCTCTAATGCGGTGCCGAGTCACACAGCCAGCCGACCTGTGGCTTTTGTGCCAGACAAAGCCAGATGATTCTCCCCAGTCATTTGTTGCCTTCTCTAGCCAAGTATCCGACGCAAATGCCATCCTTTGCTTGACGTGTCCGGGATTCCCGACCAGCTCCAAGCATAAAGAAACCACGCTACAACAAGGGCAAAGCCAATGAAACAATGCGCCGCAAGATTTTGACAGCTAGTTTTCCATATCTGCGAGTCATCCTATGCTGAGCCATTTGGTAGTATTAATCCTTCAATATTCAATCCCCGAGAGCCGACAAAGCGACCCAGCGTCAACAAAACTCCAACAAACTCCCTATCCTGTTGTATAAGCAAGCCACAGTGTAGATCCGATCCCTTTGCTCGTGTCCCATTGATTTTGTAGACCGGTTGAATTTTTCGTTTTCCGTTTGGCTTTTGCCCATGCATGCTGTGAAAATCGTGGCTGAAATATGTATTTGTGAGTGTCGTAGAGTTTCGTCAGGGTGTAAATGTCGAGACTTGTAAAAATAATGCCACCGAAAGCGTGACACTTGCAAGGCTGTCGCTATGCTGTTCTAGTTGCCGGAATTTTTTTGGAGGTTTCCTTCAACCCTCCGTGAAGCACATAGCATCAGCGCCCGCCAACGGTCTCAACGCTGACCGATGGCTCTCGCTGTTCCTTGGCCAAGCCGGAACCAGAAGTGGCACCTTTGTTGGAGAGGGCGTTGGCGTAGCTCCATCCACCTCCACCACCACCGATGCCAAAACCGGCCGAGCCACGCTTCCGGAGCCGTGCCGACGACTGGTCTTCCTCTTCCTCCATGTTGAAGACGAAGGCCGGATCCTCCTCGTCAATGGGCGTGGTATATCGTCCCGTAACGGAGGAGCTGATGGACCCGCTCGAGACATGACGCTCCATCGCGCGGTCACGTTCCTTGCCAATGGGCCCAGCGCCGTTGTTGCTCGGGGCTCGGCCCGTAGCCGCCAAAGGATGTAAGTGGGGGCTACCGCTTCCGTCGTCACCCAGCCGTGTGCGCTGAAGCTGTTGGGTGAGTGCCGACATAGACTCGCTGCCGGCACGGGAGCCGATTGGTCGGGCCATGGCACTGCCGTGACCCATCTCGTTCGAAAGCACCGAGTTTCGGAGAGGGCTTCCAACATGCCCAAAAACCGAAGGTCCATGCTTGTGGCCAAGCTCTTCTTCCTTCTGGCGCTGGAACAGCGGACCCCACCTGCTCGGGCTCGCGCCGCCAATGGGACTGCCAAACTTGGTCCCATTCTCACTGCCCGGCTCACCGTCAACAGTGCGCAGAGAGCCACGACGGGCCTTCTCGGTCGGCGTCAAGAGATCCTGCAAGTTGGAGGGCACGCAATCCTCCTCCAAGAACCCGAAATTGGCCTCCCAGTCGTGGTCGACGGCGGATGTCTTCGGCATGCTCGAACTGAGCATCTTTGGCTTCGCGTATCGGCTCGAATGCATGGCTCGCTTGCCAAAGTATTCCTCAGGCTGACCGGGAGGGCTGCTGGAAGCAGTGACATTGGCCGCAGCAAGATACTCACTGCCACCGAATGCCGAGGTGTGGAGCATCTTGAGGGTTTCGGATGTTCGTGAGTCTTTGGCGTTGCTCAGAGAGGGCGAGGGGGACTCAATGCCGAATTTCGAAGGGACGGATGATGGCCACGGCGCAGCAGGGAACCGGGCAGCATTAGACATGCCTTGGGAGTCGAAGGATGCTGGGAGCGGCGCGTCCAGTACTGAAAGTCCGTTGGCATTGACAGGAGACAAGCCGAGGCCGAATCTTGAAGCATCGTCATCGCGGGGCGAACCGTAGTTGGAGCCGGGGTGGGAGTAGGTGGTATCGATCGTAGGCAGGCCGTTCTCGAGGCTGGGCTGGCGACCCAATGACTGCTGTCTCTCGTCACCGCCGTAAGGGTATGCCGAAGTATAGGGAGGAACGCCTTCGCGGTATAGGCCAGAGGTGAGGGCACTGGTAGGATGGTAGTTGGAGGCTGCTGTGGGATTGATTCGTCCGCCGAGGGCTATCGGAGAGTTGCCAATCGTGACGCCGTTCTTGCCATAGTTAATTCGTCGGCCGTCAGGGAGAACGTGTATGTTTGCGCATTTGGGGCCGAATTTGCAGTTGCCCTACAATCACGTCAACCGCGTTAGCTTTCTTATCTGCGCTCCGCAACCCAAAGAAGCGCAAATGATGCTATAGCAGGCAGGGGTTGCCGGGATGCGAGGGGCACGGGCTCGAGGGTGGGATGGATGGTCTGTGTAGCCGAGGGGTAACAGTACTCCATAGAGCAGAGCAACCCGACGGGGTGGAGGGGCGGAACACATGAGAATGAGGGAGTTGTCGCGATGCTGCCCGGTCGGAGGCGGGAAATGACGCACCTTTGCAAAGTACTTGCAGATATTCTCGGCGGCAGAGCCTAGATCGTGACTGAAGGGGCAAGCATTGCCGGCTTGACAGGCTCCTTGTCGGAAGAATTTGCAGGGAACGTGGGAAGTATCTGTAGCGCAAGAGAAAAGACAGGTCAGCCGAGGTTGAATTACTTGATGCAAGAGAGAGAAGAGACAGAGGGGCAATCGCAGGTTGCTCAAGGACGGGTGCCGTGCGACGTGTTGCAGACGACACCACCGGCGGGAGGGAAGGCGAGGCGACCACGCCGACGAGCTTCAGCGGCGTGCCATCGTGAGAGAGCTGACGTGAGACAGCGACGGACACTGGCGGCTTCGGAAGCGAAGCAGAGAGCGACAGAGAGAAAGGAATACGACGATGGAGAGGAGGAAGAGGAGGAGGAGAGACAGAGGCAAGGTGACGTACTCGGTGGACTGCGTGGGCCGTCGAATCTAGCAGCGGAAGCGGTGGATGCGTTGGAGGCCATTGGGCTTAGGATAGGACTGGGATGGCCATTTTGCTGCTGGATGTTGAGGCTGTTACTTCGCATATGGCGATACTCGGAGCCGTTGGTCGAAGGCATTTTGGCTGGAGGAGGGGAGGTGAAGGGAGTGTGGAGGGGGAATTCGAAGAGGAGGAGGGGGAGGAGGAAGAGGGAAAAAGAGGAGCGAAGTGGAAGAGGCGGGAAGACGCAGGCAGTGGAGAGTGGTGGAGGGGGAGAGCGCGGGAGCTGCGGGCGCTGCGCCTTCAGTGAGCAGAGAGCGCTGTGGACTCGCCGAGGGGCCCCAGCTGCAGGGCAGTGAGCGGGCTGCTTTCGCCGGCCGGAGACGGTGGTGGTGGGGGGCAATCCTCACCCTCACTGAGTGGAGGTTCACTGAGCACTGAAATCGAGGGCTCTCACTGAGATGAGGTAGTGACCAGTAGGTGATGACCAGTGATGGCACTGCGATTGAAGCCGGTCCAAGCAGTATGGGGTATGTGGTATCGAGTATGCGTAGTTGAGGGCCTGGTGAAAGTATAGGCCAGATGAGAGAGGTAAGTGAGGTGAGGGGTGAGATGGCAATGCGAGCTCTCTCAGAGTCTTGGTCCCTGAGGATTACGCAGCAGTCAAGGCCCAGTCCACACGGTCGGTACCTGAGGTGGGCAGACAGACAGCAGTGCGAGCGGCGTAGGGAGAAGCGAGTAGTGTGTGATGTGAGAGCGAGCAAGAGGCTAAGAGTAATAGAGGGTGTGTAATGTGTGTGTGTGAGGCGGGATGCGTAAGGTGTGAGATGTAAGGTGCGACAAGGATGCCGAGCGGGCGGCAAAAGCGGTGCGCCTCGGTCAGATGCGGTTTGCAAAGGTGAAGGACGATGAGAGCGTGTAAAGGTTGTTGATGAGGACGTGGGATGAATGTTGCAATTTGCTCCACTCTGATCGGGAATAACTCAGTTTAACAGTGACAGCGACAGCGACAGCGACAGCGACAGCTGCAATCCGATTGGGAAGCAAAGTGTTCCTTAGGTGAGTGGTAAAGTGAGTGAGCAGCAAGAACACTCAAAAAGATGAGATTGAGCGGCCAGGGAAGAGGGGTGTGTATCCCGGTGTTTGGTGCTGAAGCCGAGCTGCGTCCGTCGTCGTCTCGAGTCAGGATATCGTCGTTGGTATCTTCAACGGAGAACCTTGGTGGCAAGCTGCTGCCAACCTTGCCCTGGGAAACCGTGAGACGTACAGGTCTACGCGGTAGTGATGAGTCTCGTCTACAGATGAGAGACGAGCGACGATGCTACCGGCCCGGACGTGCTATGTAAGGACTACTGTAAGAGTCGGACGCTGGAGCACGCGATGGAGGGGAAATCCCAAGTGGGACAGGAGGGCGGCGGGGCACGGCGGTGGTCTCGGTAGCGTTATGTAGCGTAACGCGGAGGAAGGGTCCGTCTGTCTTTTCTCTGCCCAAGTGTGCAACGATGGCGCCAGTGATGGTCTCGATAATAGGTAGTCGATCCAAAGGGTGATCTGACGCTCTCTGGTATCCTGCACGAATATGCGGCTGGATGAGAAGGAGTGGAGAGAGAGGGCGACCAGACAGATATAGCTGGGGTATCCGTAAGGTAGGTAAGGTAAAGTACCACGATAAGACCAGGGTTCGTAATGTCAGGCTTGCTGGATATTGTTGCCGGTGACGCGGGTGAAGAGGAACAAGCAAAGAGGAAATAGTAATAGTGAACACGATGAACGGACTGTGACCAGGGTCAAAGTTGATTCAGGTCGAGCGAGGATCGAGGTTCGAGTTTCTATGCTCAAGGTCGCAACTGGGGTCGATGATGGCGGAAGCTGATACCAAGATACCGCCAAAAGACCCAGTCGGCGAATCAGATGTTCGGCCCTCCCTCGAGCCTTGACCTAGGAGGTTGGAGATTAGATCAACTGGACCAGACAGCTTCAACGTGCCAGGATCTTGCTGGAGGGCAGACGGGAGGAGTCAAGTCACTCATGGCTGGCTGAAGGGGGAGCTTTGGGTACCCAAGATTATGTACGTACCTCGAAGGGGCAAGTGCTAAGCTGCAGGGCCTAGTACTGTAGGAGCAGTGACGATGTGTCGATGTTTCTGTCCCTCTCTCTGCTGGCTCTCACGGTTCTGTCGTGAACAGGCGGGAGAGATTGTCCTAGCGGGCGTTACTGCGGGGGTAAACTTGTCAAGGAGGCGATGATAATCCCAGCTATCCGTTGCGGCAGAGCTCCAGTGTCCAGATAAAGCACTGCCGATGCTCAGGGGGCATCTTTGAGGCCTGGCGGACCGTGGCGCTTCACTCGGAGCAGGGTTCGGTAAGCAGTCTACGTTGCTCTGGTGGGCTGACTGGAGGCTGGAGCTTTGGTTTTCTCTTACTCCCAAAAGGGCTTCGAAGATGTTGCGAGGCGCGGGCGGGAAATCGGCGGCCAGCTTTGAAGCCGCTAAGCTAGGCACCTTTGAGAGACGGCGTTGCTCCTATTAATAATGAGATTCAGATGGTGTAGAAGGGAGGTGAGAGGAATGGGACCTTGGGACTGAAGGATGCCTTCCAACGGCAGACTCGGAATCACCCATCCTCATATACCTCAACTTTAGGTAGGTAAAAGCCCAGACAAACAACACCCTCCATAGACATACGATGGAGCTCCCCTCTAAAAGCAGCACCCTCTTCTCATGGTCGTCTCATACTTGGTTAAGACTCGCTTCAAAACAGCACGCCCACGATACCTCACGTATCTCAAAGCGAGGTAGCCCAGCCCTTCATCTTAAGCCAGGTATACACTCCTCCTAGTATTCCAACCATGCGCAACAGTATTCCTACTCCGTAATTGCGGTAGGCATCTACATCAAGGTATCTGGTGAACCTGCCTTCGCCCCCTCCTCACTTCACCCATGTTGCCATCCACTTTGCTGCACTCCTCTTCTAAACCCATGCTCATGTCCATATCCACGCCAAGCCACGCCCGAATGCCGTGTTAGTCGAGCCTCACTCCTCGCACCCCAAGACACTCACTCTTGTTCTCGTACGAGCAAACATTTGATCTTTTCCCTCTTCGACTCTTGAAGCCTGCAGAGAAACACACACGCGCGCACACACCACACCCAAGCTTCAATTGTCTTTACTTCACTTCTTGCCATCGTCAACCCCCCTTCACCACCATCAGTCAAAAAGCAGGTGGCGTGCCTCCATCACGCGGCGACCCCATGATGCACTCATTTTCTACCCCGTACCCCTCAGCCACCCATCTTGCCCAGGTCAAGACATTTAGGCTCGCCGTAACGGAGGGGTCCAAAGAGGGTTCCACTTCTCGATGGTACAATCTGTAAAATAGATGGGTATAGGGTACGGTGTCAAGGGCAGTCAGCCGTGCCGAAGGAGTGTGGTTGGAAATACCGCTTCCCTTCTCGATACATCCCGCACCTCCCATCAATTGCTGTGCGTCGGGAGGAGGCGAGCCAGGGACAAAAGTGCCAAAAACGGCTGCCAGTACCAAATGGATCATGAGCCGTGGGATCGCCAGCGTCTCATGCCCACTCACACCTGGATTGCTGCCGCTTCGCTTCATACCGGTCATGTTGAATGAAGTGTCAAGTATGAGCGAAATCTTGTGGACATGCTCGGCTCGTCAGGTATCTCTAGTGATCTTTGAAGGTGATCGGTGGGAGCTTATCCCGCATGCCTCGCCTCATCTCACTCAATCATCAAATGAGACTTTCACAAATTTGACTTCATTTTCAGCAAGTTACACATCAATAATCTGTCGGTAAGGTCGAGCCCGCCGCTCATCCGCCGGCTGGCCGTTTGTCAATGATGGTGAGACCACCCACTGAACTGAGCATTCGTGTCACAGTAGCAACCAGCATGCTGGGATCCTTTTCAGGCGCCTGGCGCCCTGTGCGACATCTTGAAGATTAGACTCTCAGCAAACATTTGCCTGCTTGCCTCGTGTTTTCAACTGCGTTGGCTCTCTCTCTCTCTCTCTCTCTCTCTCTCTCTTTCTCTCTCTTTCTCTCTCTCCCCACTCGTATCGATGAGAGTTTCAGTCGATGATGTGCATCTTGGATTCGCATCTCAGATTTTCGACGCGCTGGGGTCGTATTTGAGTTCCAAGACCTCGAATGGCGGGATTATTCGATATCAGAGTCCGTCAATAACATCATCAGCACCAATCATGGTCCATGCCGACGAACCCCTAAAGCCGTCCATGTCTCTCAGCAACTTGCTTTTTCTCATCTCTCTGATCTTGCATTGTAGTCACAGCAGGGTTAATTGAATGTCTATGGCAAGCCCGAGTGGTCCCGCCCAGTGTCTCGCCTATCTCGAGCCCATCTAGCATCACGGGTCTTGGTCTTTCACCTGCTGCGTTACTACCTTTCCCTTTGACTGCAGCACGAAGTCTCGTCCCAAGGACACAAAAGAGTTACATCAAAACCGTCACTCGACGATCCTGACTCGTCAGTCACCCGTGAGAAAAGCAACCCAGACGGGCCATGGCAGTTCAACTACGACCTGCTCCCTACAAGCTTAACCTGCCATGTCGGGCAAGGCGCGGGGCCGCGCGCGAGTCGTCGCCGCTCCAGGGTTGCAGCTGTGCGACATCCAACGCAACGCGACGCGATGAATCCCACCCCACGCAGACACACCCCCGCATGCTGCTCGTGCTACGCAGTATTAGAGTGTGTTTACGCATGCAGCGTTTGAGGGAATACCTCAGTGCCCATCGTCTGGAGAGACACACAGACGAGACAGAAGAGAAGAGACAAGACTAGGCTAGACGAGCGAGATAGGGTTGATTGCTGCAGCAAAGGCTCAACCAGTAAGAGGTAGCAAGTAATTAGCATATACGAACGGTGTCAAGTAACAAGGTAGGTAGTTAAGTACCCCAAAGCCATGCGAGACCGGCGCATTGCTCAGTCCAATCGTTGTCTTGGCTCCCTCCCGCCCTGTTCGTGCGTACTGATCTTGTTGTTCTTGTTACATTTCGACGTGCCCCACGTCGCCATTAACCAACCCGACGGCTTTGCGAATACTTCACGTTGCGATATCCCATATCCCTCTCAATACCGCGAAGTCCTAGTGACCTTGCCCAGCCAAATTCTCGGCCGATGGCGTCTCCAGCTTTCGACACATGTCTCTCTCATATAAGCCCAGAGAGCGTGCTATCAACAACCCGACGAAATTCTGTCAAACCCGCAGAACATACCCCAATCTTTGCTGCCTATCCGCATGATGGCCTTTCTTGACAAGTTGACACTCCCGTCCACCAACCTCTGCCATCTGGCTGGCTCGCCTCACAGGGGTTCAGCTGCCGAGACAACAACACCTCCGTCAAGTGGCTAGGTGCTGTTTTTGTCATCATTGCCCCCGCCGGCAGTGCCCAGTGCCTCTCTTCTCTCAAGGAATCGTTGCTCATCGGACAATTTTCCTGGCCTGTTTCTCCTCCGAGGCGGTCCATCCGAACACTTTCTGCCCCAGTCAAACCTGCATCTGCCTCCTCTTTGAGACCCCGTTGCAGCCTCGGCCAGTAGCCACCCGTCTCACCGGCTCCCTTTGGGACAAGGTCAGCATAATGCAGTTACCCGACGACAGTCGCCTTCTTTCGGTGAACCGCATCGGCCAAGCCTGGCTCAACCCGATGACGCCAGCCATATCCGTGCCTTATGGGGTTGGTGGCAGCGCAGCGTCCCGACGGCAGCAAGCCACCTCCTATCCTCTCTATCATCGGCTTCCCTCGAACCCGTGAGCCAAGACGAAATCGTACCTGTCGTGCTTTCTCGCACAAGCTCTACCTCGTGGGCGCACAGTCACATCGCACAAAGATGCCCGGGAAAGGTCCGATGCTGCAGGGAGGCTGCTACCTACGCCAACGTCGTTCAACTTCCTGTAAAACCACCATACACTGTACGGCTTCCGGTCACGTCCCCTTCGTCGTCGCAATCGCTTCATGGATAAGGGTAGCTTGAACCTTGACCTTGAAGCAAGGCTCGCCCACCTCTCCGCGCGGCCCGCCGTCCGCCATCGCCCACGCTGATCCCTGCATCGACCAGGTTTGCCTGCTTGTCTTTTTCCTTTCTTTGCCCCTCCAGAGATGCCTTACTTACCATCTGCGGATACGGATACATCCTCCAAGCTTTGCAGCTCGCTGCTCGAGTGAAACATCCCAGTAGAGCTTGCATCTTCTGATGGGAAGCACCATGTCGTCTGAACCACAGCATGCTCTTTAAAGACTGGCGGGGCCAAACACTAAGGGCCGGCGCATCGCGCGTCTGCGCCTGAAAACGAAGAAAAAGATACATGTCCCCAAACCCAAGTAACTAACACCTTGGCCCTGCCATCATTCTCGACATGTTCTTGACGCTCCTCGTAGTCCGAACGAGCTCGGTATTCCAAATCAGATGTGATGCCTCTACGGATACAGACACATCAAATCATGAATCATGGACCACCCAGAATCGACTCCCCTGGTGACTTGAACGGCTACGCACCCTCTCACTCTCGCTCTCACTCTCACTCTCTCCCCGACTGGCGTATCACTCTCATCAGCTCACCGCCTCGGACCTGTTTCACGCACACTATCGTCCATATCCAAGTAAACCAAGTTCTCGCTCGGCACCACTAGCTGCCTCGTCATTGCTCCATCAACATTCCCGGGTCAAGCCACACTCTTCCCGGTCTGGACCAGTGAATCCCTTTTCGCCCTAATCCACCACTGCTTCTAGACCTTGCATGCACTCAAAGACTCATAGTCTTCGGACCCCAGCGCAGCAAGGATGTAAGGGTTCTCATTCCCTACGCCGATCTCTCCTCAGCCTCCCCGCCGTTTGCTCTCTTGACGACTTCACGGCCAACCCCCACCCTCCATCACGGACCCCCCTCCTTCAAGACATAGGTCGATTTCTCAACTCGTCCGCCCGTTCCGTTCACCCCATCACATCAAGGCCATGTTCATTGACTACACCCACTCACATTTCCCACAATCTATTCTCCAATCGACACATCAAACGGTCGTCAGTTCCCTGCCCCAACTGTGGCGTCTCGTCGAGTGGCTGACTCCTGTGAACCTTCTCCCTGGCCCACTGCCATGTTCACCTGTTGCCCGACTGGACAACTTTCTCTAGCTAGCATCGGACGGCTATGTATGCGACCGGTGTTACTCGCAGCAGTTCGCAGCTCGAATCCCGGTCCCCTGCTAGGAGCACAACATGTAGTCCGGAGAAGCTTACAGAATGACTTGCCTCCTCCTTGGTGGGAAGAATGCCGGGCAAACATGACAGGAAGTGGTAAATGCCATCGGCATAAAGCGCTTACATTCAATCATCTGTCCGATTTGGTACAAAAAGGTGGTCATCGTGGCGGCCGCATGAGAAAGAAGTCAGACAAATCACTGCTAGTCTCCGCTCACCCTTCCCGATCCTTCACACCATCATGTACGTCCTCCAACACCCCACTCTCAATCTTCTCTCAATGAAGCCGGATATCACCCTAATCTCTCTCGTATTGTGCTTCCTGCTCTTAAGGACCCAGAGGAATGCCGCATGACTTACCCCTTGGCTAATCCAACCTCGCCCCCCCCCCCCCGCGAGAGCCCGCATCACTTTTCTTGCTTTCAAGCCACTACCCCATATTATTGCCATGCTGGCCGAGAAGCCACGGCCGGCCACGGAACTAGTCTACAGGTAGCCCTACGACGGCGTCATGTCATACCTACGGAGACTTCTCTCTTTCCCATTCTTTGATTGTTCAACTGGTGGAGATACCCACCGTATATATAGGATTTGCTATGTACCGTATCCTCGACATAGCATCTGCCACATCGTGTCATTTGGCACCCTTGTCACTCCTCAACTGCCATTCCGACTTCCGACTCCTTCTCCGGAGCGAATAAGAACGCCCTGCCATTGTCTTATGCTTAACAAAAAATCCCGAGCCAGCTTCAGCCAAGTCTCTGCGGTAGTACTGACCCTGCTGTTAAACATGGTGTCCTCTGAGCAGGGAAAAAGCGCTCGTTAGGGTAGGACGGTCTCATTGGCAGCCAGCATCTTCACACCCTCTTCCACAAGATCGTCTTGCTCTAGATATCTTTGGCACATCATCTCGAACCCCATGATCCCCACCCACCCCTCCTTCCCGGCGCGTTCCAGTCCGCCTGTGGCAAGCAGGTTGGTCTATTGTCTTTCTTCGTGTGGCGCCCGGTAGTCTCGGATCTTGCCATCACGACGCGTACTCTATTACAGAGACTCCGTTTTACTTGAGCCTTTGCCCCAGGTTCCAGACATGACCACTGCGTTACAGGCCACAAAGTGACATTCTTCCACCGCGCTATGGATCTTTCTGAAAGACTCTGGCTTTCGTGAGATCGATGTTGAAGGTCTGACGACCCAAGGTGGAGCGGATGGGTCTGCTGATCTAGGAATAAAGAGTGGTGTCTCTTGCCATCGTGACGTCCGCTATTCCTATCGACGTGCCTGGCTCTACGCTTCTCGTGGGGGTAAGGAGAGGAAATTCAAGGTCATGCATGTCTTCCCGGAGCTTTAGTCCCGTCATCTTCCCATCATGAAAAATATCTTGTGAAGCTGAACAAACTGTCAAGAGCTTGATTCACTTCTTTACATTTGATTCTCTCGCGTTATGGGATAGCGTATGACAGTTCAGTTCATGTTAGCTCCTTATTCTGTTGTTAGTCCAAGTCAAACCTGTTATGTACGAAATCGCTTTGAATTTGCCCAATGGGACGCTAGCAGCCTAACTATCAGATCAAGCCACAATCCCAAACTTTGGGATCTGTACGGGCTGGGCGGCGGCTACGCGGTCACGGAAGGAACGCCCGCTTGCTTAGTAGCCTGGGGTTGTGACTTGCCATGTGACTTGAAGCCTGCGGCCAAGCGGTGTGGGTGGATGTCTCAGATTTCTTGGTCTCCATTGCGAAGACTATTGACGCGTTTGCTCGGGGCTGGGGATCCGCTGTCGCTTCTTATCGTAGATAAGCCGGCATGTTCGTTCTTCGACCGAAGATATTCAATAGGCTGTCTTTACATCTCGTTTCTACCTACATAGAAATATGCCAAAGGTTGCTCAAGGGAAATGCCGAGGCGACTAATCCCGATACAATCAATGTACGCGGGCTTGACAGCCCAGCAATGGGAATATGCAATGAAAGCCGGAAGGTCGGGGAGGCTAGGCAACCCTCCGAGTAGAGTCAACATTACAATACGGCCTCGTGATTTGCCACAGCCTTTGTTTGTATTTTGATCAGCTGGACGCGCAACTATCGCCAGGAAGGTTGTATAGTCTCAGGTGGGTGCCGTTGGATGTGGGCTTCGCCCACCCTCTGATGGCTTCGGGGCGTGCGACTCCTCGGACGCACAAGGCTGGCAGTAGTTTTCGTGTTTTCGATGCTGTCGTGTATGTCCTGCGGTGATCCGGATCATCGTGATGGTGTTACGACGATAATGTACATGATAAGTTATTCCATTTGGAATCATGCAAGGCGCCATTAACGCAAAGATGTTTTTTTTTTCTTTTTTTTTTCGCTTTATCCCTATGGCTAGGAATGCCAGGCAAACTCTCAACACTTTTATGTGACGTAACCTTTGCCGAATTTACAAATATGGGAAAGTCGATCGGTCGATGCTCGACTCCGGCGAGGCGTCTTGTTTTGTCCGACGGGCAAATTCTCGGACACTCATTAACATTCAATGCCGCAGTGTACCCCTCATTATTGCCAGTTTGTGTCAACTGGTGATGACCCGGTGAGAATGAGACGAAGAGACAGCGTTGCTTCCAGACGGCAACAGCTGGAAGAACCCCCTGGTTCGTTCAAAGATCTCGTATCGGACAGGGTAGGCGAACACTTGAGGGAACCCAAAATATCTGCCAAGCAGGACCTAGGTCAAGAATGCTCATCGTTGTTTGAGCATTAGAATTGACTTGTAGGATGGCTTGAAACGATGTTGACCTGGACGTAGATGCTAGTTGAGCGGTCCGATGGGATGGGGAGGAAAAAGAATACAGTTTCGATCTCAGGTCTTCCTGTACAAATGTTTCGAACCCCAAACTACCTACTTACTCATCTTCATTATCTATTTCAAGAGACTAAGCAGGAGTTAGCGCCGGAGCCGAGAGTTAACCTTTCGACTTTGTAGATATCAGTGTGGACTCTGTAGTTGTATTTTGAACTATTCCGAAACCCCAACGTTGCTGGGGAAGTCCACTGGCACCTTGAAGTAGGTTCGCGATCAGAAACGCTTTCTAGTACACGAGATGGGCATATCTCCTCCTGATGTGCGGCTCTCTCTTCAAAATCACCCAGGGTATTGGTGCCATAATGACAGAAAATGCAGCAAGAACTATGTTTCCCCATCTAAGCCCTGGAGCAGAACATTTTGGAGGGCAAGCGAGGGGCAGGAACGCTCCAAATACACTTCGGGAAATAGTGGAAGCCGCGAGAGCGAAAGCAGCTTATGTGCTGAATGCATCAACGAGGTATGACGCATGAAGGGTCTGAATGCTCCATTAGTATTATGAGCTTCTCAATATCGAGATCCACACAACTGATCGGGTTGGAATAGTGTAGACCCACGAACACAAACATGATGCCAACACCAATGATGGTTGTGCCGATCATTGGAACCAACCAAAAAAATAGATTTCTCCGCCGACTACCCATATAGAAGTAACCCGACTGGAATCATGGGCACGGATGATGCCATGAGGGGCAGACGAAATCCAGGTCTCCTGACTCCCTCTTTGAGAAGCAACGTTGCGGCGATGCGGTCAATCCAGATTAAGAGAAGTATTGTTCCAAATATGGTTCCTATCCCGACCCCTATGAACGTGAGGCCAGAAAAGCTGGCTGAAAATCCGTACTGGCCCATGAAGACCATTGGAAAGGTCGTGAAGAAGAGGTACTAGATCGTTAATTAGAATAGTGCAAAGGAGCGTAGTAGCAAGCTGGCAGAAAGATACCATGAAACCGTAGACAACGGAAAAATAAAAGGAAAGAGCTAGAACTACTGGATGTAGAATCAAAAGCCGTAGAGGCCTCTTGATAGCTCAGGAGAAAGCCTCCCCTAGCGAGTTGCTGCCGTCTAAAGCTGAGACATAACGCGAGTCTCCGGTGATTTTTTTTTACCTTTCTACTGCGTTTCTCGAGCAGTGTCTTCGCAGAGGTCTCTCTGAGAATCAATATCATGGCCATACCAAGGGGCCCTGCCTGTGAGATTGAACATCTGGGGTTAGCGACATCACTTATGTCTCGCCACAGCAGTTTTTCACCAAATGAGGTGGGTCACACACCATAATACACAACGTTCAGAATATCTATCGCCAACCCCAGTATTCGGCTAAGTAAACGCCCGCTGCCGGACCAAGTACGGGACCTAGCAGTGGGGCAATGGAGTAGACGGCCACGGCCCGGCCCCGCAAAGTCGGAGGTGCAACATCGGCGATCGTACCGCCTCCGATGGACAGTGTAGCGGCACCGGCACATCCGCTGAGGAGGCGAAAAGAGAGCAAGACGCCAAGGCTGTGCGAGGCAGCACAAGCTGCGTTACAGGCAAGGAAAACAAGATTCGAGATCGTATACGTTGGGTATCTTCCGCACAATTCAGACATTGGTGCAGCTAGACTGTCTTCGATCAGCAACTAGGCGTTGAATAACTGAAGCCGTCGCTTTTGAGAGTATAATTCTTGATAAGGTATCGAGAAGTATTGAGAATACTCACACTGGACCAAAGACGAAGTCGAGGTTGAAGATGGACACAATAAGAGAAGCAAGAACTCCCTCAGGGGCGTTAAACTCCTTAAGAATGCTCGGTACGGCGGGAGCGGGAGCGGATGAGGCAACTACCCTATACGAAGAACCACATCAGTAATTGCGCAATGAACAGAACTTGCTACTCCTCGACTAAGCTACTCGCGCCTGTAGCGTTGAAATACTCACAAGCAGAATCTGTACCCATTTTGACCTCATCGTCCAATGCATCGAATCTTCGGCATCCCGCGGTTCCCCCCAGTCGGCCACGTATGGAGAATCCTTCTCTGAGAGGGTTGAACGGTCGCTAGTTGAGGGGGAAAAGTAAGGCGATCGAGTCGACTCATTGTCGTCGGGAATGCTGCTGAAAGCGGTGCCCATGTAGAGGTTAAGCTCATCAACCGGCCCCCAAGGACGGCCATCCGCGCTGAGTCGGAACCATGAGAAACCTGATGTCCTAGAATGTCGAGAAGATTCACTGCTGACCCTGGATCGTCTCTCCGCCGATGCCACTGGCTCCGGGTACCGTGGCTCATCCAATCCCGCTACCGCATGGTCCTCTTGGGTGGAAGCCATTGGGCCTAGGTTCCACGCCTTGGTATCATGAGAAGCCCCGGCGGATAGCTTAAGGAGTGTTGTCGGAAGGCGATGAACGAACGAAGACGACTGCTACCAGAAGCCAGTCCAGGAGCCCGGGGTAGTTTCTGGATGATATGCAGCGGAGAAGCAGCGCCATGGGATCTGATCCTAGCCCTTATCCCTGGCTCGGACGTAATCGTTTCGCCATTTAGACACTGCCCGCTTGCCGCAGTCATACTACGGCAGTGTTGAGGGTAAACGACTGTCATAGTTGGTGGCGCTGCGGTGCCTGACGTAGCCCCGCTAAATGGGCTGTCGATTGCTTCAGGTAGATTCATCGGAGAGTTATCACATGACGGGAGCCAGCAAGTACCCCGTAGTACGGGGGCCTGGTATAAGGCCGGCATGACCGAGAAACTCAATAGGTGAGCGCGTTAAAGGGCTGTAAACGTCAGGCGCAAAACACGCGGGTAACCCCGGCCGATCTGAATGTTGCGCAAACCAGCTGCCGCGTGAGCCGACCTGCTGAGCGCTCAATAAGTCATCTACTATGATAATCTCACTGGGCTTGGCTTCCACATTTGCTGCTATTCACGGGGAGTTGGGCCTAGGCCCCCTGTTTCATGTTGTTCGAGAATGAATCGTATGACGCCTGGTCCGAACTGTGTGGTTGAAGTTTAAACTTGGGCCTCCAGCTGTCAAATTCAGACCCACGTCACACCTGCTTCTCAAAAGAAAGCTGTTCTTGGAGACGTTAACAAATATGTGTGAGAACTCTAGTGCAAATGTGAATCCAGTCCCTAAGTAGGTAGAGCCTATTTGAGAATTGGCGAAAATTCGGACCCCTGTTATCAACTTTCCTCATTGGCTTTAAGCACTAGAGGCTACTTCGACCTTTAAGTTGAATTAAGTCTTGCCTGGAACTAAACGCAGTTCTGAGATGTAGAGTGCCATTGGTAAGAAGTTGCAATTCGGTTTGTCATCTTGATATTGCCAGTTAGATGAGTATTAATGAAAGGATTAAGAACCAGGTTGTTTAGTCGCATGGAGCTGATCAATGAGAGGACTGGATACAAGATCCCCTGAAAACCAGCAATTGCTTGACCAATGTAAGTACTCTTCCCTATTGTCGTCTGTACCACCTTATGGTTCTCATCATTGAGATCGATTTGACAGCATTTAGCGCAATCAAAGCCACGACGAGCCTATCGATGAAGAATCTTCTGCTCCAAATGCCTCAAAGGAACATAGAAAAGGGCGCTCAAAATGGAAGCAATTTCGAACCCTATATCACCCCGCTCGTAGTTTCCGCAAGTGGTCCAGTCCACCAGGCTTGAGCCATACAAGAGATGACGGGACTGAAGCTTAGGATACCGGCCCCAAGTGCAGCCGCACCACTGGGAAGACCGGAAGAGATGGTTCAGACATGATGGTCGTATAACTTTGCGTCTCCCTTTCGGAATAAAGTGTTCCACCAAAACAATGCCGACAAAGGAAGCAGACCACCAGTACCCGATCAAAGCCACGAAGTTCTCCAAGTTGAGAAAGAAGTCATGATCTGCCTTGATAGCGACTGGAATCATAATGGCTGTGACGATGATCGCAAAGATGTAACGAGGAACCAGAACAAGCCAAGGTACTGGCGTCTGGAAGTTCGATGTGATGTGTCACGAGCTATGGCACGCAGCAATGGGCATATGAAGTGGGTTAAAGTGGCTTGAAGTAACCCATCTAGAATGAGCACATGAGAGCTGTCTATATAGTAAGTGAGTGTAATATCCACGTGAGAAAGCACGTGGAAAGGTGCTTGACAAGTGCTGATACCATTCCTGTTTCGTGACATGATGGCATAAAGAGTGCCAGAAACGTTGCCGAGCAGTGTGAAGGCCAAAATGACGACGACGAACTTTCCAAAGCCACCAGCACTCGACAGCATGGCAGCTAACACGCCACCGACTAGAGTCTTGTCGTAGCCTTCTTGCCACTCGGGCACGTTAGTGATGGCACCGCCAATAGCACTACCCAGAGTCATCAGAGGGACAGTAGGAAGCATCAAGCCGAGGAAGCTATAAGTAAAAATGCGGTACCTTGGATTGATAGTGGCTTGTAGATATCAAAGACATACTGCAGAGATGGGAAAAACTCACGATGCACCGCGGACCCTTGGGTCAAAGTAGGTCGTCAAGTCTGGAGCAATACAGGCCCAAGGGATCATGTATGATGCAACGATCATGCCGAAGCTCAGAATGGCAGATGCGGTTGCTGGGGCCACCTCGGCCTGTTCAGCCAGTCCCGAATCTCCGCATCCAGCGGTGATTACTATGGCGATTACTGCTGGGATAAAAGCGTTTGTTTTGTGGAAGTGCAATACTCTGAACCCGCAGAATGAGATGAATAAGGATAAGAGTGCAATGAGTACGATGCCTAGATCTGGACTGAGAGCACCGTTGGTGACGGCCGACAGACATTGGCCACCAACGACGCAGATGATGACACAGAATCCAGCCAAGGTAGCCAGATTGAGGACGACTGGCACTGATACAAGGTAGCGACCAAGGAAAGAAGTCAGCAATAAGTAGTGACCTTGGCTGGCGAGATGGCTTACCCAAAGCTGTATCTCGCTTGTATCATGGAGCACATTCCCATTTTGGGACCCAGCGTTGCGAAATAAGCCGGGGCTAATGTTGAGAGTAGCGTGAAGAAGAGAGTGACGAAGGAAGAGTCGCGGAGATTGAGGCCAAAGAGTGGGGGACCTAGTATACCGAACGTAATCCTCAAGTGCTGTTAACAGACAACGTTCGGCCCCACAATCGAATCAATGATGACCTACGGAAGGATATTGGCATTCATAGAGCACCAAACAGTGAAGGCGTTGAAGTACCAAGTTGATGTCCGCTCTCCCAGCGGAATCGGCTCAATGCCTTGTTCTTCAACTCGACCCAGGCGTAAAAGTTTGTGAAGTAGGCCATCGCTGTTGCTATGTCCACATGTGGACTTTGTCGTGACTGTCTGATAGCTCTTCCCTTGCTCGTGGAGTTGTTGACCCATGGATGGCGGCCGCGATGCCTCAATGTCCGTCATGACGATGTGGTCGCTGATCCTATGCAAACCTTTCGTGACGAGAAAGGGGACTGAGGTGAAATCGACTGCACAAACTAAAGCCTGGTTCGCAGAGCGCGAGGAAGAATAGTCGTGGCAGGCAAGCTGGGCTTGCATATGCGCGCTGCTGTTCGATCTTGTCCTACCTCGGACCCGACTGGGTGGTATAGGAGGGTGGCAATTGGATATGCATAAACCCACGAGCAACGGCAGACGATCTCCGTTTAGGTAGTCGATGAACCACTGCAGTGTCGTTGCGTACCTAACGGTACTACACGAGAAAGAGAAACCTCAGTAACACCGGACCAAAGACTATGATTTATATGCGATAAAAATGGGACCCCTCATCATGAGAGGGTAAAGCACCAAGATTAGAGCATGGACGGGGGTCAAATATTTCACATTGCTCATCGTCTGCTGCAGACAGGGCCTTCAATGACTCTTTCTGGACCTTGACAGGCAGCTGACATCTCTGGTGGTGTTCCCGCCCTTGTTCAAATACCAATACTTTGGGGTTAGCTACGAATCGAACTCGATCAAGCCGACTTGCTTGCCACCAGAAGTGTTTTCTCCGCGGGCAACAAGAGTGAAAGTAGTTGTACCTGGGCTCTAGCTCAAGCTCAAGGACCTCTCGAGTGCCTCGGGCTGTCATCCGAAGGACCAGAAGCTTTGCTTACCTTTCTTTGTGTCTTTTTTTTCTTTTTGGGAAAAAGTCTAATAACGCACGTCCGGGACTCCAGGCGCTCGGCACGTCCCTCAGAATGTCTTCGATCATCTAGGACAAGAGTCGATGGCAATCCAGTTCTGCTCTGGACTGCTTTGCGCTTGAGTAATAGGCGAGAAACTCGTAATCTAACGGCTTGGTAAATATATGAGTATGTTCTCGCTGTGTAAACTTCCCTTGCTTGAGCTCTTGGTTGGAGTTTGTCAGGCGTTCTGCGCCGAGTCACCCAGCACGCCGGCTAGAGTCGGAAACCGGAGAGATGACGATAATCATTGGCAATCGATCTGTTGACGGAGTCATCTCCGACGTTAACGATGACTGGAACGGCCATCAACATCCAAACCGGCGACTTTGCCGTAGGCTCGCTGATGAATGTTGATGAACGTTAAAATCGTGGGAAAATGTGCGTTTTGCTAGCAAAGCAAAGCCATTAACCAGTAATGGTCTCGCTCCGTTCCAGCATTCTGGGGCCAGTGGCTCGGATCGCGCCACCTCCGACACGGTTTGGATCCCTCCAGAAGATTATCACCTGAAGTATGATACTTTAGCAGCCACGGAAATGGAACTTCATATGGATGGTGGCTAATAGCTGCCGTTTCCTTCTACTTTGCGTACCAATCGAGTATTTCCGGCTTAAAATACCTGCCCTAATCACACTTAGTCACGCGCTACCTTATCATCAATCTATAACAGTTCCAAAGTTTGAAGCCCGCCTCCTCCCGATATCGCGCAGTGCTCAATACCTCTGGTAAAAAATTGCTAGAACTTGAAGATTACACAATTTTAATAACCGCCAGGCGAATCTTTCAACTATATTCCTGGCGAGTCTTTCAATGTCGTTCAGCAAGATCATGGTCTCGCAAACTTACTTACGTTAAGGCAGGCACATTTGTTAGAGAACAGGAGCTATCAAAGGCTCTCGTCCTGATATTGTTAACGTAATTATACGTAAGAAAGAGCTCGATAAGCTACATACCGAGACTAAAGTATCGGAACCTGGCACCTCCAAGCTATCTACACCGCTGGAATTCAGTACGGGACATTCAAGTCTGGAAGAGGCCCGGCGCCGAACAAGAAGAGAGTGCCGGCCCCGAACCCCGCCTTGACGGTAACTTACATGCTTACCCCTGACCCAAACCCCATTTTTCTTTTCATGGCTCGCATTGGCCCAAAACGCTTAAGCCTTGAGAGTCACGGTCACTTTCGTCTCAAGGGACCCAGCTCAACGCGCTACGTGGCGGCTCCTGAGACACAATGCCCTTCGGTTATATGACTTGTCTGAAGCTGGCATCGAATAGCTGTGGCCCTGCACCATGGCTTCCCGTCGCGGACTCTCCAGTCAAAGCTCCCTTGGAGCATCCTCAACAACTCTGCGAATAAGGTAGTCGGCAAGTCCCCCTTCGACATGACAACATGGCCAATCGACGACAACGGCGTGTCATAATCATCGCCATCATCTTGTTCGGTCTCTTTGCCTTCCACAGCCTTCGTTCCAGCAGCGAACCGCCTCCCGTCGTTCGCGAACATGTCAACATCCGCCTCGTCAAGAGCAGCTTCGACTGGGCCAACCATCGACACAAGTACCCAGTATCGCCGTCAAGAATGCACCATCTGCCTACACAACGGCCAAAGACCCTCCCGCAAGTCCAGTTCAATTTTGGCGCGAAACGATTGCGCAAGAACGATGCGAAATCCGAGTCGCGACGAAAGGCGGTCCGAGAAGTCTTTATCAAGAGCTGGACTAGTTACAAGGAATACGCGTGGGGCTTTGACGAGTTGACGCCAGTCACTGCCAAAGGGAAAGATACGTTTGGCGGTTATGCGGCTACTTTGGTCGATGCGCTCGACTCCTTGTGGATAATGGACTTGCGCGACGACTTTGACGCCGCCTTGTCCGTCATTGGAGCCATGGATTGGGATGATACGAAGGAGACGGCCGTCAATGTCTTCGAGACTACTATCCGTCACCTCGGAGGACTGTTGAGCGCGTACGACCTTAGCGGGGAACCCGTACTGTTACTCAAAGCCATTGAGCTCGGCGACATGCTTTATGCTGCCTTTGATACACCGAACAGGATGCCTCCTTTCTGGCTTGACTTTGAGCTTGCTAAAGAGGGAAAACTTGTGGCTGGTACATCAGACCCTTCGGCATCGCCATGCTCGCTATCCCTCGAATTCACCAGACTCTCGCAAGTTACAGGGGACCACAAGTATTTCGACGCAATTGAGAGAGTCAAGCTGTTCCTCGAGAGTACGCAGCGAGAAACTCAACTTCCTGGTATGTGGCCGGCGCTCATCAACTTCCGGGATGAAAGTGTTTTGCAACACAACGAGTTCACATTGGGAGCACTCGCCGACTCTCTGTATGAGTACTTGCCTAAGATGCATGCCTTGCTCGGAGGGGCGGACCCGGCCTACGAAAAGATGTATCGCCATGCGATGCACGTCGTTGAACAGTACCTCCTGTTCCGTCCCATGCTCCCGGACAACAAAGATATCCTATTCTCGGGGACAGCGTTTGCCGAGGGCAATGTGCGGCGCAACCCCGAGAGTCAGCACTTGTCATGCTTTGTAGGTGGGATGTTTGGGCTGGGCGGCAAGCTGTTCGGCATCAAAGAGCACATAGGTCTCGCCGAAAGGCTGGCCCGCGGCTGTGGGTGGGCGTATAGCTCGTTTCCGACAGGTCTCATGCCAGAGATCTTTGGCATGGTCCCCTGCGAGACGCTGGACGGCTGTGAGTGGGATGAGGAACGGTGGAAGCGCGAAGGCGCATCAGGCTTGAAAAAGGGGTTCTCCCATGCGAGGGACCCCCGTTACATCCTGCGTCCGGAAGCAATTGAAAGCATTTTCCTCATGTACAGAATGACTGGAAATCCAGAGTACCAGGAAATAGCATGGACGATGTTCCAGGCTATTATAAATGCGACGGAGACTGAAATTGCGAACTCGGCCATCGAGGACGTCACTGTCAAGGGGGAAACAAAGAAGCTTGATTCAATGGAAGTAAGTCACAGTATCTACTCGAAGCCAAGGACAAGTAAGGGACACGAACTAACAGTACTGCAGAGCTTTTGGATGGCAGAAACGCTAAAGTATTTCTATCTCGTCTTCTCACCCCCTAGTCTTGTCAATCTTGATGAGTTCGTCTTGAATACGGAAGCACATCCGCTTAGACGGCAGTTGCGATGAGCAGAAAACACAACATCACCATTCCAGGGCAGGGTTTGCATATTTCCATGCCTTAAGTCAATGATCTTTCCGTCAATTCGTAGCCTTCTATTCGATGCTATATAAGGATATGCGCGCAGAAGTATGCATGCCTCGTAATGCTGGACCTGCCAGCCCATCTCCCTTCCGGGCCCGACTCTGCATCGATGACGTTCATATCTCATCATATGCAGTTCCCAGATAGTGTCACGTAGGAAGCCATGTCCCCTTTACCCATTCACCGTCTTATTCGAGGCAGTCCTTCTAGTGCTTCCATCTCAACAGCGTGACCGAGGCCTTCGCAAATTCATACGGGCCCTTGCCATCCCACTTGCTCTCAGTAATACCGACGGGGTTCTTATCACCGGTGTTGACGACCTTGACGTTCTCGCCGGTGACGGTGTAAACCTGGACATCGGCACCCTCCTTGACACCCTCAAGGTCGACGGAGAACCCCTTGGTCTCGTGGACGTTGACGACAGCCAGGTTGACGAAGCCGTTGTCGTCGATGGTGGCACTAACATCAAGGTAAGGAGTCTCGATGGCGCCGCGGATCCAGACAGGCTCGGTAGCACCCTCGTACTCGGGAGCGCGAACGTGAGTGGCGATGGTAGAGCCTCTCATGTACTTGCTGAACAGCAACAGAGGCCACCAAGTGGTTTGCTTGGTGATGCCTTCTTTCGTAGTCATCAAGGGGGAGATGACGTTGACTGATTGAGCAATGTTGGCCATGCCAACGTACTTTGCCTGACGGACAAATACGTTGAGCCAAACACCGACAGCGAGAGCATCGGAAAGAGTGTAGCTGCGGCTGACTGTCAGTATTGCTTGCACGGATCACGAAGGTTGACATGAGAGCGTTGACTTACGCCTCCTCGGCACCCTCTTCACCGGGTGCTCTGACGGGATCCCAGACATTCCACTCATCGAAGCAAATCTTCTGCCTCTTGCACGTGGGAGGCACCTTGTTCTCAATGCGGGCCAGGTCGATAAGACTGCCAGTGATCTCAATGGCGCGCTCGGCGGCTCTGGGTGCTGTGCAAGGGGGAAAGTAACGTCAGTCGTCAGTCCTATGATCGGCATACAACTACAACTAAAGTAAGAAAAAGGAAAGAACTCACCTGTTGCGTTCTTCAGATGGTCTTCCGACGCAGTGTAAAGATGAATGCTGTGCATGTCGATCAAGGACGCAGTGGTGCTACCACCCAGACCGTGCAAACTCCATGTTATGCACTCCTTGATGACATATGTGTCCCAGCTGCTGAAGCCAGTCTCACCGCAGAGGATCAATTCTAAAGAGGGATCAAGAAGTTTGAGTGCCTTGGCCCACTGGTAAGCCTGCTTGGAATAGTCCTCCTTGGTCATTTGCATGACCTGCCAGGGACCCCAACACTCGTTGCCCAGAGCCCAGTATTTGACCTGATGATAGGTGAGCGGAATGAACCTATGCGGAGGCCTTGGAAGTTGTCGAACGGGGCCAACTCACGTTGTAAGGCTTCTCGCGTCCATTCTTGCGGCGGAGGTTGGCATAGTAGGTGTCCTTGTCAGAATTGCAGTACTCAACCCACGCAAGAGCTGAACATGTGAGTATTAGTCAACCATCCTCATCGTCTAGACGTTTGTAGGAATCGGTCCCAGCTGGTGCAATGGCACTGGGAGATCGACATACCCTCATCAAGTGTGCCGGTGCCAAAGTTGAGGGCCAAGTAAGGCTCAGCGCCAACAACCTCACACCACTTCATGAACTCGTCTGTTCCGAATTCATTGCTCTCGACGCCGATCCAAGCCAGCTCAGGTCTAAACGGTGGATGCACGTTAGCCACTCGCTGCACTCCAAACGCGGGCCGTTTACGCAGGGGTCCAGATCCCCGGAGGATTCTGCGTCAAGGGGTCTAGATTCCCATACTGGTGACCTGAAATTCAGGAGGGTAGTTTCTCCATACCTCTTGGGACGGTTTTCCTTGGGACCGACGCCGTCAATCCAGTGGTAGGTAGCAACAAAGTTACCACCGGGGTACCGCACAACGGGACAGTTCAGCTCCTTGAAAGCCTCAATAACATCCTTGCGGAAACCGTTCTTATCAGAGAGAGGGTTGCCGGGGTCGTATATGCCACCGTAGATACATCTTCCCATGTGCCTGTGGAATGCTTGTTAGTAAGTTTGCATGTTTACGTGAGCAGCCCTCGGGTGAGAGGCAGGCGGTGGCGCAGCAGGAAGAGCTTACTCTGTGAAGCCACCATAGACGTTGTCATCGATTTTGGAGACGACATGGGAGGGGTTCAACGTGATGCTGGGGCGAGCATCCTCTGCGATCTTGGTGAAGGTCGCCATGGCTGGATCTGGTTATGTGGTGTGTGGTGAGGGCACTCTCTTACTGTCCGAGCGTGAGTGCGGCGATGGTGGTCCGATCAACCGGTAGCTGGTAATTTTATGCAAAAAGAACAGCTAGTCGATGAGTGGTGGAAAATGGACAGGACGTGTGTACTGTGGCCGCAAATGCACGGGATCGAGGCCGGAATTTGAACTCGTCAGGGGCGGGGGCAAGCGGTGAAACAACGGAGACAGGCTGAAGAGTGGCAGAACAGCAATGGAGGAGGATATTGGGTCGGCAGAGGAGGGATCGCAGACCAGGGGCCTAACTACTCGGTTTTTGGCATTAGTTACCGTAACAGTCGCTTTCACAGAGATGGGATACCCGGGCCAAGAAGTCGGACTGGGGCTATGCGAGGAGGGGTGGCCCCCGATTCGACCTGGTCACTGACACCAAAGGCGCTCATCGATATTGACCACTTATCAACATGTTTAAAAGCGGAGAGAAAGTGCGGCTCTCGAGTCTCGACTCCAACAGCGAGAGGTCAAAGGCAGGTGGTGCAACAGGCGCACGAATCATAGAGGATACCATGCGGAGAAAGTCGACGATAATGCGGGTGCCGGGGTATCGGAGTGGGGTAGTCGGCTCCGAGTGGCACAGGATTCAACAACCCGCATGACTGACTGTGCAATGGTCTGCTGAGGGATGGAGTGGGATGGGACGCGATACTAGCTTAGGATGGGGTGGGGGGTTAGAACAGGATCTATTGGGGATAACGGGGAAATAGTTGGAGATTCTGATGAATGGGGAACTGTGAGCCGGCCCTTTTTGTTGTTTGGAACTGCATGCAGATGCCGGTATCATGTGTATGTAGTTGGTCCTCTGGGAAGCATACGATATTTACATGTACGACGTTTGAAGACGCCGTCAATGGAGCCAATTAGAGGTGGGAGTGAGGGGGCTTTCATGCAGATGCCACTGTTGTCTCTTTTGACACAGACCTTCACTACATACAGTACCAATACCCACAGGAGGGATCCGTACGGATCATAGCCGAGGCGTGAAGATGGAGACCATATTGGTCGCTGTTGTCAGGCCAGAACCCATTTCAGGCTTGACTAATGACTTGGCGCGCAGGTAGGGGGTCAACAGCTAGGGCGGCGGGTATGGTGATGGAGGCGCGTATTGAGTGATGCCAGCCAAGATTATCAGATGCGAAAAGCAGTCATCCCCGATATCCGCAAGTTTGCAAGGACAAGTGGTTGACATGTAGATGAAGGCTGAAGCGAAGCCGGAGAACAACGAGGAGTAAATGAGTGCTGGTTGGGCCGGCTACCAAAGGACGGAAAAGCAGCCCGAGCTTCAAATCGCGGCGACGGTCGAGACGGGCCCGAAGAAGGACGAGCCATGAGCAACAAAGAGAAGACTCATAGGAATAACCTGGAGACTGGAGTGACCCGAGTGAATCTACGGAGGGACCGAGAGAATGCGGAATATTTTCCAGCCATTTTAGTTTTTTGAATGCCAAGTCCCGAGGTGAAGTAATCAAGGTGAGGTACGTACCTGAAGGTGAGGTGAGGAGGAGGAGGAGGGAGGAAGGAAAATAGCGGGACTAACATCGGGTAATGTGGGGTCTCTATGGTCCGATAACGGCTCTCATTGGAGCGCATAGTCCAAATGCCAAAGCTTGATTCTCCTCCAATCTCATGCCAGTGACGACGTTGGCTGGAATAGATGGGACTTGAGCTATCTTACCCAATCAGATGGGATAACGTCGGTACGTACTCGATAAGTCTGTTTGCGCCCGAAAAGTACGTACCTTTAGCCCGACAGTATAGAGAAAACTTGCCCGGCAACAATATTGAGGCAGCACGGGTCATCACGGAATCAAAGAAAAAGATCAATATGAAGATCCATACTAGAGAAATAGAGTAGGAACTAAAGCATTCAAAAGTCATGCTAGGGCGGAAATGAAGCGCAACTTGATCGCACTAGCTAACACGCAAATGCCACCGCCCCCCGATATTTCTGCGGGAAACGAGTCGGCCGAAAGATCTTTACGAATCATTCTTCTGCACGCGGTTGAAAGGAGAGATCAGAGGCCTCACTTGCGCTCTGGACAAAGCCACCCAGGGTCAGACAATAGTGCCCGAGTTGCCATGTGACTGATTCTTGTCCACATGGGTCTTCATCCCTCGTCGCCAGTTCCAGCAATTCGGATCGCCAAAAGGCAGCAGCCAACAATGTGTTCATCATGGCCTGTCGTGGCGCGCCCCCTTTGCGTCTCCAGTCATTGCCGTGTCGCTCGTCGGTGTTGATGAGCCGAACACCCATACAACTTCCACACACCATCCACAAACTCCGCCTTGAACCCCCAATCCTAGCAACTTTCCCCGCGTGCCCACGTTGTTCAAAATTATGGGGATTGGAGAAGGTCCTAGCCGTGAACCTTACTGTCTACCAGTACGGATACCTCCAGTCGTCTTTGACACGCGCAGTTCCTGACACACACACACCAAACGAACACTACCAGCTTGCGCCAACAACTAGCAAACTAGCGCACCATCTCCGCACCCCGGCGTAACCTGGGGCAAGGGGGTAAGTCTGGGGCCGGGGCAACCGTCACCGATGCCGTCTTTCAACGGGCTGAGTGGCCCCGGAAATGGTAAGCCAGGGATTCGAGTGCCTCCCCACTCTCGCATATCCCACAGTAACTTTACCACCAACCGAACGCACCACGGCAACATTACTTGACGTTTCGCTTGCGCTAGCCTGTTGGATACAAAGTTGTCCACGGCTCTGGGGGAGCACGAGAGACCGACCTGCTTGAGCCTTGAACTTTTCGATGCTCCCACGCTCCCAACCGATGCGACCTTCGGGCCAAAGTGGATACGGGGAAACATGGGGTCGCTCAAACATTCTATAAAGACGCGACGATCCCGTCGTGCTGATGCAACACGCGAGACCGTTCCATTGCAGCTCGACGAGTCGGTTTAACCCTGAACCCTCGAATCCTCAGTTCCCCCCATCCGAGGCTTGGAAGTTAGTTGCCTTCTTCCTAACGAGCCCGCAACGACTACACGACACCTGCTCGAGAGTCCTTCACCACCAACCCCCAATACCTAGCCCACCATGGCGCTCCCTCCCAAGTGGTACCAGTTCCTTGTGAGCGTCTTCGCCTCACTCGGCTCTTTCAACTACGGTTATGATTTGGGTGTCATTGCCTCTGCCATTGCTTCGGCCTCTTTCAAGACCAAGTTCGGCGAAGACCCTAATGAGATGTAAGCCAACCCCCAGCCCCCTTTGATGAGAATTGCCACCCACGGGAACCTCCCGTCGACCTACATGAACCCAGAGTATCATGACTAACTCTCTCTCAGCGGCGCTGTCGTCTCCGTCTTCACCGGAGGTGGCTTCATCGGTGCCGGTGTTGCAGGTCCCACCGGTGACAAGCTCGGCCGTAAGAAGACCATTCTCATTGGTGCCGCCATCTTTGTTCTCGGCGGTGCTCTTCAGGCTGCTGCCCAGTCTCTCGCCTTCCTCTACGCTGGCCGTGCCCTCGCTGGTATCGGGTACGTCAAATTTTCAATCCAGATTTACAAACACCGCGAGACAATGCTGACCGAATTCTTCACAGTGTCGGTATGTTGACGATGATTATCCCCATGTACCAGGCCGAACTCTGCCATCCCAGTATTCGAGGACGAGTCACTGCTCTGCAACAATTCATGCTCGGTGTTGGTGCTCTGGCTGCTGCTTGGATCTCATACGGAACGTACATCGGATTCGCCGAGAACGACAACAACCAGTGGCGTGTCAGTCTGGGTATCCAGTGCATTCCCGGTGGAATTCTGGCTCTACTTATTCTCTTCTTCCCCGAGTCTCCTCGTTGGCTCATCGATCACGGCCGCCTCGACGAGGGTCTCGCGACCTTGGCCAAGCTCCATGCCCACGGCGACGTCAACGATGCCTGGGTCCGCGCCGAGTTCGACCAGATCCAGGACTCCATCGCCGCCGAGCACGAGGGTTCCGCAAAGTCTTATAAGGAGCTCTTCACCGACAAGTCTTGCTTCCGTCGCCTCTTCCTCGCTTGCGCTCTCCAGGGCTCCATTCAGATGACCGGTGTCAGTGCCATCCAGTACTACTCCGTTGCCATTTATGAGAAGATTGGCATCGCCGGCGACGAGACCCTCCGCTACCAGGCCATCTCCTCCGTCATTGCCCTCGTCGCTCAGTTCTCCTGCATGATGCTCATCGACAAGACTGGTCGTCGCTGGCCTTTGATCTTCGGTAACCTCGGCAACTGCGTGACCTTCATCATTGCCACCATCCTTCTGGCCAAGTTTCCTCCCGGCTCTCCTCATGCCAGCGGAGCCACCGCCTGGGGCTTTATTGCCATGACATGGCTCTACAACTTCAGCTTCAGCGCTACCTGTGGTCCTCTATCGTGGATTATCCCGGCCGAGATCTTCGACATGAAGACCCGTTCCAAGGGTGTCTCCATCGCTACCATGACCTCGTACGCCTTCAACACCCTCATCGGCCAGACCACCTCTGTGGCTCTTGATGACGAACACGGTATTGGCTGGCGCTGGTACATCCTCTTCATTGTAAGTCACTAGCAAAGCTACTCCCAAGTTCACCAAACGATAGTTGACTAAACTGCGCTTTTTCAGGTATGCAACTTTACCAACGCCCTATTCTTCTGGGCATTCCTCCCCGAGACTGCCAAGCGTCCTCTGGAAGAGATGAGATATCTTTTCACCGAGGCTCCTCTCTTCATTCCGACCTTGGATATGAAGACTGTCGAGTCCCACGACCTGGAGCGCAGGGTAAAGGCGGTCGAGCAGAAGCGCGAGGAGCATGGAAGCGAGCACATTTGATTCATCAATAGATCTCACTCTCACACTCACACACAAACACTCCCATAATACCCAAGCACATAGCGTACTTAATTTAACATTCGGCGCACTGGTCTGACTATAGATCCAGCGCTTTATCAAAAACAAACAAGCATCCATCCTTCGCACATTGGGTATACTTGTATACACTCATTCCTAACGCCACACCTGCCTCGTGATAATTGACCTGCCTATTCTCGTTTCCAGTAAACATGGTGCGTCATGTTGTCTAACGTCCACCAGCAGCTGACTGCCATTTATCTGTATCCATGTGTCGGGGGTGGTCTCGCTACGCCGTGGTGTCCGTGATGGCCATGTCCGTGACCCGGCCCGTGTCCGTACCCAGACTCCATCATGGCCGGGCCGCCACGGCGCTGGCGACTGAAGCGCGAAAACATGCCCCCACCCCCGCCACCCACTGGATGCGGCTGACGACCGCGCTGCTTACGCTTGCTTCGGAAGCAACAGCAGTAGCAGCATAGAACCCAGAAGGCAATAAAGATGAAGCCGGCAATAGCAATGCCGATGATTGCGCCAGTCGCAAGGCGTCGTCCGCGTCCGGCCTGGTTCATTATCTTAGATATTGCTATCACGAGCTGGACTTTGAGGTGAACTAACCATTGTTTAGGTAGGTAGATACGCGATGAAGAGTAGGTAGGATTGTTGAGTTGGGTTGAACCCTATTGATGGAGTTGGTGGCTGATTTTGCCGAGGAACCGACTCTCTGTATCAGGTGATTTTCTGCGCAGAGAAGGCTTTTAGGTTGAGTGTACTCAGTATTCTGCCACGATGCTAAGAACGAGCCGCCTGCCCAACCTTATATCAATCCTTCTACTACGTCTTCTGGGCACACGACATCCTTGGCTTAGACTATTTCCTGGTCATATCGAATAGTTTCACGTCATGAACATGGCTTAGAGCGCTATGGCCTGGCTATGGTGGTGGAAACACGTCAGCAGGGAGCTCGTTGTGGCGTATTCCAAGAAAAGTCGTTATTTGGTAGCTCGAAGAGCAAGGTTTTCCCCATTACCGTAGCTCCGAAGTCGTAGTCTGTAAGTCATGTTCCAAGCCAGAAAACGGCAGAAGTGCCGTCTGCTCACCTTGGTGCTACGCCTGGCTCCACGGTGACTTCATCGTCCAACTTGGCTCGCCGTCGACGCGTGGCTGGTGTCTCGGTGGGGCCGGTCCAAACGGCACCTTGACGCGGCGCCAAGGTGGGCCGGCAATCCGGCACCGCCGACGTATTTTTGGTGTCTCCTCGGCAGCACCGAACCGGCTTTTTTACATTCAATGGCCTCATGAATAGACTTGGGAAGCCTGATTGGCACATTCGACAGAAGCGAATGATCGTAACTTACCTAATAACTCAGGCCTTACAATATTGAAGTCAGCAAGTAGGTGAAATCCGCGTCCTGCAAGAAAGCTCGAGGACACATTGAGGAAAAGTGTCGAAAGCCAGCCCGATACTCTCAGACATAAGACGCTTGTCCGGGTTCAGTTTCTGTATTCTAGGTGAGTTCCATCAGCGGCCAGTTGGCATTCGTACCGGTCAATGATTTGTGTGAGGTCCGGCTCATGACAATTGAAATTTTAAAGGTGACCCAAGATAATCTCGATGCCCCGCTAGTATGTAACAATTAGCCTGTATCCCACCGGGAACGGCCCACCAAAGAAGGGCTGAGGGAAAGAACATGGGTCCCAAGCCTCCGGGGAGTTGGCAGCTTTGAAATTCAATTTCGAGGAGTGTGGCTTCGATTCTGTACTTCGTACAGAGTACGGACCTTGACCGAAACCCATTATCGGCAACATTAAGTTAAGCTCAGTAGCCTTATACACATATAGATCTTGCAAGGACGAGCATGAACTATTTCCTATAAATATTTCGTAACTCCTTACAACCATTTGGCTAGGCATCATCTGCTGCTGCAACGCATACATGTATCGACGGCCGCGGAGACAATGACAATAAGTAGTGCTGGAATCAATCTGACTCTGATATGGGATACATTACGCCTAGAAGGCCGATGACCTCGGTACATTATTATAAAGCCGAACACAGGACAGCGACGCCTCGGACATCTCTTCCTGATGATCATAGACCAAATGTCATCATCATCACCCGTGATACGAATCTTGTGGAACATTCTGCCTCGAGTGCTTTGTGGGAGCTTATTTCAACGCCTGCGTTGCATCAATGTGTATGGGCTGACGGTAGCTACTGTTGCGGCGATAGTCAGAATGCCTCTATAAGCTGTATGGCTGGGAAGGGAGTGTAAATCGTCGATGGCAAGATAATCACCTCATCTGCCGCTTCTTCGCCCAGCACGGATCGCTTCGCGACCTCTCTAGCGACTCTTAAAATCTCCTCCGCGCTCTCCTCCAGGATACCCTCCATACCTCCTGTCGATGTAACTCTAATAACTCCTCCGACCCCCTCATCGACTCCTACGGGATCCACGGCAGCCAGCAGCAATTCGACCTGAGCAATCGGAATGGGGTCATTAGTGGCGCTTTGGGTAGTGATGTCGGTCTGGGAATAGTTGGAGTTGCGGCTGTGTTCTCTAGGCACAAGAAAAAGCAGATGGATGCAGAGTGAGCTAGGTTCGAGGCAAGTCTCAAGGATAATGCGAATAACTGGCCTGAAACCCGAGTACTCCTCTGAGCTCCCGGTCAAGCCGAATCCGCTTGAACTGGCCACCATCAGTTGAATTAGATTCAAAAAGAACACAATTCTTTGTGAATAATAATACCCATGACCCCTTGATTCTATCTTAATCCTTATAGACTCTAACTTTATAATCGTCTCTCCACTTGTCCTCAATAATGACGAGTTGGGCCTTTTGCACCTTGTCTAGATACCTGTCTTCTGGCACATCCTTGTAGTCGTCTCGGTCAATATCCATGTAGCCCTCTTTCGCAATGGTTCTTGGTGTGATCATCAAAGAGCGCCCTGGAGGATAGATTACGTTAGAGTAGATTGTTATCAAGTGGCTCAGGGTTTGTGACTGACCGTTGATGGACTTATCGCAAGCAACTCTCATCATGCAGTTTGCCACATCCTCTTGCTCCCCAAATTCGACACCATGGTCGATCAGCCACTTCTCGTACTCTGCAGTGCGGATCGCGCTCTTGATCCAGCACGGGGCCACATAGACGATCCGGATGCCTTGCTCCCAGCTAGAGCGTCTGGCGGTTCTCATGAATCCATGGAGGCCGTACTTGGTGGAAGTGTACTCCCAATTTCCTGGGGAGTCAATCCAGCCAACCATGCTTCCTGTGATGATGAAGCATCTGTCTCTATCCTCGGCTTCTGGCTGCTGTCTGAAGTAGTGAACTGCCAGTTTCCAAGTGTAGAAGGAACCCTTGAGATTGACATCGACGATGTTGAGATTAGGCTTGACTGGCTCCCCATTAGAGTCATCCAGATTCCATAGACTGTCTCCCGAACTTCGACTAATACCAGCGTTCGCGATGACGACGTCTACGCTTTTCGACGGGCTTTTGTTTTTTGCCGTCTCGAACATGGCTTTCTGCTGATCCCAGTCTCTGATGTCGCATTTAACAAACGTGCAACACACACCATTTGCATTCAGTTCTTGCTCGATATCTTTGCCCCTGGCATTAACATCGCCGAAAGTGACAAAAGCACCAGCTGCAACGAAAGACCGTACACATGTCTCGCCCATACCATTGGCACCGCCTGTAATTATAATCGACTTTCCCTTGACGTTGTTGCGATCAGGGATGATAGTGTGGTCGATTGGACCGTTGTAGGTGTACTGTGGGAGGGGCATGGTTGCAGCGTGTCCCGGTATCAACAGCTTAGATCAACTTTTCGGGGCAGAACAAAGTAGGGAGAGACTTAAAGAGTTAGGAAGCTTAGTTCCTAGTGTCCGGTGTACTTCAAATTTTGCAGTATGAATGATGAGCAGAAGCCCAGGCTCTTAATCGACCTGACGTCTCTTCAGAGTGCAACTCCAAATATTCCTTTGTTGTTCCCGGCTCTACACAACCGGAACCGAACCAGACGGGAGGGGAAAATTGGAGTCAGCACTAAACCCGTGAACGCCCCCAGGTCCCTGATCATTACCCCAGCCCCCCTTGCATCCCCCGCTGGGAAACCGTTTTGGGATAGCCGATGGCAATCCTCAAGATGGCTGACTTGTCGTGTATGCTTCGGCAATCTCATACACGGCAACCCAAAGAGGACGGTAAGGCCTAGTGGGTCCATAGCGTGGCTGGCAAATGGCTTGGCTGGATATCGTGTTAATCCGATGAGGCCATTCTCCGTTGGAATTGCCATAGTATGTGCCGTGTCCAATAAAGATAACGCGGAATGGGCTATCTCGGAGATCACTAGAGCGGAGGGTATTTTTCAAGACACCATCTCTCAACCATAAAGACGGAGAATCAGGGTGCTCGTCAGAGACTTCAATCTTTTGCTCAATCACTTGACAACGTGCGTTCCCGTACTTCAAATCCACTTCCATCAGCTCAAGTTTTGAGGCCTTACAAACTTACCCAATCTTTTCCTTTAGGTCAATCAGAAATAATGACTGCTTCTGTTGAAGCACCGACCATCGCACCGGTCGACCCTGGCCCAGTTGCAACATCTCGCGTTCCTAGCGACGTGCCACGAATGCCGGCACCAGAACTGCCAGAGATCGTCCAAGGCAGTACGAGATTTCCACAACCTGCAGTAAGCAGTCAGAATGGCGTTTGCGACGATCCTTTCAAGCTCGACACCAAATATGCCTACACCCCACGGAAGATGAAAGTGTTCACCATTGGCGCTGGTTTCTCGGGGCTACTCATGGCCCACAAGTTCCAGCATAGATTTCCGGAGATGAGAGGCATAGTTGAGCACACTATCTTCGAGGCACATAGCGAGGTTGGTGGTACTTGGCTTGTCAACAACTATCCCGGTGTCCAGTGCGATGTTCCAGCACACATTTATGTGAGTCCCCGGCATCAACCACCTCGCTCAACCAAGCCTGCTAATTAGATCTCTAGGCATTTCCGTTTGATCCCAACCCAGACTGGAGTCGTTTCTATGCGAGTGGGGCCGAGATTCTCAAATACATGAAAGACACAGTCAGAAAGTGGAATCTTGATCGCGATCTTCAGTTGAACACCAAAGTCGTTGGTGCTGTTTGGCAGGAAGAGCTTGGCCAGTGGAAAGTCACGGTAGAACACCAGGGAGAACAGCGTGACGAGTTCTGTCATGTCTTGATCTCTGCACAAGGTGTACTGGTTCACGAATCCTGGCCTGATATCCCTGGTCTACGAGATTTTGAGGGCCACATCACTCACTCAGCTCGCTGGGATCACGACTTTGACTACTCTAACAAAAGGATTGCTGTGATCGGAAACGGCTCTTCCGGTATCCAGATCGTGCCTCAGATGGCCAAGCTACCTGGCACCGACGTGATGAACTTCATCCGCGGACCGGCTTGGGTATACTATCGCGCGCCTCCATCCAAGCACCTTGGAAGGGACGACCCGGATCCTAACCCACGATATACCGACGAGGAGAGAAAGAAATTCCATGACCCTGAGTATCATCTTGAACATCGCAAGGGAATCATTTCGCGCACCAACAAGTCCTTCTACATATTCATGAAGGGCGAGAACAACAAGGAGGGCATGAGATTGGCAGCAGCACAGATGGCAGAAAAGCTGGGCCATGACCCAGAATTGTGTGAAAAGCTCGTACCAAAGTGGGAGTTGGGATGCCGTCGTATTACGCCTGGTCCTGGCTATCTAGAGTCATTCTTGCGACCAAACTGCAACATCACCAACAGTGCTATCATCAGCGTTTCGAAGAACGGTGTTCACACAGCCGATGGCAAGTTCTATGAGTGTGACGTCAGTAAGTAAAACCATCTAATATAGCTCGACTATTTTGCTTTTCGGCATATCTGACAAGTCCCTAGTTGTCTGCGCCACTGGATTCGACGTTTCTCATCGCCCAAGATACCCAATCGTCGGAAAAGAGAATGTTGATCTTGCCACGAGATGGGCAGAAGATCCTGACTCTTACGTCTCAGTTGCTGTTCCAGACTATCCCAACTACTTCATGATGATGGGACCCAACTGCCTAGGCGGCCATGGATCCTTGGTAGAGTCTCTGAACTGGACAGGAGACTACTTTGTGAAATGGGTGAAGAAGATGGCTACAGAGGACATCAAATATGTCGAGCCGAAACAAGAGGTTGTTGATGCTTTTATCAAGTACAGTGACCAAGTACACAAGACACTTGTATGGAGCGGCGGCTGCAAGAGCTGGTACAAGAGGAACCGTGTTGATGGCAGGGTCACAGCCCTGTTCGGCGGCAGTGCCCACCTCTTCAACCGGATGCTCACTAACATTCGCGGCGAGGATTTCAATATTTGCTACCGTACATCAAACCCTTTCAGGTTCATGGGCAACGGTTTCACGGAGTGGGAAATGGATTCAAAGAGCGACTTGTCTTGGTACGTGGAGAAGGCCGAGGTTTTACGCACTGGCGGAGTCTAGATTCGAGATGTAATTGTAGCATTTTCCGTAATAAAGTGTTTGATTAATCAGACCAAAAACTCCAATGCAGACTGCCATTGCGGATCAGTTGATTGCTACCTAGGTTTTTGTTTGTTTCTATGCCAACAAATGCAAAGGCTGTATCAACTCGTCATCTCGGCCCTCATCCAGGAACCATGAAGTCCAAACGATAATCCACAAATGGCTCGAACAAATCTTCAAACTGATTGACGAGTGTCTCGTGAAATAGCGCATTGTCTGGAGACGGAAAGCCTCTTGTCGCTGTGCCATGTGCCCAACCAGTCAAGAGACTGTCAGCTATTCCCCCGGTATGTTGTGTAGCGAATGGGAACAGTGCAGTCCAGTCGAAGTCATCCAGGCCTTCTCTGCCCATTGGCACTGCCTCGGCATTTGACGAACCAGGAACGGAAACCCCAATCCCATCATGGATGGGCTCAGTGGTCTCTGCCTCCGGCCTTGCGGCCCTGACCGCACCTAATTCGGTACCCCTTAGTCGTGAGAAACCCTGCCGAATGACGTTGGCGGAACCCCACATAATCTGAAGCTGGTCTGCTGCCCGCACGAGGATATCCAGACAGTCATTGGCATCTCTCGCCAGGTGCGGGATTTGACAGGCCTGGAGAAGTGGTATGAATGCCGTCCCAGTGTACCAGCAAGTAATGGCCATCAAAAACCGGGTATTGCCGCGAGATAAGATGTCGCGCAGTATCCTCGCGATACAGGATGCTGCTAGAATAGCTGGAGGAAGTGCTTCTGGCAGAGTATTGGCAGAGCGTTTGAGGTGAAGAACAATGATGGTGGTGAGATATGGAAGGTGTAACTGATGCACATCTTTGTCAAAGTTCTGAGTGCGAGCTGAACCGATGGGTAGTTGCAGGTGTGGAGGGAGTGAATTGACCCAGTCCACCAGCTCCTGTCTGTGATGGTCGGGTGAAATCTCCGCCGTCGGCAGCGTCGAACGTGAGAGTGTTTTGGCAATTTTCCCGATAATAACACAGAGACGAACCCAATAAATGAAAATTTCCCCTCTCCTTTGAGACCTGACATCGCTCGGAAAGTCCGATAGCGTGGGCTCTTGAATGTTGCAGTCATCGAGATCGATGATCGCTGGCTTACTCTGACACAAGGCAGTCAAGCGCTCTCGAGCCTAAAGTATCTCTGAGCAAATTTTGCATGAGGAAATGGTTGCCAAGTCACTTACAAATGCGGTCCACCAGATCCTCCTTCGCAATCCCAGGTTCAAGTTGCCGGAAACGACTTGGCTAGCTGTAGGCTCACGATGGAGATTCATTTGCTGCGCATGACGAATAAGGACCGACGTCCACCACCATGACGAGTGTCGATGGACTGTGCTTGGGGGCCGTGGAGCCCACCAATAAAACAGAGAAATGGCCATGAGTGTAGTCAAGCCATCTGCCTCTTCATCTTCGTAAAATATTGTACGTGCCCTCTTGTAGTACTCGGCCGGTCCTTCGTAAGGAACCAGGGGAGGTTGCACATTGCTTGCTGCAGTTGCCAACGCATTTGCAAGGAGAGGAGATCGCGCAATATCGCTCGCAAGGGTATCCGAATCTAAAACCGGACACCAGGCATAGCAATACTCGAAGTAGGTTTCGGCAAAGCTTTCTTGAAGATCCTGTTCATGGGGATTCGAGCGACTGTACTTGTGGTCCAAGCACGCCTTTAATGCCTGTTTCTCAGCGTCAGACTGATTCTCGGGCGCATAGACCTGTAAGAAACCAGTGTCGATATCTCCAGTATGGCTCTCTGCAACGCCCTCAGTGCGTGCATCGCTGCTCTGAGATCTCTGAGATGGCGATAGTGCAAGATGGACTTCTTGGGAGCGCATAATCGGGGCAGCTGAATACGGGGACGAGGCATGTCTAGGCTGTTCTGATACTGAGTTGCGAGAGCGGGAAGGTGGAGGTGGCGGAACGAATTCATTAAAACCTGTTGACAGAACATGGATGGCATCGGCAACGGCATCCGTTTGTGAGGCGGTTGCTTCATCACCAGAAGCCGATGTCGCTGGTGGTGTTGGGACACGACTTGAGTGACCTGGTCGAACAAGACGTCGCCGTTTTGTCCGCTTCGAAGGCCGAAGATGGCACTCTTTCTCCGAGGCATCACAGTTCGTACAACTCTGGTATCCTTCAGAAGTCCTGGCCTAAACGTGGTCAGAGCGATCCGAAAATATTGTGCGTCTCTTAAGACAAACCTGAAGATCGCACTTGACCTTCTTGCCGTGACAGACTACACAGACAAGCTCGGCCCGCCGGCGCTTGGGCTGCGAGGCATCGAAAGGGAGCCATTCACTGATCATCTCCGTCATGGCAGCTCGTGGGATTTGGACAGATCGTTCAGGGCAAGGTTATTCACGAAAGACAAAGTCTAATTCCGACAATCCCTTGAACGGACCAGACGAGGTTGCAGTGAGATGAGGAAAGTCTGCGTCTGAGCCTGGGCCCAGAGCCCGAGGGGGCGGAGATGGGGTGCTGGAGCTTGGGCCGGCTGCGGAGAAATGCGGGGAACGGGGTAGTCGGTCACAGTGAAGGATCTTGGATTCTTGGGACGTGGGAGGGATTGGATCAGACAAGGGAGAGGAGGGGAAGGGGGGGAAAGGAGGGACGCTTGTGACTTGGGGGGCCCTAGGCTGATATTTATTTAGTACATTAGGGGATTTACTAGGCTTTTGGGGCTTTGAACCAATGGGCCATGGGGCCTGGATGCAAAATGTGATTCGTACGTGGCTTTCCACATCAAGGATGGCGTTGCCAAGTCGTGGGGTTTAGCTGGGTGGTTGTTGACTGTGGTCCCAGCAGAGTCAATCCTATAGAACCACCAATTCCTAGCATCTCACTCAAGCTGCCACGTGAGCCGGTTACTTGGAACTCAGACCTCGACTTTCATCGCATCTCCTTCTCAAGCTACTTTATTCTACAGTTCAGCTCTTTCTTAATGCTGATTCTGCCGCTCAGCGACCTACATGGGAGCATTCTTGATGGCTGCAGTGAACTCATCCTTGAAGAGGATAGACTCGCGGAGTCTACTTAAGTGAACGTTCTGTCTGATGACTGGACGGGAACTGTAAAAGGCCTAAAGAGTGATGATTTCATTAGGAAACTCGGTATTAAGTATACGAATTTAACTGAATCATTCAGACTTGACTGCGTTCTGGTCCATTCCTCCAGCCCGAAGAGCAGCACGTCGAAACAGCAAAATTAGTAGAAAGCAAGTATCTGACGCTCCGCGATAAAAGCACGACCATACATAATCCACCTAGAGGATATACCTGAACTGAGGGTTCTGTAGCTTGGTCAGCATTGTCAAATACTGGGAAACACATGGGTCAACGCACCTTCATATCGGTGAGATCGTCCTCGTAGGCGTGATCAAACCCCTCCATGATACCGGCCTTGTCACGCTTGTTGTTGTACCAGATGCAGACAAATCTATAAACGAGACTGAGCACTCCCGCAGCTAGAGATGTAATCACAACAACGATGAAGCCAGGGGCATAGTTGGGCGCATCTTCTTTCCGGAAGACCAAAGGGCCGACAAAGTTGCCTGTTCGGGGGATTAGTCCTCGTGGAATCGTGGCCACGAAAAAGACAGGCTTGACATACCGAGGCAGTATCCAATGTAGAGGCCAGACGAAGCAATTGAGCGTTTGGTGTAACCTGAAGTGTTGGCAATCTGAAGACCCATAAGAACGGCGTATCCTCCTCCGACGGACGGTAAGATGTAGGCTGCGAAGAGAAGAGCCCCTTTGGCAGACCTCGGGAGTAGCCATAGCAGGAGAGCAGCGAGGGTGGTTCCCATCTGTGCACCAAACACAATCCAGGTTCGGCAATTCTTGAACTTGTATGCCAGGTAAGGCATAAGGAGTTGTACAGTGCCTCCATATGCACCCGCCGGCATAGTAAGTAAAAGGGAGTTGAGAGTGCTGAATCCGAAGCCGTTGATGATGATGGGAACAAATGTCGAGATGGGTCCATTCGCAATCATGCAGAGGAATGCAATGGCAAAAACCAACCAAAACTTGATGTCAAGACCCAGCTCGCCAACTTGCTCCATCTTGTAGTGGGTGTTGCGTACGCCCGAGTTGTTACTTCGCAACCGTGCAACCAAGATGTATCGTTCTCTCTCATTGAATCCCTTTGCTCGAATGGGGTCGGGAGGAAGGACAAAGTACAGGAGAAGACCCCAGACAATTGTCAGCGACCCGGCAAAGTAGAACATGTATCTCCATGAAGAGACACCGCCGTTGAGCTTGCCGAAACCATAGTTAATCAGTGGAGAGAATATCGAAACGTAGCCCGTGCAGCTGTACCAGATACTGTGTTTGTATGTCCGTTAGTACAACCGTAAGCTCTCCTCAAGACTATGATGCAACTGGTTGACGTACCCCATGCGCATGGCTTGTTCGTTCTTTTTGTACCAACTTCCGACGATGAGCATGAACATTGGACTGATTCCGCTCTCTAGCAGCCCGAGGCAAAATCGTTGGGCGTAAAGGCTACGATAATTTGTGCATACAGTCGTCAGTAACAGGGTGAGGCCCCAGAGAGTGACAATAACCGAGGCGACTCGCTCGATGGGGAATCGTTGAGCCAGAATCATGGTTGGGTAGGCACCGACGATGAATCCAAGATAGAAAATGGCGGCCGACATCGAATATCGATCCCCAACTGTCAGGTTCAAGTCGGTTCGCAATCCGAAGAGAGCCTGTTCAACCGCAAGTCAGTGGCTTGATGGAAAACTACAACTCGAGGCCCGATGGATTGCAGGAGGGTTTGCTTACCGCCTGCGAAAGCATAGCTTTGTCATAATATTGGAGACCGTATGTCATGCATAGCACTGGCATCAATCTCCAATCTATCTTTCTTCTGAGTTTCTTCTCTTCTTTCTCTGTCCATTCAAAGTCGCCGGTGTAGCCTTCGAGCACCTTGAGCGCCTCGTCATTGTGTACAGTGTCAACAGTAGCGCTCGGCTTCATTTCTGCAACACCATCTGGTCGCTCCACCTGCTGAACACTTTCTGCAGACTTGGCGAGATCAGACATGTTTGCTAAAAATTGAACTCGGATGTCGACTTGTAGGATCCCGAAGAGATAGCCACATCATACGAGGGAAACCAAGTCAATGTTATAAAAGAAGCAGGCCTGCCTTAGCGCCTCCTGTAATCCGGGGAACCGCGAGCTAACGAGACTTCTCTATGAGCAAACTGCAATGCAGGCAGGAATAGTTGACTGGGGAAGGACGCTGGATCAGCCGGCTTGCATCGAGAACGTGGTCCCTAATCCCGGGGGTCTGGATCACATCGTGGCACTCGTTAAACTGGGTGGCTGTCTCACTGACACGGCACTTCGGTAATTCAAGACGGGTTACCGGCCACAAGAAACCTTGTAGTGTAGGGGAGCAACTACACCGCTTAGGGGTAACCGACCGCCGAAAGCGCCCGTAAACAACTTGGAAATTCTCCCCCGCAAGGCCATAGCTCGGCGCTACTGAGGGGCCGGCAGATCTTTCTGTGGTTCTTTTCTGGCTCCTTGTTCACGGCGAGCTTTTTCATGATACCAACAAACGACCCGAACAAATGATTGCATGCACGAGACCTGATCGAATTTAGACGAAGTTTCCTTATCATTTACTGATATTACAGAAATGCCTCATACTGCATATTCACAACCTCACAAACGAAGCGTCACTATGCCACGCAAAGCTCCTGTCGTTTCGTTGCCAGAAGGAAGGGAGACGGTGGTTGTGAAGATGATCAACCCTGTCAACTTTGGGCCGGCTATCCTCAAGCGTTTCATGGCTCCTGATGTTTCGGGTCTGGAAACTTTCAAAACGTCCCCTTCTCTCTGCTTTCTCCTGGAGCATCCTTCTGGTCGAAAGCTGGTATGGGATCTAGGGATCAGAAAAGACTACAACAACTATGCACCTTCGATAACTAATTACTTGCCAACCACGAATTATGACATTCAGGTGAAGAAAAATGTGAAGGATATTTTGGAAGAAAGTGGTGTTGCTCCGGAGGATGTCGAAGCAGTGATCTGGAGGTACGAAGAGCAGACGCCATGTTTTCTTTTCCACATCTTCTTTCCTCTTGCGTACGAAGCGATATCCTAACCTGATGTGACTATCCAGCCACTGGCATTGGGATCACATCGGTGATCCATCCACGTTCCCGAAAACGACAGACTTGGTCGTTGGTCCAGGATTTAAGGCGGCGATGCTTCCGGGAGCACCTGCAAACCCCGATTCTCCTATACTCGAGAAGGATTATGCGTAAGTCATTGCAAAAACCCCAATCATGATAGACTGGCGCTTGTGGCTTACAAAATTGTACCAATTCCAAGTGATCGGAACTTGAGAGAAATCTCGTTTGAAGAGGGGCCTCAGACCATTCGCATCGGGCGGTTCCCGGCATTCGATTACTTCGGAGATGGCTCTTTCTACTTGCTGGATAGCCCAGGCCATGCCGTGGGTCACCTATGCGGACTAGCCCGGACAACTCAAAGTCCGGACACGTTTATTCTTCTTGGAGGTGACGTCTGTCACTACGCAGGAATCTTCCGGCCTTCAAAGCATCTGCCTGTTCCCGCGTCAATCTCACCCCATCCTTGCCAGCCGCACGGAGATACCGCACTTTGTCCTGGTAGCGCTTGGGACCAGCTCCAGAAGTCTCGGGGTAGAGCATCCACAGATACACTCTTCGATGCAACCTTTGGTCTGGACCTTCCTATGGTGGGAAGGACAGTAGGATGTCTCCAAGAATTGGATTGTGACGAGAACATCTTTGTCATTATAGCTCATGACTCGACAGTCAGAGACGGTGTGCCTCATTTTCCCAGCGGTCTCAACGACTGGAAATCAAAAGGCTGGGGGGAGAAAGTTAAATGGTCATTCTTTCGCGACCTGGAGTCGTACTGGGACTCGAAGGGGCTGCTGTAGAAATCGGGCCTAATTTATAGAATACGCATCTTCATGCAGTTGCCCACTAGAATGTCCTGAAAACTTACTAAGGCATCTGTAGAGTAAACGTTTATTTAACTTCCGCTTGGTTCCATTACTCTATCTATTTGCGACCCTGTACCCCGATTTTCGTGTTGCACGGAATAACTGAACTGGAATATTTTCGCCCGAAGACACACAGAAGTTCTCAGTATCACCTGTTGACAAGTCTCTGCAGGATAGTCTCTTCAATAAGTCAACTCCGTGCCTTGGCTACCCTACCAAGGGACTAGTAAATGAAGGAGTCAGTACGAATGCATGGTCTGGATGCCCTGAGTCGCCTACTTTTAATTACCTTTGCCATGGCTTGCAATTCACCTGAGCGCTGCATTGCGGTAGGACTAGGGCATTACGGCACTTTCCTAATTGGGATAGCCGAACCCTCCGAGCGCGCCGAGCCGAAGTATATTGGTCTTCCGCGGTAAGGTTGGGTGACATTCTACCGCCGGCATCCCCGCGAATCCCCTCTTCCGTCTCCACATGACCCCAAGCCTCAGATCTCTGCCACTGCAGACTAACTACGTTACTCGGTGTTCATTATAATTGTGCAAACACCCTAATCCACTGTTGTTCAAAGCATCGAGTCATACTTCTACATCGATAGTACGGAGTACTTCAAGCCCAGATTCGGAACTGTCGTGATCACAGTTGCACGTCAGAGTTCAGTTTAAGCCAGGACTTCACATTGTCGCAACCATGGCACAGGGGTCCGAACTAAAGCCTAACAGCACAGCGCCGTCAAGCTTCCAATCTGCCAACCAAGAACTTGACTACGATGTCTTGATAGTTGGTGGCGGCCTCAGCGGCATTTTCTCACTGTATCGTGTGCGGGAACTCGGGTTGAGAGTAAAAGTTCTTGAAGCTGGTTCTGCTGAAGGAGGCACTTGGTTTTGGTATGAGCACTCTGCAGGAACAATACGTGGCGCATAGGCTAACATGAGTGTAGGAACCGATATCCAGGAGCTCGATTTGATTCAGAGAGCTATTCCTACATCTTTTCCTTCTCTCAAGAAGTGCTGGATGAATGGGACTGGACTGAGCATTTCTCGCCTCAGACGGAGACTTTACGCTACATCCAGTATCTCACCAAGAAGTTCGACCTGAAAAAAGACATGCAATTCAATACGCGTATCCAGTCAGCTCGCTTCCAGGAAGATTCCAGGTCTTGGCTTTTGACCGATGGAAATGGGATCACTTACACCTGCCGTTACCTGGTGACAGCTATGGGTATTCTCAACGAACCCACTCTGCCAAACATTCCCGGAGTTCACGACTACAAGGGAGAGGCATGGCATACAGCCCGATGGCCTGGAGACGGCGCCAGTCTTGAAGGCAAGCGCGTGGCAATCATCGGCACAGGCGCAACTGCTATCCAGACAATCCAGGAAATTGTCAAGACAGTTGGCTCTCTGACTGTATTTCAACGAACTCCCAATTGGACTGCACCACTACGGAACACGAAGATCAGTTCAGAGGAGATGGCCGATATTCGAAGGCGGTATCCTGAGATCTTCCGGCAGTGCTTGGACTCTTACTCGTGTTTCATACATGTTGGTGACACGAGAAGTGTCTTTGACATGGAAGAGAAAGAGCGCCTGGAGCATTGGGAGGAACTTTATGCACAGCCCGGATTCGCCAAGGTGCTCGGTATCTCGGGCGACATTTATACCAACCGGGAAGCGAATAAACTTTACAGCGATTTCCACGCAAACAAAATCCGCCAACGCGTCAACGATCCCAAAGTTGCCGAGAAGCTCATTCCCAAGAATCACGGTTTCGGTACTCGCCGGGTCCCGCTTGAAAATGGATACTACGAGGCATTCAACAGATCGAATGTCCACTTGGTTGACATTACGGAAACTCCAATTGATCACATCACTCAAAAGGGGATAAAGACGAGCGAGGAAGACTTTGAATTCGATGCCATCATCTACGCGACAGGATTCGACGCCATCACTGGTTCGTTCCGAGCTGTCGACTTTCAGGGTATCGGGGGTACACAGCTTACAGATGTTTGGAGCGAGGGCATTCAGACCTTCCTTGGCTTGACTGTCAAGGGGTTCCCCAACATGTTCATGGTCATGGGACCGCACCAGATGTTTGGAAACATCCCCCGAAGCATCGAATACGCTGTAGAGTGGGTGGCAGACTTCATCCGGTATGCTCGAGACAATAACATCACATCTGTCGAGGCTACAGATGAAGGCATGCGCATGTGGACGGATCATGTATGGAAATGCGGAGAAGGTCTTCTGGCCAACGAGGTGGACTCTTGGATGACGGGTGTAAACAAAAACCTGGCTCACAAGCAGAAAAGATCCATGACGCGGTACAATGGACCTGCACCTGGGTATAGAAAGCGGTGCGATGAGGTGAAAGCCAGGAATTATTCCGACTTTGTGCTTGGATGATTTTGTCAGGTCATTAGATAGGGTTCACTGTAGTAATATTAACTTGAGTCTTTATCAAGAACATGAGACAATTGAAGGCATGGTATAAAGGTAGATACTTTACCTAAGTACTTACCCCAAGCAATATTGCCCTCACATGATTAGACTTTGCCCATCTGCATATCGTTCCTCTCGCTCGTCTAAAGTCCTCTCGATGGCATAGTTCCAATGGTGCATTCCCTCATGATACCATTATCCGTCTTTGTGAGTTGACATGTACGTTTCCCTTCCAACTATGGGTCTCACGCCTAGAAGGATTGGAATTCTTCGCGCCACAGACATTTCTAGTATTACTTCAAGTTATTCTTAAGTAGCCGTGCCCATCTAATGCTCGTGAATCTTGAACTCTCCTGTGGCAGTCGGGTTAGTCAGTGCCCAAGTAATACCGCTGTCTGTAGTTTCGTCCCAGTCTCTCGACGCTGACAACTTATCTCCGAACCGTCGAAACCCGTGTGGAACGCCCTTATAGACATGAACATCAGTGGGAACACTGTGCGATAGATTAGCAATCACTTTCCTGCGTTCCAAGGCGTAAGAGTCACCCACCCAGCCTCTGTGAGCATCTTGGCGTATAGTAAACCCTCATCTCTCAATGCGTCCAGGCCGCAAATTCCAAAGGTCGTCGGAGGTAGCCCTTTCACCTGATCCGGGGTTGCATTGCCCGGGTTCAGTCTTAGGTCATTGGGATCTGGGTTCTCAACCTTGAGAAGGCCGACGAAAAGGTCGATCATGGGTCGCGGCAAGATTGGAGCGTTTTCGTTTTCGGGGTACGATGAGACCGACGTGCTTTTCATCTTCTTTAACAAGCCATCGTAACAATCAACATGCGCCAGGCAGGGGATCATCAGAACCTGCCCAGCAATAGAGGGTAACCCCGAGGGAAGATTTCCCAGGTGCTGAGCGAGTGTCAGAGAGGCTGTCAATTGCCCACCCGCTGATATGCCTCCAACGACAACTTTAGCGGCGTCACCGCCGACCTCCTTGATGTTGGCATGCAACCAAATGAAAGCATCCTCAGCATCATTCCATGCTGTCGGGTAGACGTGTTCGGGTGTATGACGATAGTTCACATTGACAACGAGCACATTTGTGCTGATGACAATGCGAGAACACGTTGCATCTTCGGAGGTCAAGGTACCGAAGAGAAATCCACCTCCGTGAAAGTAAAGGTAGACTGGCAAGGGTCCATCGCCCGCTGCCTTGGGTCGATAGGTTCGGGCTTCGAGTGTCGCTCCATCACGTGTAGGGATTGTCCAGTCGATTACTCGGACTTTGTCTTCCATAGGCTTCATTGCTTCCACGGCCAATTCATCGCGAACTTTGTTCATGACATTTTTGCGTTCCAATGGAGAAAGGTCGGTTTGGGGAGGAGGAAGACCAGCTTCCACCGCCAGCCACTCTTCGCTGGGGCCACCGTATTTCGAAAAGTCACACATTGTTGCTTACAAAACGTTTTTGGAGGAGGTTTCAAAGAACTTGGAATCGAGAAAGGCGAAGTGAGTGGTTTCACTCCAAGTTGTGTACAGTGGTTTGTTCCATGACAGGTTGTACACAGCACAGGCCGAGGTTCGGTCAAACCAACGCAATTTGTCATAGTGAGGAGGGGTAATAAGCCTCAAGACTAATTTAGCTTCATAACAAGGACAGCGTGCCGAGGTCCTGCGGGGAAACAGATAGCCCAATCGCGCCTCACATTCGCCGGTTATGATATGATTCCCTTAACGGTTATGCTGAGGTTCGGCTCTGGTGACTCCGGCAATGTACCAACTTGACTGCCAGCGGTTCAGCTAGCATTACCGGACAGAGCATTCCTACAGCTGAGAACCCTACGGCAAGAAGTCCACTTTCTTATGCAGTTGTTTCACAACTCATAAGCACTCATTCTAATCCGACCCCACTAAAATGACGCCGTCCGGGTTTCCCCAAACGAGTTATCCGTGTTGCCGGTGCAACTACTCCAATGTACTACATGGCAAGCTTTAAGTGGAATTCAGGTCGAGCTATTTCATATGATGCGTTATAGATGTGGTAGATTCGAAAGTCACGAGATCGGTCTGCTTGTCAAACTCAGCAGTTAATCAATTTTGTGTCGCACCACGTACCACGCACCGCATTACCAACAACAGCCATGTCAGAAATTCCAAGCGAACCACCGTCTCGATCCTTCAAGGGCAAAGTGGCCATTGTCACCGGAGCAGGATGTGCAGGAGATGGCATTGGGAACGGGCGTGCCATTTCTATCCTCTTAGCTGATGACGGCTGCAACGTCGTTTGCGTCGACAGAGACATGTCCTGGGCGAGCAAAACCTGCGATATGGTAGCCACGAAACCTGGGAGGGGCGAAACTCTTGCCGTCGAGGGGGATGTGACATCTACTACTGATTGCGAAAAAATCGTACAAATGGCATTGGGAACATTCGGTCGAGTTGATATTCTAATCAATAACGTGGGAATCGCGGGAGCTGCAGGTACTGCAGTTGACGTGGACATGGAGCAATGGGCAAAGGGCCTCGATGTCAACGTTTCTAGCATGGTTCTTATGGCTAAATATGCCATTCCCGCCATGCTCAAAAATGAGGGAGAAAGCAAAGGTGCAATCGTCAACATGGGCAGCGTCGCTGGTCTTAAAGGAGGCACTCCGCACCTGTTATATCCGACAAGCAAAGGCGCAATTGTCAACATGACACGAGCGATGGCTGCACATCACGCAAAAGACGGAATTCGGGTGAACTGCGTCTGCCCAGGGGTAAGCCTGCGTCTCCCTATTTTGCACTCTCACCAAGGATTGACAAGCTAACCAAATGGCGTGTTCTATTGCGCGTAAAGATGTTGTACACACCCATGATGTACGCTGGTGGAATGAGTGAAGAAGCGAGAGCTGCAAGGAAGGGAAGAAGTCTTCTCGGAACGGAAGGAAACGGCTGGGATGCTGCTGGTGCTGTTGTCTTCCTAGCCAGTAATCATGCAAGATGGATGACTGGTGTGATTCTGCCAGTCGACGCTGGCACCACCGCAGCTGTCGGAATAGGAATGACCAAGGCTGCCAGTGTCAATGGCTAGTATGTATGTACTTTGAGATATCTTCAATGCACTTCTTGAGAAAGGTGATATTGCTAGAGCCTACATGTATGAAAGCACGTACGACTTAATGTCCAAGCTTTTGGAAAGATCAAATCATCAGGTCATTCGTGCATCAGAGCGACTCTGGCTTCGATCTCCCCTCTTTCTAAACGTTCCAAGACATCGGGAAAGTCGCGCAGTCTTGCCGTCTCAACTCTAGGCCTGATCTTCCCTATTGCGATGAGTTGCAGAACTTCCCTCAGGTCTTTCACCTGACCTCCATAAGAGAAGATGTAGCTGAGTCGCTTTCTAGTTCCAATCTTCATGTGTATGGTGTTCTCGGTGTCCAAACTACCGATACACAACAGCTTTCCGCCTCGACGAACTAAAGATTCGTGTAAGGTTTGATAGATCTTCCGTGTCAGATGAATTTTGGGGTGTAGGAATTCTTACCTATCTGCTGGGCATCCTCAAAAGTCTGATGAGTACCAACAAAATCAAGGACAGTGTCTATTTTCCCGGTCAAGCCTTGTTCCATAACAAAGTCCTGAACTTTCTTCCCCGGTGGAACTAAGTCTGCCCGAGGCACCCCAATCGCGGCTGCTTTCTCAAGCAAACTTTCCCTGATATCAGAGACAATAACTCTTGCCCCAATGTTGAGGATAATTTGAAGAGCATTGAATCCTAGTCCTCCAAGGCCGAAGAGAAAAACGGTCTCGTCTGGTTTGACCTCGCCTCGTCGATGAACAGCGTGGTAGGCGGTGGTCACAGCGTCAGTGGCCACAGCAGCCTCAGCGGGCGAAACTCCTTGAGGAACATGGGCAAGTCCACGTACATCGATGGCTGCATACGGTGCATAGAACCCATCTTGGCCGATACCAGAGTGATGCCCAACTTCGCAAATCTGAGCCAGGTCCCGCGAACACTCATCGCACTGAGAAGCTCCACAGCCTGGGACAGCATTCAGAGCCACGATGTCGCCCTAGAAACAATCAATTTCGAGAACCAGATTGGCAACCGACCTAATGATGTATATGATTGCTTACCACTTTGAATTCCGTGTCAAGCATCTGATCCCCGACCTTGATGATTTGACCGCATCCTTCGTGGCCCTGGAGTCACGTTAGCAAGGCAAAGAAGTAGACTTCAAGTTGCTTCTAGCCTCTTACGAGGATGAATTTTTCTTGGAACCAGCCGGGCTGTTTTTCGATGGTAAGAAGCGAGTGATCACTTCGGCAGACTATGGGTTTTATGATGTGAGTCACTATGTCCGATGTCTGGTCCCTTCAATTGTTATGAGCTTACCCCCAGAGGCGAGCATCTTGCACAATACGCCCGTTGGCGAGGGAACAGGTACAGGTACCTCTTCCCAAATCTAATTCCACATGTTCGAATCATTAGCTTTCGGGGTTTGAGCCAGTGTAGTCACGCACAGGTTTCGGATTGCCCTTGTGCTTCCTCCAAGCAAACATAGTGTCTGGGACCTGCATGGCTATTGGCTGTATTGGAGCTTCGAATTGTGATTGGGTAGTTTACTCCGCAGCGACAATATTAGAAATGAGAACTTGACCATGAAATGTTTGTAGTTTGGCAGGGTTAATCTAGATAACCTTTACACCCAGACCACCAGCGCTGCAACCGGCTTACTCATATGGGCACAGCCGAAGTTTGCCGACGGACTAAGGTAGGTAACCACGCGACCAACTGTCAAAGTAGCAAGCTGGGAACACGGAAATGTCTAAGTGAGGGTGAGAAGCTCATGCAGTCTCGATGTCTTCACAATACTCAATATATTATGGTCCCTGGTATCGAGAAACGTTGTCTTGTAGATCTAACCCTCCGACAAGATGTCCCCCAGACTTCAACATCCCGGTTCAATTATAACTTTGCGGCGCGGCGCTGCTTCTCCCGGTCTCTCAGGACTCTTCTGAGTATCTTGCCCGAAGGAGACTTTGGGATCGCATCCACAAACTCGATGCCTCCCTTGATCCACTTATGAGGCGCTTTCCTGGCCTGCACGTACTCCTGAATCTCCTTGGCGGAACATGACTCCGATTTGACGATGTAAGCCTTCGGGATTTCGCCGGCACGATCGTCTGGCACAGAAATGACGGCGCAATCTGCCACGCTTGAATGGCCCAATAGGCACGCTTCCAACTCAGCCGGAGCAACTTGATGACCCTAAGTGACCCCAGTCAGTCTTTGCAAAAACGATTGAGCAGAATGACTATTGGAAGCTCGTACCTTGACTTTGATGAGTTCCTTTATTCGGTCCACGATCCAGAGATGCTCCTTCCCGCTAGGAGCCTTCCTCATCTCCCCAACATCTCCTGTCTTGATGAAACGGCCGTTTTCGGTATCGACGAAAGTCTCGCGGTTTGCAGACTCGTTGTTGAGGTAACCGAGCACAACACTTGGCGACTTCACCCACACCTCACCAGGCTCATTGTACTTGTTGACAGGCTTGTCGTCAGCATCCACGAGCATAATCTCGAAACCCGGCAATACTAAGCCAGAACTGCCGACGACGATGTCCCTTGGCGTGCCGGAAGTGACGACAACGCAGGTTTCTGTCATGCCATACCCAAGAGTTATCTTCCATGAGGGATATCCGGAGAGCAGCGCATTGGTTGTCTCCAGCCCTAACGGTGCCGCTCCAACCCACACCCGCTTGACAGATGATAGGTCGTATTTCCGTAGTGTTTCGAAATTGTTGATCATTGCGATAATCAGCGGCGGAACCAAATAGAGGGTATTGATCTTGAATTTCTCAATTGTGCGGAGATACGTGTGCAAGTCGAATTTTGGGAGCACGATCACCGAGTCGCCCCGATATGTTGAGGCGTGACAAATTATAATGAGGCTGTAGATGTGAGACTGAGGTAGGAGGCCAAGTCCGATGTCGCGATGCCCCGGAGAAATGGCGTCTCGGTCTGCTTGATCAAAGAGTGACAGCTGGATTATGTTTGCAATGACATTCTTGTGTGAGATCATGACCGCTTTCTTGAATGGATTGTCAATAAGCGAGTCCTACGTCTGCTGGGGTGCAGGTACTTTGGGTCCTTACCGGTAGGCCAGAGGTGCCGCTGGAGTAGCAAAGAAACGCAGTCTGTCTTTGTCCTTGACCGGGCTTCCATTTGATTGGCTCAAGTTGTGGCAAGCTTTGGCCGTGAAGAGTAAGCTCTGCAACTGTTTTATATTTTGAGTGCTCCGCTTCCTGTTGGCTAGGCAGATCGCAGAGATATATGCAGTGCTCTGGAATTTCAGCAGCTTTTGCAGCGTTCAATGCAACGGGGAGAAGAGACTGGACAGTGAAAAGCGCTTTGCACTTCGAGGTCACGAGCTGGTGCGTGAGCTCCTCTGCGTTGTACATTGCGTTTGCAGGAGAAGAGATGCCGTTCACACGATGGACGGCCCAAGACAACCCCATGACGTCCACCTATTTTCAACGAGGTTAGCGGAAATCTTTAGAAGTCTGACGATTTCAAGACCTGCAAAACATACAGTATTAAGGGCAAAAATGCCAATCACCTTGTCAAACTCACTCCCCTGATTGACACTCCATCCTAGCTCCTGGGCTATTGATCTCGCAAGGGCTTCAACGTGAGCTTTCTGTTCTTTGGCCGAGATACTGTACCCACTCAACCCGCAAGTGTAGGAGTCAAGTGACTTCGCAACTGGGTGCCGTCCATATTGCTCATCGAACATGAAGTCGCAGAGGGGTACTGTGTCCGGAACGCTTGACAGCTGGGGGAGGGATTGGTCGGGAACGAACAACATCGCGGCAACGGGCTTGTTCAGCGTTGTTGAGTACAGTCTCTCAACCACAGGGAACCCTCGACGACCATTCGAGACGCCCAAAGATTATGTTGATTTCTTTTATCGAACACTCGTTCGCCCGGTTAGATCTATGTCTTACACGGAAGTTGGCGAGGTTCAGCTCTGGGCTAATCCCAATTAGGATTGCCGACAACCCCACGACACGCAGTGCCCGCCCTTGGAGTGGTACCGTGGTACTTGGTTCAAGGGGCCATCCTTCCCGAGGGCCCCACTAGAGCAGACTCGGCTTTAAGCAGGGTGATTGTGACCCAGGTCGTGCATACGGGATATGGGCATGAAAGATCGGGCTATCTTTGACGATCCTCTCTTGCTCGCGACGTGGAGGGACGCGGCTTGGTCCCAAGATCTAGTCTTGCCTTTAGTAGTAATATCATCGCGACACACACCGGGTCAAGAGCCGGCTCCGAAGCCGGGGTAGATTAGCAAACAGTCTCATAATCATCTCTGCCCGGATCATCTGCCGGCTATGAAGATAACAGTGAGTTCGATCATCGTTGAAGTCGAATAACTATTTGTCAGACATGTGCCTATTAAGGTGAAAATGGCCTGGAGCCATTTGGAGAACCCAATTGAGTGAAGGTGTGACTGCGAAATTCTTCACAATCTGTCCGTGTTACTCCGCCTTTACTGCAGCTGTTCAAGCCGAGGTGCAGATCCACAAGACATATCGTCAGAAACCTATTATTCATAGCATCCGAGGGGAGTCGGGAGAGGGGACTGTATCACCACTACATGGCGAGGGGCTCAGTCAGTAAGCAGAGCGACTATCATGCCTCGAGGCGGTTGAATGTTGGATTTGCTATGTATACTATCCTGCAGCCTCTGAGTCTGGGGTTTACAGGGGATTATTAATCCACTCATGAGATCCTCGTCAGCTCCAAGCGTGAAAAAGAACGCTGGTGTTGTGGCGGCGACATCATATATGACCGAGAGGTTGGCAACTGGAGAATTGGTGCGCAAGCTTCTGCAGTCTCAAGTTGACTCAAGGGATACCGTGTTGGAACCATATTGACAACCACTACCGTGGTTTCCTATGATAACGAGATCGTGAAGAGTCATCCCTCCCTGATAGAAATGTGAAATCGTGTAGAGACTATGAAGTCCAAGATAAGGGCGGAATTTACTGAGTGATAGAGTGTCAGACTGGAAAGGCTCCACAGGCCGTATGGCAGTCTGCTAGTCTTAAAGAAGCTAGATTCTTGGCCAAGCTTTCAGAGCGGGTCTGCATCAGTCCCAAGATGGCTAGTTTTATGGCCAAGACTTTAGACAAGCACGCTAGCACTTGGCATCTGGGGAATTGCGAATTTCGTCCACTTTCCACGGCATGTCTTCGCCCATTCATGTCCGTTCTCAAGATCGAAATATGCTTCTGCTTATCACCCCGATACATGCACAAGAGAAGCTCGTCTAGCAATATTCGATTGAACGAGTCTGTGCTCCTTTTGCTGAATACATCCAAGGACAGAAAGTATCGAAGTACTAGCACACGGGTTGAGAGGTAGCTTGAAGTATGTTTGACAAGCATTGGTTTCGCTTGATTTGCAACTATTGGAATTGATTTAAAGCAACATTCAAGGAGTGTACAAAACTTCAGTCTCTCTTCGAATCAGGCTCGGCCATGCTTTGGGGGTGATTCTCAGCTGTGCCATAAATGACGCGTCCAGCAATGTCTTCGACTTGCAAGTACGTTTGCCTTCCTTTGATGAACCAAAAGCCGATGCTGAACAGGAGAATAATGCCGAAAACAGCAATAGCATAGTTCATGTCAGGAATAGCTGGGTTGGGCTCGGCTGGGAAGAAGAAGAAAACGGTCGTTATCAGACAGTAAACAATCGATACCCAGTTAACGGCGGCTCCGTACCGACCAAGACGGAATTCCGCGGGTGGTAGTTTACTTCTCCCAACCGCCAGGAGCGTAAGAATGGGTATAGCGTAGGATATCGTGAGAGCAATAGTACTGACGCCGACGATGGCCTCCAGAACTGTATTGGAGAAAGTGTAAAGAAGACCCACGAGCCCGATAATGAATCCTTGTAACCAAAGAGCACGGACGGGTGCCTTCCATGTTTCGTCAACATGGGAGAAGTAGGAACTCCACGGGATGCCTCCGTCGCGAGCAAAGCCCCATGTGAGTCTAGACGCTGTCGTCACCACAGTGACCCCCTGGCCTAAGCCATTGATGATGAAGAGAGCAATTAGGACTGCTGCTCCTTGCAGCCCGACTGTACTTCTGACAAGATCCATGAATGGGAGGCCAGTTGTCGGGTCGAGAACCTGTTCGAGGTCTTGAATGGAGAAGAGACAGACAACCATGAATAGGAATCCAGTGGCAGCACCGCAAATGATGGAAGACCAGATGACCCGAGGGATGTTCTTCCGAGGTGCAGGTATCTCCTCCACAAGATGGATGGCGGCGTCGAAAGCAGTGAGTCCATAGGCGCTTTGGACAAGGCCCATGAACCATACTATCCCATCACTCCAACCTGTGCGATTGATCCAGGCCCCGAAAACAAACGATGGGGGTTGGAATTGGAGTCCGTCTTTGGTCCTCACAGATATAAGTAGAGCAAGGCCGAACACGAAAAATAACCCGGCAAACGTGATACCAACAAAGTTATTGAAAATTGGGAGGATTTTGTCCCTTCGACAAGAAACAACGTTCAAGAGGGTTAAAAGTGCTGTCGTGCCGAGATAGACCAGAAACTGGACCCACCCGGTTTGGGGTGCCGTCGCGGTTTCGTCAAAAAGCAAGTTCATTCCCAAGATGAACTCGGTCATGAAGGCTACGGTGGAAGCTGACAAGGTCCACCACCCAAAGGTGTTGATCCAGGCGCAGAGGTACGATGTAAAGCGACCAGCTGGAGTCGGCCAGAGCCGTGAGACCCAGTAGGCCTGGCCCATAGCGGTTGGCATGCTGCTGCACATCTCTCCTAGGGAAACGCCGATGCAAGTGTTGCAGAACGTGACCAAACATAGACCCCAGAGAATAGTGATGGGACCACCGTTGGTAAGGCCGCTGGCTAGACTTTGCGCAAAGACTGACCAAGTGCCCAGAACGACAAAGGCGAGGGACAGCATGCTCCATGTATCGAACTTGCGGATGAGTGCTTGCGAGTGACCAAGGTCGGCGAGATCGCTTGCATCCTGGGCTGCCTGATCCGACATGACTGGGGGCTTCAACGTAGGACCCTGCTCAGCATCCATATTGATGCTATAGACTGGGGTTTTCGTGAGGTTGTTAGCAATAGAGGTAGAGGCCGGGGAAGAGCTTGGCTGAAAAGTCGAGATTGTGACATTCTCTTGTGATGGTTGACGTGTCTCGACCACCGCTTAGCCTCACGGCAGAGCACGACTTCTTATAAACGTTTCCCCCCATTCTCGAGTCGGATCTTCCCCCTTTTTGGAGTCGATAAGACTTGGAGTGTATGACTAGTGCCGGCGTATAATGACAATTCTTTTGAGCCCAGAGATACGCACCATCCGGGTAGATTCATCTACTGGGGAGTAGTCGACCCGTTTTGCCGTTAACTCGGTGTTCCTCTGCCCCCACCAGCCGGCCCGGTCCCACTAGTCATTAACAACAACCTGACGAGTCTAACAACGTCCCCTTATCCCGGTCATCCCCGCGTGGATGAGAGATCTTGGTCGTAAATTTGATATGTCTTTGACTAAAAGTTGAGTAGACCGGCCAGAAAACGCCCCAGTGTAGTTCGTACCTTAGATGGCACGACATTTTACGTAAATGCGATTTGTGTATCGAGCGACTGTGAGTATAAGTACGGCCGTTGTCTTCTAGACAGTATCGGAACCCAGATTTTTCTCCCCTGCGGTAACATAACCAACCTGTCTCCAGACCTAACAGTATTTCTCACAACATGATCGAAGACACGGCTTCTCTTCCCGGGTATTCAATCTTCCGCCATGAAGAGGGCGACCAAGCTCCTGACTTGTCTAGGCAAGCAGTGACGCACCCTCTCGGTATGTCAAGGCCCAGTCTGAATCTTGACGCAAAGCAATGCCTGCATTCCTAGACTATCGCAGCAAGGCGTCAGCGCGGCAACGTCAACTAATACAACGGTATAGATCCGCTATCCATAGACGAAGTACGAGTTGCTGCCAAGCTTATTCGTGAGCACGGAAACGTTGGCGCGATCAAATTCAACTGCCTGACTCTGCGCGAACCTACTAAGAGCGAGTACGCACATTTTCGCGCCGAACAAGGCCCGCGACCCGATCGGCGTGCCTTTGCCATCATACTGGCAGAGCGTAGTTCCAGCAAGGTTGCTGAGGTCATTGTCAACCTGGCCAAAGGAAAGGTTGAGGCGTGGAAGGCTGTGTCCGAGGTTGCACCTACCTTGACTCTCGAAGACCTCGACGTCACGGAACGGATTGCCCGAATGAACCCGCAAATCATTGAGGTTTGCCGTGAGATTGGCATTACTGATATGTCCAAGGTATTTTTCGATGCCTGGGCTATTGGGTTTGACCGCCGCTGGGGGTTTGAACGTCGTCTCCAACAGGGGCTGCCCTACTACCGTAACTCGCCGGTGGACAATCAATACTCGCATCCCCTAGACTTTTCAGTGGTCGTGGACACCGAGACGGAAGAGGTTCTCGCTATTGACGTCCGGCATGTCAACGGAGAGCGTACCCAGGTCCCGCTGGAAGAACACAACTATCTACCAGAGTTTATCAAAGAGTCGTACGATGGCACCAGGCTCAGGCCTATCGACATTACCCAGCCGCAGGGCGTTTCATTCCGCATGCAGGGCAACGAGCTCTTCTGGGCAGGCTACAAGATGCATGTTGGTTTCAATTACCGGGAAGGTATCGTCATCTCAGACGTGCGAATCCACGACCAACAACAACAACGAGATCGTACACTGTTCAATCGCATTAGCGTTGTCGAAATGGTCGTCCCGTACGGCAACCCGGATCCGCCCCATCAGCGGAAGCACGCTTTCGACGTTGGCGAATACGGCAGCGGACTGATGACGAATTCGCTCAAACTTGGCTGTGATTGCAAGGGCGAAATCCACTATCTCGACGCAATGATGACGACGTCCAAAGGCGAACCTGCAATGATCAAAAATGCAATCTGCATCCACGAGGAGGATAATGGGCTTCTCTACAAGCATACGGACTTCCGTGATGGCAGTGTTATTTCGGCCCGTGATCGAAAGCTCATCATTTCCCAGATCATCACGGCGGCCAACTACGAGTATGCGTTCTACCATACCTTTACTCTCGACGGCACATATAAACTCGAGATCAAGCTCACGGGAATGTTGAATACGTATTGCATGCACCCATCTGAGTCGGCAGCTCCGTACGGCACCGAGGTTGCGCCTCGGCTGAATGCGCATAATCACCAGCATATCTTTTCATTGAGAATTGATCCCGAGATTGATGGGCGGGACAACTCTGTAATGCAAAGCGACGCGGTACCCTCAGACGCGCCCGTGGGATCACAGGAAAATCCGTTTGGCAATGGGTTCTACTGCAGAAAGACGCCATTACGCACTTCGGAGGAGGGCGGTTCAGTGTATTGCCACGAGACGAGTCGGACGTGGGATATCATCAATCCGAGCAGCATCAACCCTTCAGCGAAAAAGCCGGTTGGGTACAAGATCATCAACCCTAATTGCCCGCCTCTTTTGGCCAAACCGGGGAGCATGGTGTACAAACGGGCAGCGTTCGCTCGCAAAAGTCTCTGGGTCATCCCGTACAAGGACTACGAGCTCTTCCCAGCAGGGGACTATGTTTGCCAGTCTACGGGAGAGGAGCACCCGCATAACCAGACAGTTGTGGATTGGGTGGCGCGAAACGAGTCAATCGAGAACACAGATATCGTGTGCTATGTTCAGTTTGGTCTCACACACTTTCCTCGGACGGAAGACTTTCCGATCATGCCCGCGGAGCCGGTGAGCGTGATGCTGCGTGCCTCCAACTTTTTCGAGAAGAATCCAGGACTTTGGGTACCGCCGTCGTCGGTGTGTGTCGATCGGACGTCCAGGGATGCGTTCTGCGCCAATGAGGGGAAGCGTGGTTGCGCTCGGTTGTGAGGAGTGAACAGGTGGTAATACAGTGTGGGCGGAAGTTAGGAACTGGTACGCATAGACGCGGTGGAAGAACATGTTTGGATTGCTCGTATTTGAAGTTGCAGGAAAGCGCAGTGTGGATGAATGTCCTTTATTACTCACCCGAAGTTTCGTGTTTGGTGACGCTTCTAATGAGTGTCCGGTGAATCGCACAGACAGTGTGGGTAAGAAGAGTAGACGGAGATTGAGACCAGAGTTGCATGATGGGACACAGTGACAGATAGTAGTCGACGGCACGCACCCTCGGGCCTCATGTCGAGTCCGTCATCTAGGCGGTCTGCAGAAGATGCACAAGGTAGGTAGGACGGTATGGAAATAATGGTCCAATTGCCTTTGCCTCAAAAGTGATCGAAGCGGATGACGAGACAAACTGAGGTAAGGCGATGCTGTGACGGGTTGACGTGCTTATCTTCAATGAGTTGGCATCTCAGGGGTGTGTACTCCGTAAATGTGAACGGATACGTACTCCGTACTTCGTATGGGCATCGACGCATCGCTGAAAGATGGATCGTGACGTCCAACCCATCGGTTGCTTGGGTGTCAATGACTCAAGTAAGATCTGAACATGTGGATCCAGTGAGATGTTCCGCAGGAGAAGCCGCAGACTTCGCTGAGGTGACGATGGGAGATTACATGCGATGGTGATGAGAGGGATTCATTTACGTAGTACTTTGCATGTGTAACCCTTCGTTCCGCCATGCCGTGTACGGACAACGGACCCCTCATGCTCAAGGTATGATGATTTCGTACCTGAGGCAGCAGAGATTTCCCCTCTTCTCCATTGGATTCTGCCGTCTTCTCTCCGCTTCAAGGCAATGGAGCGAAGAGGGAAGGCAGGCACCTAAGTACCTTCCCAAGCTGTCCAGAGTAAGGTACGGAGGAATACAGATAGAGAGCGTTTGTTTACATTCAACGCGAGGTATCCATACAAGCAATGTTTTGACTGCTTGCCGCCAGGTGCCAGTATGTACCGTACAAGAAAAAAAAAACCCTTTTACGCCCAACGGTAAAGAGACAGCAGAAGCAGCCATTGAGAAGCCCCCACGTCTTGAACAGGAAAATCCTTAACAGGCCCGTTGGTCACACAATGGCAGGTCCCTGAGCGCCCAAGCTGTGACGGTGTGACCTCAGGCCAGACCCAAGTATCTCTGTGGGTTGTGGCCTGCCAGGAGGTACTTTCTTGGGCAAGCCGCCACTACACCCAATTGGAATAGCTCAGGTTGGCCCAACGGCCGGGCTGCCAATAATTTGGAGGGTCCAAAGCAGGGGTCCAGCCACTTAGAAAGCAGGTCGCTCATTTCCATCACCACATGAACAAGTGAAGCAGCAGGTGCAAAGCCAGTGACCCACGATAACGGCCCAAAAAAAAAAAAAAGGGAAGAGAACGGGATTGAGGTCACAGACGGTTAAAAAAAAAAAAAAAAAGGTAACCCTGGCCAGGCAGGTGCTGTGCTGTGCTGTGCAGAAAATCCCCTTGACCGCCTTTCTTTGTTTACCTTACCTTGCCTCACCTTTTACCGACAATTCCCTCCCGGCCTTGTTGCTGCTGCTGCTCCTCCTCCTCACCGTCGTCTCAATACCCAAAGAACCTGAAGGAAAGTCGACTCACCGACGTTCATGGGTCTTGCCTGCATTGCGCCTTTCCCCCAAATCTTCAACCATTAACCAATCTTATCCCACCACCTACCTGCCCGTCATTCTACCTTCCCTCGACTGAACCGACAACAGGCCCCCCCCTTCCCTTTAGTTCAGTCTGACGAGAATTCTCCATCATGGGCAACGTTGTCTCAGTATTTTCACCCGGCAACGGTCACCAGCTTGAGGGGTCCGCTGCAGAGCTCGAGCAGAAGCTGGCCGACCGTGAGGAGACCATCACTGTCCTCGAGGAGGACCTCTCAAAGAAGGAGAAGCAGTACAACTCCCTTTCCGAGGAGGCCGAAGACCTGCGCAAAAAGATTCAGGACCTCGACTCCCAATTGACCTCGTCCAAGCAAGAGGACAAGTCTCGCATCGCCACTCTCGAGTCCGAGCTCGCTACGAGCAACGACAAGATCAACCACCACCTTCAGGCCAACGGCGACGCCAATACCCAGCGCGCCCAAGAGCTCGATACCGCAAACAAGAAGCTTGCTGCTCTCCAGGATCAGCTTGACAAGGTCCAGCAGGAGAAGAAGGCTCTCGAGGATGATCTTGCCGCCGTGAAAGAGCAGCTGGCCGAGGCCAAGAAGGAGCGCGAGACCCTCGAGGTCTCCCTCCGCGACGAGCTCAAGGCCCTCCAAGAACGCCTGACCGATGCCGACCAGGCCCGATTTACCCTGCAGGAGACCCTCGACAAGATCAAGGCCGAGGCCGAGTCCGCGACCAAGTCCCTTGGCGAGAAGGCGGCCGCCGTTACCACCCTCGAGGGCAAACTTTCCGACCTCGAGGACCAGCACTCCAAACTCAAGTCCGATACCGAAGCCGAGCTCGCCGCTGCCGGCAGCAAATATACCGCCCTTCAGCAGGCTCTCGACAAGCTGAAAGCCGACACCGATTCCGACCTTGCCGTTGCTAAGAAGGAGTTGAGCGATGCCCAAGAAAAGTTTACCGCCCTCCAGCAATCTCACGACGATCTCCAAAGCGGCTCCAGCGCCAACGTATCCGCCGCCCAGAAGGATCTCACCGATGCCCAAGATAAGCTTGCCGTCCTCCAGCAGACCCTTGACCAGCGCAAGACTGAGGCTGATGCGGACCTCGAGGCCGCCAAGAAGGAGCTGCTCGAAGCCCAGACCAAATTCACCGAACTTGAGGATAACCACAACAAGCTCAAGGTCGGTTCCGAGGAGCAGGTCGCCGCCACCAAGAAGGAGCTTGCCGAAGCGCAGGGGAAGGTTGCCGGCCTTCAGCAGACTCTCGATGGCCTCAAGTCCGATTCCGCATCCGTCTTGTCGTCCACCCAGAAGGAGCTCGCCGACGCTCAGGAGAAGCTCACTGCCCTCCAGCAGACCAACGACAAGATCAAGGCCGAGGCGGACGCAGAGCTGGCGGCTGCCAAGAGCTCCCTCGTCGAGACCGAAGACAAGTACGCCAAGTTGCAGGAGTCTAGCAAGGCAGAGCTTGAGTCTGCCAAGAAGACCGTTGCCGAGTGGGAGGACAAATACAACAAGCTGGAGCAGTCGTACAAGGAAGCTCAGTCCGCCTCTGGTACGGAGCTTGAGTCTGCAAAGAAGACCCTGGCTGAGTCCGAAGAGAAGTACACCAAGTTGCAGGGTGCCCACGATGCCGAGCTTGCTGTTGCCAAAAAAAGCGTCTCCGACTGGGAGGAGAAGTACACCACCTTGGAAAAGACTCAGACGGAATCGCAGTCGGCTGCCAGCGCTCAGCTGGAATCTGTAAAGAAGAGCTTGGCGGAGTCTGAGGAAAAGTACAAGACGTTGCAGGAGGCACAAGCACAGACCCAGTCGGAATCTAGTGCAGAGTTGGAGGCGGCCAAAAAGAGTGTCGCAGAGTGGGAGGAGAAGTTCAACACCCTCAAGCAGACACAGGAGAAGGCTCAGTCGGAGAGCAGCGCTGAAGTTGACGCCGCCAAGAAGACGGTTGCCGAGTGGGAGGAGAAGTACGCCGCCTTGCAGCAGGCCCAAGAGAAGGCTGCCTCTGACTCCAGTGCTGAGGTTGATGCCGCAAAGAAGAGCGTCGCGGAGTGGGAGGAGAAGTTCAACGCCCTCAAGCAGACACAGGAGAAGGCCCAAGCCGAGTCCAGCGCTGAAGTTGAGACCGCGAAGAAGAGTGGTGCGGAATGGGAGGAAAAGTACAAGGTCCTCCAGGAGACTCACGACAAGGCACAGTCCGATGCCGGAGTTGAGCTCGCTTCAGTCAAGCAGAGCTTGGCTGATGCCGAGACCAAGCACAAGTCGGAGCAAGAGTCCCACGAGAAGGCCAAGGCCGAGTTCGAGTCGGAGCACACTACCACCAAGAAGTCTCTCTCCGATCTCGAAGAGAAGCATATCTCCCTGCAGCAAACTCACGATAAGACAAAGACCGACTCCGCCGAGGAGTCCGCGCGCCTGACCAAGGAGCTGGCAGACTTGCAGACCAAGTACGCCGACCTCGAAAAGTCTAGCGAGAGCGTCAAGAAGAACGCATCTACCGAGCTGGAGGGCGTCAAGAAGGACGCTGCCAGCTGGCAGGAGAAGGCCGAGAAGTCGACCTCTGCTGTCGAAGCTTTGACCAAGGACCTTGAGGCCTCGAAGAAGGATCTGGCTGCCGCGGAGGCGAAGCACGCCGCCGAGCTGCAGAAGCTGCGTGAGGAGCTCACAAAGGCTGCCAGCGTCAACGGCGACAAGCCTGCCGCTGAGCCTGCAGTGGAGGAGGCGAAGCCCAAGGAGGAGGCCGTTGCTGCATAAGTGTGACTGGAATTCGATGATGACTGGGAAGATCTGTGTACAAAGGTGAAGGGCGAAGTCGACCAGGGGAAGGACATACACCAAACCGAGATACCAAACAAGAGTGCCATGAAGTTGTACTTAATAAACTAATCCCCCAAGAACTAGATACGAATCATGACGCGTGAATTGATTTACTTTGCCTCTTCCTGAACCCAAGTAGACTCAAGTGCGCTCGAGACTCATGATGTACGTGATCACATGCTGGCTCTGTCGTCACCCTAGTCATGTGTCTTTTATAGCCTCAGACTGCCTTGCCCACAATCTAGCCGACGGCAATACCGGCAGTGAGTATCCCGCCAATTGTTCCGGTGAGCCTCAAGCATCACAGTCGTGTCTAGGTATTGGAGGTATGAAGACTGACATCAGGTCCTGTTTTGTTCAATCATCCGTACCAGAAAAGCATTCGCTGTGGAATATAATGACTAAACCGGAAAACGGATTTCCTTTGACTGTGCAGGGCATTTGTATTCGTACCCGTGGCCCTATGGCAGCTCAAACACCCCTGGGTCAGAAGAGAAGGACGTTGATCCCCGCATCTCCTTACTGACCATTGGCGATGTGTCCTCATCGAACTGCCTCTGATTGATTGGACGTTGACACTTTGACAGTTGGCGAGTTGATGTCAGTCCGGAACCGAGCCCATCATCTCGAAAACTCGAGCTTGCCCAGGCTCTTGCTGAGGCACTACATCATCTCTGGTTTGTGATATCTGGCCTCCCCGGAGAGAATATTGAGATGTGGCTTGCGCAAGCGGGTGAGGAGGTCTTTCCCGATTGTCGTAAGGATCATGGGTCTTTGATCGCAATGACTGCTGTTCATACGCGAAGTCCGGAATGACTGTCTGCTCATCTAGCCGACGGAGTTGAGACGGAGAGGTGGGACGCCTGGTGGCAGCGTCGTTGCGAATCCCGGGACTATATGCACGGAAGCGGCCATTCAAGACGACGTGTTGACCGAATTGAGCATCTGGAGGAATGAAGCTAGGAGATGTAACTTTGGAGTCGTTCGTTGTATCTGATGGTGATGTATTTGGAGTGCTGGACTGGTAGGAAGCCTTGTGTCTATGCTGGCCTAACAGCGGAAAAGACGGCGATGACCACGCGCGGAATTGACGCATCAAAGACGGCGCAGGTGTGGGATTTGAGGATGTAGTTGAAATGCTTCGTGATGATATCGCGTGGCGAACCATCCCTGGAATAAACAGACTATCCATATCTCGACGATGAAGCTCCTCCGATTGATGTTGGTTGCGGAATACCAATGGCCGTTGCTCATGAACTCTATTTTCCAGAGACATTGCCAAAGTAGACCGGTTCCCCAATGTGGTCTCCGAGTTGGAGAAGTCAGGCGTTCCGCGCAAAGACGATAGAGGAGACACCACAGAGGCTGGTGTATACAGATGATCAGCGCCGGGGGGCCATGGTGACATGGTAGTAGGTGCTCTCATCGCAGGTGGCGTTGATGATAATATTGGTGTCATATTTGCGGAATCCCCGATCAAAAGTGACATTCTGTCTCCATCCGACGAATCTAGGCCGTCACTTCCTGTCTTTTCATATTCAGGTTCGCTCGGCGCATCGCGTGTTTGGTCGAGGAGGTGCTCGGGGATATCGATTGTTGATAATGAGGGAGAGAGAAAATCAGTGGGGAGTTTGGGACAGTCTCGAGGTATCAATGAAGGAGACGGGGTCGAGGATACGGTAAAGGGCCCCAAGGGTACAGCAAAGAGGGTCTGGCTGGCTGTTGAGTCGTGTGGTTGGCTTTGCTCGGGAGGTTTGATATCGCTTGGGTAAGCTGGAGATGAGTTCGCGGATCCTAAGCCAAGGTCAATGATGATGCCGAATTTTCGAAGACGTCTAGTACCTGAAATATTGGCCTTCCCGATCAAGTCTTCCAAGAGTGCAACGTTATCAAACAACATCGTCGTTTTCTTCCCACCATCATCGTCGCCTTTGCTAACACTTTCAGGCGAGGGTGCAAGCAGCGCAATTTGTCGCAGGAAGTTCAATTCTGCTCGAACGGGAGCGTGGTACCGACTGATGACCGGTCTTTGTGCTTTGAACTGGGCGGAGTGGAGTAGAATCCAGGACAACCTGCTCCTGAACGGGTTCCTCCCATTGTTCAACCGAGGACGACTCTTTTCCACGATTTCACAGACCTCAACTAGGCTCTTGTGGGTTGTTGCGACGATGCTGTTGGCGCGTTCGAGAACTTTGGGACGTCTCTGACGAAGGGGCAGCAACTCGTTGCGGATTTCGATAAGATATTGCAAGTCAGTATGGCAGGTACGTACAAGTTTCAAGCTGTTTTTGACTTCTAGTGGGACTTGATCTAGTTCAATACCAAAGAGTACGATGTGGTAAGTTGCATGTAGAGCGTTGAGAGGATCCATGGACAAATACTAGTGCTCCTAACATTGCATGCGTTCAAACAACTGTCGCATCAAGAAATTGTTGCCTGGATGACACCGAGAACATCGATTCAGCCCGGAAGCGGGGATCGTGGAGAACGAAAAGTTCCGACAACTCTGATCTACAACGCAGACGGTAGTCTCTCCTCGTGGAGTTTCATGTGTGTAGACGACGATGAGAATGTGCCCGGCAAGACTCGACGTCAGTTCTTATAGATATTTCTCGACGACGAAACCTTGGCAGCGGCGCAGAAGCAAGGCCTTGAAAATGTTCCTCGTAGCACTTTGGACGCGCAAAGATTCATCACGGACTACTTGAGACAGGTATATCTACACACCGAAGAGAGTATAGAAACTCAGTGCGGTCGACGTCATTTTGGTGGTTGGGCGAGCACGGCAGTGACTGTTTTAAGTCAACGCACCTACTTTTGGCCCCCCCCCCCCCCCCCCTCCCCCCCCCATTTGAGTCTACCGAAAGCATTATCTTCACTTCTTATTCGCGATGTTTGCTAAGAGATGCAGGACACAACCGCCGATGCAAACGCGTAAACTACAATGCTACGTACCAGAACTCAGGAATGGTGCTAGTGCGTCACCATGCGAGTAATTAGTTGCCTGCAACCTCGAGGAATGACCCTAATGTAGTATGGTCGAAGATTGATCGCCGGTGGGAGCTGGGAATAGGGGAATTTGTGGTCCTTCGAGGAATGCCATATCTGGCAATTGATCAGCAGCCCAAGTCATCCTGCGAGAATGCTGAAGGGGGATGATCGCTTACATTGCCGTCAATGGCGGTTCTTCTGGCTTTTAGCACAGTTTTTGTCGTGTTAGACAGCCGAAGTTCCAGATAGCAATGGCAGCTATTTCGTGGAATGAACCAAATTAGGTATCGTTTACTAATCCATCTATAGCCTTGGTACGTCTCTGCTTCTTTAATACCGAGTCTTTTAGCATCGGCCTCTTTTGTTGCCATGTTATAAAATCCTTGGCTCCCAGCCAACACTATACTCATCGTATCATATCATATTCATTATCCTTTTCAGACGACAGAAAAGAAGCCCTAGTGTATATACAACCCGCAACTTCGCATATCAATATCAACCATGGGCAACATCCAGCTAGACTCGACCAGTTTCCCCACTGTGAACGCCAATCATGGTGCTGCACCCCCTCCATGTTCCGCGGTTAATCCCGACGAAGTCTCAAAGTTATCAATGGAATCGACAACTTCTAGCTCAATTTCTTTGAGTTCGCGATCTTCGTCAGCACTCTCTGTGGCTATGATGTCTTTACATTCCTCTGACCGAGATGAGGATTGTGAGGTCGTGCCCAAAACAAGCTGGATACCTCGACAGCTCAGCAACCCTAAGCGCTCGTGGGGTCTACTCCAAGTAAGTATAGTTCCTCTCACCTATATGAAAGCTGTGCCCTGCATGATGCTGAAGACTCAAGAAACCAGTTGTTATCCCCATAGTAGATTTTGCTCGCCCTCTCAAAGTTCCACTGCCTTTCATGAGAGCATACAGCCAGGGTCTACGGGCTCACGAAACTTACGAAGAAGACTTCGTCGCATTTCTGGACAATTTGACTGTAGCTCAAGGACCGCCTGCTCCTTTGACGATGCTAAACACGGCCAGTAGCATTGTAGGGCTCATGTAAGCCGTGTCCATGACTCCCTCATGGTAGTATGAATGACGTTAACACTCCTAGACCCAATCATTGGGCGCAACTGGCAGGAGGCATAGCGAATGTGACTGCTGGGCTGGGGACAGCTGCCATACGAATAATTCGGACGAAGATATTCTTGGACGAAGCCAACCGTGACTATTTCGAGCCTAGGGGCCTCAGAGCGTCGATATGTAAATCCAAAAGTCTGGCTGCCAAGTTGGGCTGTGGTGAGCAGCTCCCCGAGCTCTCGTAAGTTTTTCTGCAATCAGACCAACGGTTATATCATTCTGACCATGTTCATGCATAGACTCATCACACCAGAGACATATGAAATGAGTTTACAAGACCGCCGAATGCGGACTCTTGAGCCATACATCGCTCCTCTCACCTTTGAAGTTCCACCTCCCAGCAGAGAGCGAAACCTTGTTGACAGAATGACCGAAAAACAAATTGAGCGGGCGGTCAAGAAAAATGACAAGCAGAGGGAAAAGAAACAAGGCAAAGTCAGAGAAAGCCACCAAGACCAGCCGCGCGATGAATCTAAATATGTTGAAAACTTAGATGGCAGCATCAATGACAAAAAGGTACTGAAGATGGAAGAGCGGTACAACAAAAGCCAACGAAAGATGGAAAAGGCCGAGAGGAAGGCGACCGAGGAGGTAAAAGGGATAGGGCCATTGGATTCCAAAGAAATTAAGAGGAAGGAAGAGAAGAAAATTAGGAAAGCCGAGAAAAAGTGTCAGAGACTGGACGGGCACGAGGAAAAGGCTATTTCAAAAGCTGCAGAGAAAAGGAACAAGAGTCATGAAAAAGACAAGAAGAAGGCAGGGAAGATTGAGTTTTTATTGATAGAGTCTTGGACGGATTATAATGATTGAGGCAATAGCAAGCAATCCCCCTACGGCCGATGAACTGAATATCATCCAGACCATCATTTCGAGTAGTCACGTATCAGCCTATCTGACGTGATGTTTGAAACAGGGTTCAAGCAGAGCACGTGTCGAGCCATGGCCCATCTACCAGTAGAGCCGGCTGAAATGTGTTTGAGCTGGAACATGAGCCACAGCCCAACAACTTCGTCCGACTTTCCAACAGCCTCATAAGCCATTCTGATTGGAAACAGGACTGAAGAAGTTGCAATATCTCGCAATTTATCGAGGTGGTAGTCCACACTGCGACATATATGAATGCCAGATTCATGTATCCTGACTGGTATGGGCTCACGCTCGATCCCATGATCTATTAAATCTCGTAGCGCAAGCCGCAGACTGTGGATCAGGAGTAGTAGTAAGATCAAGGCCCCGTGAAATAGAGTTGAGATACTGGCATTATAAAGACTGTGATACATTAGAACGGTGTTCCAGACTGGTCCACAGGACCCTCCGTATCCAGAGCGCACTGGTGTAGTAGCGGTCGGCGCTGGAACGAGGTCATACCGATCCAACTCGGTTGACGACCAGCATTTCTCCCATGTCTCGAGGTCGTTTAGAACCCTTTGTGCCATTTCCAGAAGAGACAGTAGCGATATTTTGCAAGGGGGCCCGTCCGTTTGACCGAAAATCTTCTCTCGCAGAACAAAGAGTTCGGGACAGTCTGCAACGACGTCAAGAAGCAGTTGAAGTGGGTTCTTCCGTTCGGGGTTTTGCACCCATGGAAGACCTTTCCATAAAGCCCCTGAAAGAATTGTACTTTTGCGGGTGACAAGAGCAGCAAATATCATTGACGGCCGAGCCTTCTCCAACAGTACCAAGCATGGCAGTGGCTGCATGGATTTCGGTCCTCGAAAGTCGAGAAGCCTTTCAAGGCCCCGCGCATGTTCTATCCACCCGTCTTCACGGTTTCCAGCGATCATCTTGACACACAGCAGTTAGCCTCAAGATCTAGAACCATCGATTTACATCATGTTTTGGAGTCAAGCGCTGCAAGAGTCAGGATCACTCACCTCGAAAACAGCCATGACAATGATGGCCTCTAAAACATCGAAAGATCGACTTTCTTTGGGGTCGCTTAGCGCCCTGTTGAGAGCCTTGAGCGCAGTACCATATCTGTGAAGACCATGTTGCAAAACTTGTGGCTCTTTCTGATCGATGCCGAAAATGGTAGTAGAAAGTGCGATAAAGCACTGGTTGGTCAATGTCCGATTCGTGCCAGGTTTTACCACAACCTCCTCGCTCTCATGCAGCAGGTGATTCATCGCGTACGAGGCGTAAACATCGTCCATAGACCATGGTGTCACGTATGGTCTTGCAATTCGTATTGGAATAACCCCGTGCCTCCGTGGCGTTATAGCCAAATGCGCCGTGGTCTTCAACCCTGTGATCGATGCCGCTCGAGACATGTCACTGATGTCAGTGGGATCGTGGGTGGTTCTGTGTCCATTGTATTGAATGAAGCTGAGGCCGCGGCAGCCCCCGCATTTCAAATGCGCCTTGACGCATCGTGCGCACTCGGGCGCGGCAAGATCTGAGTCGAGTGACTTGGATTAGAGGATTGACTGGTGAGCCAGCTACAGTGGAGAGGATGGCCTTACCACACTTGACGCGCCGACGCCGACAATGGTCACAAGCTTTACTTCTCCCTCCCACTCCGACCATGTCGTCTCCGTGCTGAATAATGTACCACTGCGTCGCAAGTCAGCTTCTGGTAGATTTCGTAAAGTAGGCGATTGGAGGTGGGTGCTGTGACGTGACGTACGCGTGTCAACACGCAGATTGCATCATGTCCTTCGGCTAGCTTATCTTATTCCTGAACCTCACGCTACGACAAAAGCGGCTAAGACACCTACATAGACTAGGTATGCTGTTCAATTAGTTGTTAACCCATCGACTGCCATGAATCATAAGGGTGCACCTCACAATAGCGCCAGTGGAACCACTGGCGGGATCTGGTAAGGCTATGGAGGTAAAGCGCACAAGACAGAGCAACCTCAATCATATAACAAGGTGCGAGCTGTTAATGATAAGTGCTCTCTAACCCAAGTCCACCTGATGATAATCCTGGGACAATGTATGCTGTCATCGGGAACTAAACCAAGGAACGCAACAACTAGGGAGAGTGTAATGTTCAACGGAAGCCTCTTTTGTCAATCCTCTGAAGTGCTCTTGCGAAAACTCATATTGCAACTGTGTAAATACTATTAAGAGTGTAATCTGAGGACAGGTACGGAGTACGCAAGAATTGACATGCTCAAAGAGGTGAGGAGTATTGTCAGGGGATAGGTGTTAAAAGCTCTAGCCAGCCGGCAATCCTCAGCCAACGGCCGACAACACCTTGCCAAACTTCGTCGCGGCAAGTTCCTGTCAATGCGCACTGCCAAGCAGCGCAAGTTCACAATTGATGGGGAGAAGGGTAGTGGTGAAGTCTAATTGTCACTTTCGGGACAATCTTCGCGGAAATCTTTGGCAAGGTTTCAACCTACCTTAGCTAGCATGCTGCCTATCTTACGTTGTCGCCGGCAGTGCTGGGCAGCAAAACCACACGGAATCCCTCCCCTCATAAGAGAATCGCCTAATTTATTCGGCTCAATTGCCGTCGGCCAAGCTTTGTGTTCTTATTTCTTCATCCTACTTCGACTTTCACTTACGGATACGCTATTAAGTTCTGTCATTCGTTACCTCCTTTAACTACCATGGAGAAGCGGAGGACTCGCACTGCTAATCCATGCGATGGATGTTCCCTACGGCGGGTACGATGCCGCATGGAAGGTGATCCGCCTTGCCTTGAGTGTCAAAAACACTCTGTAGAGTGTACCTTTCTACGAGTTCCTCGCAAGCGAGGTCCCAAAGGGCCTCGCCAATGTACTTCTGAAAAAGTGGCACACTATCAAAACGAAATCCGGCAATCTCAAAGTCTTTGTTCCATCTCACAAGACCCTGTAAGCCCCGTTGTTGAGAACGAGAGCGACCAGATGCCCCTGTGTCTATACATTGAGTACTTAGACAAGTTCCGAGAATCTCTCACCTGCGTCTGGCCTATACTTCATGTCGAAAATTTGAAATCCCGACTGCTAGTCCATAATTCTCTGGATGATCACAGTGCCTGGGCACTGGCTGGCGCTGTCTGTGCCACGGTTATTGCCCAGCTGCGACTCTCCCAGATACGGCTGGCAAAACAAGACACGGCAACTACAGACCTCAGCTCCGTCGCCGAGAGCTTTGCCCGTCATGCTCAGCGCTTGCGAGATCAATTCATATACCGGGAAAACTTCTCAACCGAATCTTTATTGACAGCCTTTTTCCTACACATCTACTTCACCATCACTGAGCGCACCCGAACCGCTATACTGTACTTGCATGAGACGATTGCACAGCTACACCTTCAAGATTTGCACCTTACCGAAACATTAGCCAACCTGCCGGACGAGCAGAAGGAATTGGTACTCCGCATCTACTGGCTAGTATTCGTTTCAGAAAAGTAAGTGAAACCTTTGCATATTTTAGGCTTGCCGTTATGTTTATTTCCCATAATGAGCAAATTTGATCTGACATCCTGTCAAGGACCTTTTGCGTACAAAATTGCTTTCCGACATCACTTTCACCGATTCAAGCTTGGCCATCTTCGGAATATCACATTCCGGGTGTTGGGGATCTTGATGCATCGTTTCAACTACTTGCACAGCTGTTCACGTTGCTTGATAACAACATCATCATGGCAGGGGATAGAAGAGGGGCGTACATGGATGCAAAAAGTGTGGACCACCTTCAGTATGCCCTGTCAGCTATGGACAACGTTGCAGCTGTGGCGCCTAGACTCCCGGAAACACAGCGCGTAAACGTCTTGATGACGGGAAACTGGATTCAAATCCTTTGGTGGCAATATGCGCTTCGGCATGTCCAAATGTCCAGCCGCGGAGAAAGTGAGGCCGCATTCTCATTATTGGAACCTGCATCAGTGGCCCAGAAAGCAATGCAGCTTTTCGCGTCTGTCTCTAGAGACTCGATCACCACTCACGGGTATGGCATGGTATGTAAATTACAGAAACGCAGGCGACATAAGTCAAGCCAAGGTCTAACGCGGTAGGCGGTGGCTACTATAGGAGCTCAAGGTTTTCCGTATCACGGACGCACTGGTTGACCTGCTGGCCTGCAACAGATACCTACTCGATTCCACTCGGGTTAAAGACGGAAGGATGGTAGTGGGTCCGAGAGATGTGCTTTACGCTCTTCAAAACACATTGCATCTCATAGGAGGCCCAGAATCTCTCTTATATAAGAGACTTTTGAATATGATGGCGGAGGTTGCGCTTCCTGTTCCTCACGTCCCAGAGATTGTCTATTCATATCGGTATGAAAACGCCAATGTGCGAAAGGAGAGGGATCACGGCAAGGGATATCAATAGATTTTCGATAAGCGTAACTTACTAAGAGCCCAACTTCGCTATAAAAGAAATCAACCAAAGCAATTGATTCTATCAAATTAGAAGTTCAAGCCGAGCCTCGAAGCCATAACCGCCAGGACCACCCCAAGGGTTAGGGTTAGGGTTAGGGTTAGGGTTAGGGTTAGGGTTAGGGTTAGGGTTAGGGTTAGGGGGTTAGGGTTAGGGTTAGGGTTAGGGTTTTAGGGGTTTTTTATTCTCCCTCCCCCTTTTTTTTTTTTTTTTTTTTT